GGAGTTTGGGGATGGGGCGGAGGGGAGGAGGGGGAGGGGGGGCATGGGAGGGAGACGGTGCCAGAGACACAAGGGCACGATATCTCTTAAGTAAACGAGAGACGCCAGGCAAGACAGTCGCCTGGCCATGTAGGCTATCAGGCCTACAACCAAAGGGGAACAAAAGCAGAAATGAACAAAAAAAAATGTTTGTTTTAACTCATCATGGTGACTCATTTCTCATTTCACTCTCAAGTGCGGACAAGCTCGTCCAAGCGAGCGTCGCTCAAAACATCATCGACGTCGTGGCCAACGACATGGAAAACGCCACTCGTGCCCTCAAACTCCGTAATCTGACCGGTCAGCGACTTGCTGTCGCCGTAGTACTTGAACCTGTACATCCCAGACTCGGTGCCCGGCTCAATCTCCCATTCCAAAGTCACCTCACTCGTCCCCAGTGTCGTGGAGGTGCGTTTCCACCGGTACACCAGGAACCAGTCCCTGTCGGAGCGCACCTGGACCCATTCCTTGCGGCTCTCGTCGAATCTCTCCACGGCGGCGAACGTGCCTTCGAGGCGGAAGTTGTTACGCGGGTTTGCGCCTGCGAACCTTGCGCTGACAACGTCGCCGGGGCGGAATGGTTTCGCGGGGTTAGGGGAGGCAAGCGTGTCCCCAAACCTGCGCAGGAGGCCGGCGTGGTCCACAATCACAGGTCGAATGAATGACAACGAGCGATTCACGTTGATAGGCGGGAGCGGACCGGCTGGGAGACGGTCCAGATGGGAGGTCTCGTCTTCAGAACCCAAGTAAGGGAGGTATGTGATGGTGAGGTTGATGTACGCTTCCAAGGTATGTGGACCATAGAGTGTGGATGCTTCTTCATAGCGTTGGACACCATATTCTTCCTCGGTAGAGATGTAGTGGGCGTACGTGTTTGCCGGCCCACCAAGAACGAGTCTCGGAGACGAGATATTGAGGATGGCTGGAGCCGCAGCAGTAAGTGCCGACTTCCATCGGCGGCCAGACATGGTTGTGGCTTCCCCGGGTGATATTATCATTATCAGATCACCAATTCGAAGGAGTTGAATGTCAACAATGTTTGGCGTCCATGCGTACGGATCATCGGCCTCCCCGACGTCAAGGAGGATGGGCTTTGGACTTTGGCATGCGATCTGGGCGTCTGTTGGGGGATGGATTGCCCCTCTTGCGACCTTCCAGAGCGGGTTTTTCAGAGCAGGGGAGCCGTTGGTGTCGTTTGTGCCTTGGGAGAAATCGAAACGCCCGGGGCCATCAGTTGTACCACCTGCAAAGCCATAACCCAACGCGGCAGAACAGGTCTTGAGGGTGCGGGATTTGTTGGAGAATGAGGTGAAGGTAAATGACGAGAGATTGGCGTAGGTGTGAAAAAAGGAGACGGTTGACGCAGGTATCCGGTCTAAATTGTCGTGTTCTAAGAGGCTTCTGGCCGCTGCCATTTGGCGTTTGCCAATCTCGAAGCAGGATCTAGTTCCCTGGTCGTCTGTGCGGAACATTGGACCTCGTCCGTGGCAAGCCTGCGTTCGACCTCCGCACGTGCTATCTTTAAAAGCGCATGGAAGACCAGTGTCTTCGCAGAATGCGCCGAGAGTGTTGGGGGAAGTGTCTCCGACATTGGCTTGAGAGAAGCCTGCGACAAACGACGGGTTCTTGACTTTCATGTGCTCTTCCAGGAGATATGCTGCAACTCCCTTGTTATCACCAGTAATAAGTGTGTTGTTTTGATATAGAGATGTCCCATGCACTGGAAACCAAGAGAGTGCACCCAGCGCTTGGCCATCAGACGCTCGTTCAAACTTTAGCAGCGTCAAATTTTTGTCCACATCATGGGTGTACTTGTCTCGCTCGTCCTTCGGATTTTGGAGATAGGAATACGGACTTCGATTTATGTTCGCATCCTCAACGAGGTGTTGCCCAAATCTGAGATAGCCGGGCGTGAGGCTGTCATGTGCTCGCTGGATGGCTAACACCGAGCCGTTGACGATGGCCTCGTAGCTGTCTCTGTGGAAGCCTAGGCTAGTGATTTGTGGCAACAGGTAGTTCAACCATGCCCCAGGTCCACTGTGACTGTGGGTCCCTGTAACTGCGACATTGTTCTTGTTGTATATTGCATATTCCGGGCCCAGCTTCTCAAGCCTTTGCAGGATGCCATGACGAATGGCCGTGTCGCCAGACTGGGTATCAAGGACAAGGTAGACAAGCCGGGAGGAGTTTCTTGAAAGGCTGCCCACGATGAAGGCCCGGCAATAGATCCGTTGACGGACACCGCTTCCCACCTGATCTGTATCAGCGTAGCCCATCAAGTTGATCTCGACGACCGGCCTGAATAAGTTGAGGTTAGCATGTGCTCCATTGGCACATATCTGCAGGGTCCTTACCCAGTGATATCGGCCTTTCCGACTCCCAACAGGTAGTCGCCCTGCACCGTGACGAGGCCATTGTGCTGGTCCAGTTGTTCAGCCTGTCCCTGGGCATTGGTAGGAAACAAATGCAGCTTTTGAGACGGGCTGTGAGCAACGAAGCCCAACCACAGAAGGGTCGCCGTAAGGACAACACAGAGCAAGCATAGAAATGGGGCTAGCGCTCTCCGTGCCATTTTCGTATTGCCTTGGATTGCGATATCTCTGCAGCTTACGACGGGAATTTGATGTTACAGTCCCCCTGTTATTTCGGGTCAAATAGGGAGTTTTCGGAGTTGGTCATCGTCTCGACATGCCCGCTCTGAAGCCCTGAATGACGATACCAGAGTATAAAGTGGACCATGCGACCACCGTTGAAGAGCTGTAGAAACTTTGGATTGATTCTTTCCAGGCCGCGAGGCTCCGCCTGAAACGGACAACAATGTCGTCATCCTGACGAATCATCAAAGATCGACGACAGCCTTACAGTAAGCTGGCACAGGCAAGGCTGGCCAATCACACGCGATTTTGTGCCAAAGCGGCAAAGCATGGGCTTGGCATCATGGAATCTTTATCGCAGTCAATGAATTCGCATTGACCCAGCCAGTCCATCTCCCAACAACCAGCCATGGCACTAATATGGGAGTCTCACGACTCTCTCCCCTGTGAGTGATCCTGCACCCGGTGAATAGATTGTTGACTTATGCTGACCGCTTTTCTCCTCAGACATCGACCCCGACATCACGGATGCCGAGCGCGAGAGAGCCAAAGCTGCGATTGCTCGACACCTCCCCAAGGACTATCTCAACACACCTCACCCCTCTCTCGCCCCTCTTCCCGCAGTCAACTTCTCCGAAACATTCCGTCAAGAAATCAATCGGGTAGCTGCGGGTCAGCCCCGCCAGCAAGGGATAGACGTGTCGCGCTACGAAGCCCCGGACGAGCCGTCGAGTGACAGTGATCAGGCCACAATGAAGGAGGTGCTGCGAAACGCGTACATCTTGACCACTTTCTTGTCAGATCGACACACCAACCTCCAGCTACTGGACGAATTTGGCAAGAATGCTTGGCTTATCGGCAATTCGCAGACTGAACAGGTCCTCCAAGTCCTCGAAAGCGAACTTGCCGGGCTTAAATCTGAGACCGAAAACATCAACAAAGCGCGGAAAGCTACCCAAGAACAGTCTAAAGGCGAGCTTTTGACTCTTCAGGAAAATTGGAAGCGAGGAATAGGCAAAATTCTTGAGATCCAGGTCGCTGCAGACCAACTACGGCGACAACTCGGCCAGGGTCAACTGCACCCTGCAACATGAGATCCTTAGAACGCAACTGGCCCAATTTCTGATAAGCAGGGATACAGGCTGAGCTGTCGTGCCGCATCAGTATCGCAGCGATCTGTCGGAACCAGATGCGGCGTGTGCCCGGTCGCTCCGTTCGGCATAAATACGGGCGAGATCTCCGCATATGCAGACCGCACGGAAGGTTCTAAGCACCGTCGATGCTAGCTTACCTGATTTTCCAGATGTTAAAAAAACAATACCTCGAGCAATTTCTACAGAAAACGCTCTGAGATTGATCTGCGAAGGAGGAAAAGGCCCTCGGACACAAAAATCCCTGTTCGTCTGTCCTGCTGGGGTTATGTCCTCAAACAGTGCGAGGCCAGTTGGCCCCGGAGAGCAATATACCAAAACCCCGAACCGTTGCTGGTGGGCCCTATATTCAACCCGCTATTTTGAGAAACTCGGGAGGGGAGCTCCAAGCAGGTCGGTCCAGACTTTGCGTTAGCCCGAAAGACGACTCCCTGCACGGCTCTCAGAAAAAAGAACAGCCGTGGTCTTGTTTGTTCTCTTGTCGAGCTGAGACGTGGAGCTACTTGCTGGGTATTCTGCCTGTGCAACGCTCGCTCCGCCCCTTTCGAGGAAATCCACACCGGGCCAAGCAGCCAATACTTCGAATCTCCAACCTCTGAGTGCAACCTTCTCTATGTTGATAGGGCCGGTCATGCATTTACTCCAATTGATATCTCTCTGGACACAGTTTAGCCTACCCTTTCCCCCGCAAACGGGGTTTAGCCGTTTTCCTTTTGGCTTGTTCCATCGACGCAACCTCCAGCAATGCGGCCTCCGTCACTTGATTCGGGCGTCCCAGCTTATGCAGGATTCTCCCATCCCCTACCCGCCACTTCCCATGTTCTATGCGGTGCCGCTTGCCAGTGGACCTTCCCCGCGTTTCTTACATTGGACGCCCCCTCTCCAAGCTATCCGGGTGGGGCGCTGATCCGGTGGAGGTACTAACGGCATATCGCCTCGCTAGTCTTGGGCATTTTCTTGTCCTTTGGACGTCAGCGTGTGTGCAGTGCATTTTCCTGTGTGGTACCTCGTGCAAAAGCGACGTTACTTGTTCCCGTTCTCTATGCAGGGGCCTTCGCTCGGACCTTTCATTATACGAAGTCGTCGAGACAGAGATACCAGAAGGGATTGGGGATTCTCGTTGGAACTGCCGCAACTGGTCTCGCAGGTTGCTCGCTGCTGCTAGCCTCCTTGGGCGGAGGCAGATGAAATACCCTGGTCAGCCTGAACTTCAACCGCCCCCTTTCTTCATGCATCTCGTCGACGTACACCTCTGTTAACTCAACATTCTCAACACCCGAAGCTTTGGAAGGACCCGTTGTCTCGTACTTTGCGGATGGTAGCTTCGCTTCGACGCAATGCGGGCTCCTTGTCATTGCCTAGAAGCTGAGGTGATGATCCTCGTCATCCTCAATGTGATTGCACTGACCCCGCATATCGAACGCAAATCAACTCGTCTCCAGGTCTGCTCCAGATGATCAACTTGCAAGGATGCTCAGACATGACCATGGCCGCTCCTTCATCCTGTGGAGTTCCCGGAGACGCGTTTGCATGGAACCCCTCTCTCCCCTCTCATCCAGTCTTCCGAGAAGAGGCGGAGAGGATCTGACGTTCAGAAGTCTTATATTGAGACGTCTCGCACTCTGTCTCTCTCTCTTTCTTCTCTCCCCAGCCGGCTCCTGGTTGAGCAAAGGAATTATTCACTTGTGTGGAGAGACGCAGAACAGTTTCGTCGTTCATTGAACAGACTGCCATCATGACTATCCCAGAGGAAGTTGATATCATTGTCTGCGGAGGTGGCAGTTCAGGATGTGTGCCAGCTGGACGTGAGCCATACCTGTGCACAACACCCTGACTAGATCATCATTGACGGCTCTCTAGGTCTGGCCAATTTGGACCACAACCTCCAGGTCCTCTTGATTGAGGCCGGAGAGAGTAACCTCAACAACCCATGGGTTTACCGCCCGGGTATCTACCCGAGGAACATGAAGCTCGACTCGAAGACGGCGACTTTCTACTATTCTCGCCCCTCCGAATGGCTCGATGGACGTCGTGCAATCGTTCCCTGCGCCCACATCCTCGGCGGAGGTAGCAGTATCAACTTCATGATGTACACCCGGGCCTCGGCAAGTGACTACGATGACTTTCAAACCAAGGGTTGGACTACCAAGGAGCTCATTCCCTTGATGAGGAAGCATGAAACCTACCAACGAGCCTGCAACAACCGAGACATCCACGGCTTCGAAGGACCGATCAAGGTCTCCTTTGGCAACTACACTTACCCCATCATGCAAGACTTCCTCCGAGCTGCCGAGTCCCAGGGCTTCCCAGTCACGGACGATCTCCAGGACCTTGTGACTGGTCATGGTGCCGAACACTGGCTCAAGTGGATCAACCGTGATACCGGCCGACGTTCTGATGCTGCTCATGCATACATCCATGCTACTCGTGCCAAGTATCAGAACCTCCATCTCCAGTGCAACACAAAGGTAGACCGTGTGGTGATCGAGAACGGCACAGCAGTCGGTGTCATCACTGTGCCTACAAAGCCGATTAACGGATCGAAGCCGGAACGCAAGTTCTGGAAAGCTCGCAAACTCGTTATTGTCAGCTGCGGTACTCTGAGCTCACCTCTTGTCCTGCAACGGTCTGGTATTGGTGACCCAGAGAAGCTTCGCAAGGCTGGCGTCAAGTGCGTTGTGGACCTTCCAGGCGTTGGTCTCAACTTCCAGGACCATTACCTGCACTTCGCCACTTACCGTGCTAAGCCAGACACTGAGTCCTTTGATGACTTTGTCCGAGGTGTTCCGGAAGTGCAGAAGGCTGTCTTTGATGAATGGAACATCAAGGGAACTGGACCCTTGGCTACCAACGGCATTGATGCCGGCGTCAAGTCACGACCCACTGCGGAAGAACTTGAGGAGATGAGCAAGTGGCCTACTCCCCAATTCGTCACCGAGGGCGGCTGGGACAGCTACTTCAAGAACAAGCCCGACAAGCCCGTCATGCATTACAGCGTGATTGCTGGGTGGTTTGGTGACCACCTCGACATGCCGGCGGGTAAATTCTTCACCATGTTCCATTTCTTGGAATACCCCTTCTCTCGTGGCTTCACCCACATCGTGTCTCCAGACCCATACGAGGCACCAGACTTCGATGCCGGTTTCATGAACGACAAGCGTGACATGGCACCCATGGTCTGGGGCTATATCCAGTCCCGTGAGACGGCTCGTCGGATGCAAGCCTATGCTGGTGAAGTGACGGGCATGCATCCTCACTTCAAGCACGACTCGCCCGCCCGAGCTCTGGACATGGACATCGTCACCCGTAACCAATATGCCGGACCCAACCACATCACTGCCAATATCCAACACGGTAGCTGGACCATGCCCCTCGACGCTGGTGACGTCCCCGAAGTCAGCTGGCTCAACTCTAACAAACAGAACTACCGAGCACCGCTTAAGTATAGCAAGGAAGATGGTTTGTTTTCTCCTTCCCTGCAAAGAAGACCAACATTGTACTGACCGATGATACAGTTGCTCACATTGAGAAATGGGTCCAGCGACACTGCGAAACCACCTGGCACAGCTTGGGCACCTGCTCTATGGCTCCGAGAGAGGGCAACAGCATTGTCAAGCATGGTGTCTTGGATCCGAGACTGAACGTCCACGGTGTCAAGAACCTCAAGGTCTCCGACTTGTCGGTCTGCCCAGACAACGTTGGCTGCAACACCTTCTCGGTAAGTTATCTCAACGTCGCTGCTCTCACAACATTACTAACAGAAATCATAGACCGCTCTGCTCATTGGCGAGAAATGTGCCGTGCTCGCTGCTGAAGACCTTGGCTACAGTGGTGCAGCTCTGGAGATGAAGATTCCGCCATACCACGCTCCAGGCGAGTCTGTCGGTCTTGCACGTCTGTAGAGTTGAATCAAACGGAACTAGCAGAATGGCCAAAGGCTCTGGGAGGAATCTCGAAGGAGTGGATAGTCAATTAATTTGATATCTGTCATTCACCGAAAGCACTGTCTTTTGACTGCTCGACGTATCTTGCTGTACACTCTTCTGGCTTGATATCGAAGGTATCTTGTCCTGCGTGGCATTCCGATGGTGTCAGGGAATATCCAATGAATCATGCCTTGATGCAATCCTCAACCTGCACCTTGAATAGTGTCTGTACTTTCCAAGCGAGCAATCTTGCATGTAAGCGGTTCCTTCGTATTTCCCACGGTAAACGCACGCTTGCCCTCTTTCAACCCCCCACCGTCTGGAACGTAACGGGCGGACCGGAGGATAATTCGGTTCGTTGTTGTTATGGTGGTGCAGCCAGACCTGATCAGCACCCGGTTAATTTTGCCGGAATCCATGTGGGACGGCACGGGCAGAAGGAAATGCAACGCGTCTGGGGTTGGTTGTGATTTGCGCCAGAGGATGATCAATGGCAAAGGAAGCCGTGGTGGGCTACTTGCGAGCGACAGGGATGGATTGGGGGTAGTGATCGAGATTCAACGCCACCTCCAGTCTTTTGGTGACTTGGCCGCATGTGGGTGACTGGGGTGACTGGATCAAGCGCTTCGTTGGGCAGGGAAATTTCGCCGGGGAATGAGTACGCCTCCGATGTCATTCTACAAGTCAGCGTCAGTGGGCGACGCTGTCTGAGTGTTGTGAGACCTCACGAATCGAAGATGATCTTCGTGCCCCTTCCTTCATCGCCCAAATGCTAACGCAACAGAGACTCGTGCTCCGGCGTGGAACCACAGCATCCGTCCTTGACGCCCCCTCAACGCCCCGACCATTGGCTCTCAAACCCCACGAGTTGAGTCCCACCACTCTGAGCCTCTGACTATCATCCCAGGCGTGAGCTCAGGCCTTTGCGCTAGAAGCCTGCGCCCACCACCAAGTCAGGGACCAGCACCTCTGACGTACGTCGGGGTGAACACAAACAGACACTACCATGGCCAGGATGGGTGGTGCCCTGAGTGTTTGTGTCGCAACTGGAAAAAGTTGGTTCCTGAAGACTATTACAGAGCATACCCTTCTGAATTCATAATCTGACAAGAAGCTGTATAGCAAAGTGTATCTCACTGTTGTTGTCAGCTATTCCATACCAACGGGCTGCATGCAACAAGCTCTCTTTACGGCCACATCCATACGCAGAATACGAGTTCGCCACCCTCCATCCCATGGCCTCAGCAGCTTGTCTCAGTTGGTAGACGCATAATGGCCACCATCGATTCCCAGCCACGCATTAGTGGGAGTTCCACAACATCCACCTTCACGACTACAAGTACACCTCTCTCGAGTTACCCTCGTCGCCGGAGTCCCGTGGAATCTGACAAGCTTCGTGGCTCCCGAGACTGCCATCCGTGCAACGAGGAACCTTCTCGCCGGAATTCTGCGTTTCTCGAAGTTGGCCTTGGTGGTGAAGATGCCATTGTCGACTCAAAATTAAGAAGAGATTCTCGACCGAAACTCCAAGTGCGCTTTCGAAACGATGTCGACGTGGTCGAACCTGAAGTAATTGACTGGCCCGAAACAACCCCAGTTGACAGACCGTCTCATCCGCAAATGTCTCCATACTTTCCCACGCTGCCCAGGTTACTCTTTCTTGCTCTGCTTATCTTGCTGGTGGTTCCAAGTCTGCACCATTCTCCCTCATTGATCGCCGACGCGAATCCCGTAAATCGTCAAGCGGGCTCCTCGTTGGTGAGGGGACTATGGCAGGGTGCGAAAAGGGAGACGCTCCCAGGAAGTGTGAAAAGAGAGAATAGTGCAGCAGATGTTTGTAAGAGGTGGTCAGGGCAGAGCGCCCTAGTCAATGGGACACTGTACTATTATGGAGGGAGAGCAACCACCAGTGCTGACCAGACCTCGAACCAATGGAGTACGTCTGCCATCAATATAAGTTGCGTTGTGACGACTGACATTTGTTATGGCAGATAACGATTTCCTAGCACTCGATCTGACAAAGTCGTGGCAGATTTCGTCGCCGTCACTGACGGGCCTCCCAATCCCGACCGGGCCTCCTGCGGTATCGCTTGGATACTTGTGGAACTCTTACGATGCCCTGTATCTATACGGTGGCGAGTTTTCAGATACGCCTGTTGCATCTCCTGTTCCCTTTTCCCTCTGGGCATACGACATTTCTTCATCGACATGGTCAGAGTCGTCGAACCCAAAAACAAGCTCGGGCCGCAATTCAGAGCCAGCAGGACAACCAGTCCAGCGTGCTGCAGAGGGCGCGGGGGTATCGGTGCCGAACTTGGGACGAGGCTTCTATTTCGGAGGACACCTCGATTTCTTGACCACACCAGGGTGGTCAGAATCAGTTGCGCGCGTCTATCTTCGCGGCATTCTTGAGTACACCTATCCCGGGTATAGCAACGCTGCGGTAAATAGTGGGCAAAGGGCAGGATCATCGGGAATCTACCGCAATATTACCCAAGGTGGTATTCAGGACTCGGCAGGGTTCCCAGAGCGAGCGGATGGCCTTCTTGTGTACATCCCCGGTTATGGAAAGTCAGGCATCATTCTGGGGCTTGCAGGCGGTACGAATGCGACGTTTACTCAGATGAACGTCATTGACGTGTACGATATCGACTCCTCCAGCTGGTACAAACAAGCCACGACAGGACCAACGCCAGATATTCGGGTCAATCCGTGTGCTGTTGCACTATCCGCTGCCGATGGAAGTTCTGTTCAGGTCTACATGTATGGGGGCCAGAACCTACTTCCCTACGGTCAGCAAAAGCAGTACGATGATATCTGGATCTTGACCATACCCTCCTTCACATGGATTCAGGTCGACACCACCAACCAAGCTAGTCCTCCTGCCAGAGCTGGACACATGTGCAATGTCTGGAATGGTCAAATGGTGGTGGTTGGAGGTTATGTTGGTCAGGATCTGTCATGTGACAGTCCGGGAGTATACGTCTTCAACACCAGTTCCCTTCAATGGCAGAGTGAGTATGTCGCGTTGGCGACGGATGACGACCTCAATCGGCAGAAAAGCCAACAAGATGATCCGTCAGCATTGCAGGGATCGTTTGGGTATTCAGTCCCAGAAGCAGTACAATCGGTCATCGGGGGCAACGGTGTGGGAGCTGCAACTGTCTCTGTTCCGGCTCAGTCGGCCACTCAAGGGCCACTAGCCACCGGCGCACCACGCCTATACACAGTCACCCAGTCTGGTGGTGCTGTGGCTACGGAGACCGCAGCGCCCACCGGGACGAGCGGCACTGGGAATGGTCCTGGTAGCAGTGGTGATAACGGGGGCTCATCCGGCGGTGTCAATGTCGGAGCGATCGTCGCTGGAGTAATCGCTGGAGTACTCGCCGTGGTAGCCGCCTATCTCGCATTCTGCGTCTGGCTCTATCGCAAGCAGCTCAAGATCTACAAGCACCACGTTGCCATGGCTCAAAGGCAGGATCTTGCAGACGATCCCCGATTCATTGGTGCTGGATTCGCAGGCGGCGCGAGATACACGGACAAAAGCCAATCGAGTGACAGCCGCAACAGCGCGGACAATCGCAGTGGAAGCAGCGGCGGGCGCGCCAACCAGTTGTCGAGCAACAACCCTTACCGAAACGTACCTGGGGGCGCTGGCTCTGCAACGGCGGCGAGCAGTACCGAAGACCTCATGGCAGGTCAAGAGCCCAGTTTCTTGGGAGTGGTCCTGAATCCCAGGCGAAGCTTGAGGGTAGTGAACAGAGACTAAGGCCGCCATGCAACTCGCAAGTCTCTGGCATTTATGATTCTTGAGATATGCGAAAACGACCTTTTGACAAAGAAAAGCACACAATTTTTACCTACAGAGGTATAGGAACATGCATGGATCGTCGATCGTCCAGATACATGATGGAGGAGTAATTAGCAATGCACCTTCGCTTCTGCATATATATACCCATTGAGCGTATGATGAACTAAAGTCTTGATGATGCTTGTTTGGAAATCAAATATTTGACCTCTTTACAAGGGTACAAACTATCTGCTCGTGGATATACATCAGGTCGATAACGCATTTTGAGATTATCAGTAGATATCTTTGTTATTAGTATCTGCCTAGGCCTGCAGGATACCTATTTCACCGTTGATGTTCCGGGCATCTCCTCCTCCAGCCTTGCCTAAGGTTGGTGATTTTCGGGCTGCCTATTTGATCCACCCAGGCGTCCCCTTTCGGCGCTCCCTCTTCCCCCACCTACCCTAAAGATCCACGAGCCTTAATGGTCCTGCTCACGAAGAGTGGCCACTGGCATCAGTACCGAGTAAAGATCTAGACCGACAACCAACTCGGAGTTGCCAACAAAAACTTTTTCTACTTTTACCTTGTTAAGCGCAAGAGTCACTGCCGACTACTACCCAGCGTGCCATCCAGCCTTGTTCCATTGCTACGGCCAATGTAGCATCCCTACCAATCGCCACATGCTCTGTTCTCGCCTCTCCAATTGGATGTGGCTGACCACGCCCCGTCTCTTCCGATATCTTTTTGATATCAGAGACCTGAACTAACTCGGCAGACCGCAAAACAGCCTGTGCTTTTTTGCTGGTTACAGGTTGCTCTCTGCGTGTTTGTGGACGTTGCCTTCATTGCTTCTTGTGACATATAGGATACCGTTCTGCGCCTTTCTGAGAACGCACCCGGTTATCGCGATCATGGCGACGTCGACCTTTGCCTTCCTTGACACTCTGACTCGTGAAGTACCCGACCGAAGACATTCAACCGAGCATTCCAGAGCGACCTCAATTCCCTCGTCGCGAAATGCGAGTAGCACCTCTTTGTCGTCTCGCAAATCCGAGCCCGGCTGGTTCGGCGCAATGAACAACGTGGATCGAAGCCGCGCCAGCTCTGTCCCAGAACAGTCCTCGACAAAATCGAGCAGCGGATTGAGCAAGCTATTTGGCAGGAAGGAGAAGAACAAGGAGAAGAAAGACACCGATCACGTTGTCCTCACCTCGCGTCATGCGGCGGCTGTCAAGACTAAACTGGCTCTGGACCCGAAATACAAGAACGTGCATAGAAACTCGACGGCGACTGAGGGCCCTTCGAGTTCCAAGAACAGCCAACATGTTAGTGAGATGAGGCGCCCGCACTCGGGATCACCTTCGCTTCATGCATCAGGCAACAAAACAGACATGCCTGCGCTGACCCGTATCGTCAGCGGCGACGAAGCCGATGAACCGGATGAGTGGGAGAAGATGCGCGACGAATGGCGGCAGCGCAAGCTTACTACACTGGACACTCAGATCATCGAAGGCCAAGTGCTAGACAGTTCACAGTCGGGACAAGCTACACCCGCAGAACAGGACACGAAGAACGTCGAAACACCACCACCACAACAAGCCGCCGAACAACGGGAGTCTAGGACCCTTTCGAGTCCGGTCTTGAGCGATGATGAATATCAGCCACGACCAGCGAGAACCCATACACCGATTGGTGGGCGATGGAAAAAGGACGAGAAGGGTGTTTGGAAAAGATGAACCATCTGGGAATCCTGCATTGCGCCAACTTTCCTGCTTTTCCTTTCTCTTGGTTAATCCCCTCCGAATCACGACTGGAGACTTTGTGATACTCTGTAATCTAATTTAATAGGTGAAGGATGGACTTCATTAACAATGAGCCTCAGAAAAAAACACTCGTCCGATATTTGTACTATTAGCTATGCTACTTGAATACGATATGCTTCATGTGCGAGGCTGCGCTATTCCTTTTGCCAACTCGGTTTGATGTGTCTCCCCGATCTTTGACGAAAGTTCCACGCGAAAATGCTGTGGGAATATCTTCTCGCAGCTATAGCTTGACTTACAAGCTGGTTTCAAGCGCCCACAACTTCTCAGTTGGACAGATCAATGTTGAGGTGCACAGGTGCTGACACATCGGATACACATGCCTGCCTGCCATCCGTTGTAACCCTTGCGACTCGGTGACCTTTCCCGACCTACATTCCAACTCTTTTCAAGTCGATCCGAACCTCTTGTTCACAAAACCCCTCGAGCGTATCACAAAATGTCCGGCCACAATGGCACCCTATGCCACGCTGCCATGCCGCAGACTGTTGTTCCTCTCGTGGTTTCTCACCGATATTCTTTCGTCCTCGCCTGCAAGTCGAGCAATCACCCGACCAGAACTGGCTTCGACGTCTTCTGCAGCCACCCTTTTACCGAGCCAGTAGTGAATGGTGTCAAAAGAAGGCTAGGGACATTTCGATGCCCGCAGCAAGAGAACCAGTCGGAGAACGTGGTTTCCGACTTCTGGAGTGTCGGGTATTCATGCATAATAAAACAGCAATCATGTCTGCAATTCTGAGCAAGGAGAAGAAGCTAGCGACGCCTGCCATCGTGACTTTTCTCGTCTCTCTGAGAGATGTTAGCAGCAAAGACTTGACGCCAGCGTTCCACAGCCTCATTCCCTGCTGTTTGCCATATTTACTCTGGCCGGACTCTGGGGCCGTTTGCTGTCCCTCGATTTGGGGTGACTTGGTCACCGGTGCGGCCCCCTCGATAACAACGCAAAGACCGGGTCGATTTGAAGGGAATGCGGACCACAGCGAAAGCACTGCCCTGTGAGCAAGGCGTCACACAGGTGTTAAAACACGCTGATGAGACGGCCGTCACGTGGAAGAGTTGGTATTCAAAAATACACACCGCATCCAGCTTCCTGCTGACGACCATATCACTTGACGATGGAATGGAAGCATCCTCCAGAAGTTTCTCAGATCTATTCACCTGCTCCTACGGGCGTATTTCTCTTGCACAGAGTCGAGGATGAAGATACTGCGGACGTTCGCTAGACGACTGCTTTCCCTCCTTGCCCTCCTAACGAACCTTGTGGCAAAGAGACGCCGGCTATACAAACTGGTTTGAGCAGGGAGGTTACAGGGGTCAATAGCCGAAGCCACGGAAGAGATCCGCCTTTGATCTCAACGCCCAACTCGCACTTCGACGCCACGGTGCCCACAATCCTCGACCCACACAATCGTTCCGTCGGATAACTTATTCGGGAACTTCATTTCCTCAATCAGCTTCCCTCAGGAACGGGCCAGGCGCGCCAGGTCACGCAAGAGAGGGGGCTTGGACCTTCACCAGTCTGATCAGGGACCTGGGCGATGAGATACGAGTCTCCATCAGCTTGCTGCCCCGCTCCCCATGCCATTTCTGCGTTTTCCGTTGACGACATCCGGCAAATGACCACGGTCTGAATTTTCCCAACCAGTGGCGGGACACCGAAAATCCTACCGGCACGACAACAGGGGCGCCGCGAGAAACCACGGCCATCGATTGGCGGAGGTAATCATTGCACTCAATTTGGCTTGAAAATCACAGACGCAGATTTCATCGACCCCGCCACTGATGGACCACCAAACCTGATCCACGCGAGAGCGGTGGCACGTCGGTGCAATCCGGTGGCATCGGTGAAAAGATCGAGGACAGTGGCATGTTTCGCAGCACCACCGACGACTTTGTCATACATGGCGCATCTCCGACTCTCTGACTCTGACACTCTCCTTTTACTTTCAATACTTCTCCATTCAAGTATAGTTGCCGCTCAGCCATTTCCAACCTGGGCGCCCCGCTTCAAGATGACGGACTTCTATCGTGACTGGTCTGCACGGCATCTCATTCCGAGACTTGGGCCTCTATACGAGTACACACGCCCTTTTTTCAATTGTTGTAAGTACACCGCAAGAAACCGTGGGGATTTTTCCAACAAGGTTTGTTTATTCTTTGCCCTCCTGTGTCTCTGTTTCCCACCACTTTCCTCGTCTTGGAGCGACACCTTCTCCTTCTCTGCAACGCGATCAAAAGTGCTTCGGCTTCCTGAACCTGTTCTGTTTGACCATTTTCGAGCCCATCCCATTCGACAGATCTCCTTCCCCCGCAATGTCAGATCCAGAGAAGTCCATCCCGCCAGTCATTTCTCGATACCCAGACAGGTCCTACTCTTCCCCACAGACTCCTAATCACAATGAATGCTATTCACCCATTACCGAACAGTCTCCCACGTCTTCGGTCTCTAGATCCGAGTCAGACAATGATGAACGAGCCCTAACCCTCACAATTACACAAGCCTCCAGACAATCAGCGGCCAGAACGGTGACGAGAATAACTACTCATGGCACGGACCTCACACTAGATCCGTCCTTTGAGGTGGACTTTGACCCAGATGATCCTGGAAATCCGAGGAATTGGTCAATAGGGTACAAATCTTTTGCCATCTTCACGATATCCTTTGGCACACTGGGGGTGGTGATGTACTCGACCTCTTACACATCGGGCATGCAGGCCATGATGGAGGAGTTTGGTGTCAATTCGGAACCCATTGCCACTCTTGGTGTCACGGCGTACCTGTTCGGGCTGGCGGTAGGCTCTCTGCTGCTCGCCCCGATCGCTGAAACATATGGACGAAAACCTGTATATATTATATGCATGGCTTTGTACACCATCCTGGTCATTCCGGCAGCACTTGCTACAAATCTGCAGACTATAATTATTGCGAGATTCTTTGGGGCTGTTTTTGGAAGTGCCATGATTGCTAATGCTCCCGGATCCATTGCGGATCTGGTCTCGGACGAGTATCGCGCGACAGCTTTCTCCATCTGGTCCATCGGTCCCATGAATGGTCCGGTGGTTGGCCCAACGATTGGCGGCTTCGTCACTGAATACTTAGGCTGGCGGTGGACTAACTGGATAGCCATGATCTGGGCAGGCTGTGCCTTTGCACTACTGATCTTTTCCAAGGAGACTTATGCCCCAGTCCTGCTCCAGCGCAGAGCGAAGAACTTGCGAAAAGTCCATGACGATGACAGGTACTGGACCCGCTATGATATTCGGGTGGGATTTGTCGAGCTGATGAAAATCAACCTCAAACGCCCGTTGTTGCTTGCAGTCCAGGAACCCATTTGCATCTTCTGGAACGTTTACATCTCGATCGTCTATGGTTCGTGGTTTTTCCCTTTTCTTGCCTTGGATTCTTTGTTCCCGTCGTTGACAACCACTGACCTTGCACTTCCCTAGGCATCCTTTACCTCTGCTTCGTTGCATATCCCATTGTCTTCACGGAAATGCGGGGCTGGTCCACCGGTATGAGCGGCCTCTCCTTCCTTGGGATTGGCATTGGTACTCTTATGATCATTGCGAGCGCATCGCCCATCCGCAAGCTCATCAACTCGCACAAAAGAGACGAGGAAGGAAACGTGCCGCCGGAAGCAATGATGAGCATTGTCTGCATCGCGGCTGTCTTGATTCCTATTGGTGAATTGTGGTTCGCATGGTCCTGTTACCCGACCAAGATCCACTGGGCCGTCTCTATTGCTGCGGGTATCCCGTTCGGTTATGGCAACGGAGCCGTGTTCATCTATGCCGGGAACTACCTCGCATACAGCTATGGAATCTACGCCGCCAGTGCAATGGCAGGCAATGCCGTCATGCGATCTGTGCTTGGAGGGACGTTGCCTCTGGCTGGACCGGCGATGTATCGCGCCCTGGGCCCTAACTGGGCAGGAACCTTGCTGGGCCTTCTTGAGGTTATCATTATCCCGATCCCCTTCCTCTTCTACCGGTACGGTGGCCGCATCCGAGAAAAATCCACCTTGATTCGCCAGATGCGAGAAGATGAACAACGACAGGAGCGTAAGCGGAAAAAGGCCGAGGAGAGGCTACGCATCGCGGTGATGTGCGGTGATAAAGAAGAGACGAAGGAGGCCCGGAACGAGCTGGTCAGGGTCCGGAGTCGTTTGGACGACGAGAGAAATCTGGAGGTGGCCGGGCAGGAGACGCTGAATTGCATCCAGGGACTCGGGCCGGGGAGAGAGACGGTCTAACATCGCATATCCGACTACCTAGGTGAGGAAGAGCGAAACTGAGATTGTTGAGTGAAAGCCGGGGAACCGAACACATGTTGGTGTTTCCCAAGGCTCGCAGAGACGTTGCAGCAGATTATGCACCTTCGAAATTCGAAGACGAACACATTGATGAGCACTTGGTTATGATACCGGGCGTACAGATGACGCCTGCGACGATTTCGACGACCACAACAATGGGAACGAACATAGATACATGGGGGTTATGGTTCACCACCACCCTATTAAGGGGGTTCCGAGTTTAGAGATGGGATTTACGCACGAACCCATTCGAGTTACGATTCAGCATGGCGTTTTTGGCGCACAGCCTGGGTAAAAAGAGCTTGGGAGAGAAAACAAGTTTGGATGGAGTCTACGATGTAGGTAGAGAAATGGGGTTGGTTCCGGTTTCCTCTTAATGGTGTGTACGAGAGAGTCCGAAGCAGAGAAGATCGATGTTGCATATGGTGGAGTAGGTACTGGTACGGTATTCTATCATGGATACCTACTCAGTAGGTAAGTAAGGGATGGCTCACTACCACCACAGCCGCTAGATATGGATAATATAAAAGCCAATAGGAGAGAAACCCGCATTTTTTCTCTTATCTCTTACCTCTCATGGAATCGAGACAACCGCTGCCGTCCATATCGATCATACTTCATTCATCATAATACATGAATTTGCCTAGTCGAGGGATATTGGGCTGTGATTGTGATGTGTGTACGTCACTCATCAATCAACTCAACTATTCATCCCCTTTCCACACACCGAATCTTCAACCCTTCCACTCTCCCTACCGACTGCACGATGAACCCTTTTAGTAAATCGAAGGCCGCCAGCGACCAGACTATTTGTATGTAGTCATCTACCGCCGGCCACAACGAGAGCGTCGCGCCTTTGTTTTTGGCGACCACAGTCTCTCTGTTCTCGCGCTGCGTTTCATCCCAATTACGAAAGTTTCCTGAAACGGCCATGTTCAGCTCTGCTGTCGAGGTTGCCATGTTCTCCTGCGTATACACCGACAATACGTCGAAATGTTGCACAAGCTCAGGCATCACTGTCGCTCGCTGGAGCAGAGAGAGAAAAAGGGCGCCGTTCTATCTCCAGTCGGCTGCCCTGACAAATCTCTTGGGGATGGACATTGGAGTAATATATCAACATGGAGAATACAGAGCCAGACAAAATGAATCCACCTCAAAGACCAGAAAGACAGATACCTGCACTTCACAACCTCTACAGGCAACAGAGGATGGGTACCCTTAAAGTTCGAAAAGTTGGACTTTGATGTCGAGAAACCCAGAATTGTTCTCGGAGGGGACACTTCGCTGTCCAGGGAGTCATCCTTCACTTCCTTGCACACTTCAAAGCCTGGTGGGAAATTTGCTCAGTTTGGGTGTTGTGGACGGTTTTTATCTGTCGATTATCACGCACGACAGTTGGCGTCTCCACACAATGTGTTCCATCCTTCGAGCAGATCGGCTATGTTGTCTTCAATTGCACGGAGATTTTCCACGGAGTGCTGGGTGCGGATCCTAGCATTTCGAGTGATACAATCCTCTGGACACACATCGATGCCACCACGCCTGGTTTCAACTTCAAACACGACAGAAATTTCGAGTGTGCATACTTCTCTGACGCCCAGCTGAACGCAATCAACAACTCCATCGGTGGCAATGCAACGAATGATGGTGCCTCCGGAAAATTTGCACTTGCGGACGACAAGCTTATAAACCCGATCTTTCTCGCAGTTGCCGGACTGATTCCGGTTCAGGATGGACCGGTGGGGGAAAGTTTGAGCAAAGATAGAAATCTGCTGTCCACAGGCGCTGCACTTGTTGCGTATACACCGAACTGCTCAATAATGTCCTATGACGTCGCCTATGACTGGATCAATGGCTCCATCATCTCTTTCAGTTTTACCCAACCAAGAACGGCAGCACCCTCGAACTTGCCCACGGCATGCAGGCAACGGGAATGCCGGGGCGGTGCTTCCAGTCGGAAAGTTGGGCTCAAAGCCTATCCTGGTGGTGGGCATGCATGTTCGTCGAGCAGCCTCGACTATGACCACGAATACCTCTAAATCGTACTGCAGGTATCTTGTAGAGAAGATCTGTATCCAAGTTCAAGACGCAAGCGCCTCGAGAGCGCCAGCGGCAGATAGTCCCACCGACTCACAGAGCCAGGACTTCTAAGACCTACTTACCCATAGCGGTGTCATCTAATTGTAAGAATTATAAGTGTATTCCAGGTGGCGGTCACTTCATCGCTTATGAACACTCGGACTTATGTACCTGGGAGGTGATGGAGCCGTGAAAGACGTGGCAGACCTGCTCTTGAGTGTGGCTTGACAAGTGATCGGAATAACTTCGGTCATATTATTGCCAAGATTTATCTGCGCTAACCCAAGTTCGGAGACCGCACATTTTCTTGCACTTCCACCTCAACATCCACGTTTGATTTCAATCAACGACAAACTTCAGTCTCGACACCGCCAAAATGCCCACGAGACTGACCAAGACGAGAAAACAGTGAGTATACTCCCTTCGAATGCTCCCCACTATGTCGATATTATCACGAATGGCGCCTCGCACAACGTTGAGTCGGTCGACGATCAAAACTGCGCTTCCGACGACCTCGATCCTGCAATGCCCGGGTCAGGTTTCGCACGAGTCCAACGCACCGCCGACATTTCGAGTCGCCTCGCGAACAGCGCTCATTCTGATTTCACTTGCGATATCATTAAAAAATTGAGGGACGTGGCTAACTGTTGGAATCTTCAGCCGCGGCCATGTGTCCGCCGGTCACGGTCGTGTTGGAAAGCACCGCAAGCATCCAGGTGGTCGCGGTCTCGCCGGTGGTCAACATCACCACAGAACAAACATGGATAAATACCATCCTGGGTACGTCTACCCCTTGGAAAAATTCGAGCCTGAAGAGGAGATCGGTCTCGTTCGACCAATTCTTCCCAAAGCTCGATGTTTTGTGGCCCAAATTGAGTGCTAATTGCTGGACTAGTTACTTCGGAAAGGTCGGTATGAGACACTTCCACCTGCTCAGAAACCACTACTGGAAACCCTCGATCAACCTCGACAAGGTCAGACTCTAATCTGTCATTGACATGGGAAACAAGAACCTAACATGTGGCTCACAGCTCTGGTCATTGGTCCCCGAAGAGACTCGCGAAGCCTACGTTTCTGGCAAGAAGACCGATACCGCTCCCGTCCTTGACCTCCTCCCTCTCGGATACTCCAAAGTTCTCGGCAAGGGCCGCATTCCCAAGATCCCGATTGTCGTAAGAGCAAGGTGGTTCAGCAAGGAGGCCGAGCGAAAGATCAAGGAGGCTGGCGGTGTTGTTGAGTTGGTGGCATGAGCGGCGTCTTTGATTCTCGGCGATATGGCATGCTCGAAGTGAGACTGCACGCTTGGTATGGTCGAATAACGAGGTCCTCGATGATGGTTCTGTCAACAGAGCAAGGACGACAGATGGCTCGGCCTGCAGTATGATGTGCAAGATCTACGGAACAGTGTCTCATGAGGAGAGGCACCGTGGGACATTAGTAAAGTGAAAAATATTCAAAAGGAAATCGAGACGATTTCCATCCAGCGCAGCTACGTTAGTTCCACCCATGGTCGTGGCGGTGCAGGAAGAGACAAAATCCATTACAACGTTCTTCCCTGAAATTGCCATCAAAAGGCCCTAGTCTGTTGTTCCCTCTGTTTGCTTCACTTTGTCGCATGCCCAGACCAGATTTGTCGTGTGGGTCACGAAAATTGTCGGCAAACTTGCCCATGTACCACATAGGCCCCGTGAGAGCGCGTAAATGGCGACGCGACTGGGGGGCATGCACCAGCGTGTTTGTCGTAGAATCTCGTATCTCTGTCTAGCACTCCGCATTCTGTTCGCAGCTTGGTATGTTCGCATGGCTGACGGAATGGCCCGTTTCTGATTCTACCGAACAATCTCTGGAGCTATCATGGACACAGCGACTCCTCTCCTCGACACACCCAAACGAGCATCTCTGCAGTCTCAAGCAGACACTCTTCGCATTGATTTGAAAGAATATGAGCGATCATTCGCTGCGAGCCACAGCGGCCGCAAGCCAGGCAAGGGCGACATAAAGGCTGATGCTGTCATTGCGGCCAAATACAAAGAATACAGCCGAGTTCGCGATGTGCTCGCGGGGAAACGCGGCATTGATGCATTGAATACACCTCGCCGACACCAGAGTACTCGACGGCACGGACGGTCGGACAGTGCAATTGCAATCAGCCTGACACCGCATCGAAGCCGGAAGAGCTTTTCTCCTTCAAGACCACAATGGCATCCCAACGACATCGACCCTTACGACCCGCCCGCATCGATATCACCGAAAGTGATACCCCGGGCCATTGGACCGACTCCGCGAAGAGATGGCACGGTGCTGGGCATATTCGACCTGCTCTCAACGTCAGGGTCTAGGAAAAGCGTTGGAAGCACACCGGGAAGCAGAAAGAGGAAGATTGATGCACTTTACGATGGAAGTGTGGACCTTGACTCGCAAGAGCTGCCGGTGGCCCAAACCCCGAGCCAGAAACCCAGACCGTCGAGTTATACTCGAGATGGAGGTCTTCAGGCTACTACGCCGTCAACGAGAGCGTCCGCTGGAAAGCACCTGCACTCCAAGACCCCGATCAGCGAAGGCAGAAAATTCATGCTCGATCACTTCTTCGCAACCCCTAGTGCAATCAGATTTGCGACCATGATCAGTGGTGATGATGAGGCAGATGCTCCAATACAGAATAAAACTCCGCTTCGCGACTTTGTCCTCAAACCCACTCCGACGAAAGACAATGACCCGGGCAACGCGACAGCGAACGGCAACGACTTTACGCCCCCTTACTTGAAGCGGACTTTCTCCTTCAAAGAGAGACTTTTCGCAGCCTCTGGAGCTTCTGGAGGCATGTCGAGTCCCACATCCACTAGACGAGGTCCGCGACGAAGCCTAGGACATGTCAAAAGCGCGCCGAAACCGTTGAGTCAGATCATAGCAGACCTGGAGCAAAGCAAGCAGGAGACACAACAACGAGACGACAATGATGATGAAGATGACCTTGATGCACTGAGGGAAATGGAAGCTAATGAAGTCAACGTCCTCGTCAATGATAGTCAGCCCGTAGATGGAGTTTCGACTGTGATCGCCGCAGGAGAGGACCCAGCACCGAGGGTATGGAAGAAACGGGGACAGAAAAGGACAACAAGAAGAGTGATTATAAGACCAGTCAAAATGAAACCATCTGCGGCGCCTCGGTTTGTCGCTGATGACGAGGATGAGGATGATGAGATTGAGGCTCCGTGTGTCGACGAGTCCGAGAGCGAGGATGAACTGGCTCTTGCCACAGAGAATGCTGGCGAAGACCTAGCTGGGTCACATACGGAACATGTTTCTCCTGAAAACGAGGAATTTGATGACGGCGGACTCGACGAACTAGACGTGTCCGACGACGCAGACGAATACCTACCTGTGAACGATGGACCTGCCACTAAGAGGAAAGTGACATCAAAGGCAAAACACACATCGTCATCTACCACAAAACTAGAACCACAACTTTCCCTCAACCCCGATGGCTCCGTAAAGACCAAGACCAAGTCCAAGTCCAAACCCTCGAGAAAGCCCACGACAAGCAGCGCGGCCGGCCGAGACGAGAATACGACAACCCGCAAGATCAACCCGAACGCGTATTCACACATGAACTTCCGGAGTCTGAAGATCAAGAACAAGAATTCGAGGGCCAAGAGAGCAGGCGGCGGAGGGGGTGGCAGGTTCTCACGAGGTAGGAGGTGAGGTGTCGACCGAGCAGGACTGGCCGGTGCCGCGTTGTATGGCCAGCCCACACCTTTTGCACTTGCATTTGGTTCGGCTGCGGGTGCCTGCTAGAGGTCCTGTTTGTCTATCTATGTGGCTGTCTCTCTGAAGTGCTCGATGTTATATATACGCGCTACAATGATTCGATGCCTCGAAGTGAATCTTATCGTGTACGAACAGATCATGTGGACGAACGAGGAATAGCCGACTGTTGTGTTCGAGGCCACCAGGGGACGATATGTCCGACCCGATCCGATCCGCGGGGGGAGAGGGGGGGGGGGGATCGAGGACTGACTGACTGAGGTACATATATACATACATACATTACCTAGGTAGGTGGGTAGGTTGGTAGTCAATGAATGGAATGGAAATGAGACCAAGTCAATGAGTGAATGAATGACAGTTATTCATGGCTTTTTGAGATCTCTGTTTGTTTCATTCATGGCCACCTCTCTCTATCCCTCTGTCTCTATCTCTCTCTGGGTATGTGTGTATGTGTATGTGTGTGTGTGGCGTGTATCTAAGTCGAATGGTGCAGTCGTCTACCCTTTCCACATGTTCGTACGCAGATAGGGGCAGAGACAGAGACAGGGACAGGGACAGAGACAGAGACAGGGACAGGGACAGGGACAGAGACAGAGACAGAGACAGCAGGTATACACTCGTCGTTTCTGACCTAGAGTTCCTGGCCCAGTCTCACCAACTCGGACAAAAAGTCCTCGCCATTGACCAGTTCGGTGCTCCCGTAGACGACCCTCCTCGCCCGAGGAGCATTGGCGCCGACTCCTGACCCCCCGGTGGCTCCTAAGCCGCTCGTCCTCTTGACCCAGTCCTGCAGATTGCCGTACTCGTCCATACTGCCTCCTCCCACAGTGAAGACAATTGCCTCTGTATATCCTTGTCTCCTTTGGCCAAAGCTGGGATTCACACCTGCACCCCCGGACTGGCTAGCGGGACCTCCCTTGCTGTCTCTCGACGGCGGAGTCGAGCCGCTCGCTGTCCCAGGTATACCTCTAGCATGTGCACTCCTCGGATCAAAATATAGATATCCCTCCGTCATGGCGATCGCACTGGAACTCGCGGCGGGCGGGTCCATGATCGACTCTACGATCTTGGTCACCGTTAGATCCCTGTTCGCGGGGAGAAAGTTTTTGACTCCGGACACGAGAGCTTCGAGGTTGACGTTGCTAAATGTGTTCCCGAGAGCTGTGGAGGAGAGCTTTTCGGTGAAATTCTTGGAGAGTGAGGAGAGGCCGCCAAATAATGGCGCCTGGGATGACGGCTGTTGCTGAGATGGTGCTGTGGAGCTCATCATTGTCCCTCGCGTCTCCAGACGTACGTTGGAGATGTGTTTTATTGCCGTCACGGCATCGCCTACGCCAGCAGCCGTGAGTGCAGACTCGAATTCTGATAGCTCGGATTTTGAGGGCTCCCTATCGACGCTAAGGTACCAGATGATAAATATTCTCAGCTTGTCTAACGGGTTGTTGCCCTTATCGTCCGACTTGATGAGACTGAGCATTTGGTCAGCAGTTTGTTTGGTGATGGTCTCTTCCAACTGGAAGAAGTTGTCAAGTTGGCGGTCCTTGATGCCCTTGAGAAGTGCGGTCGCGATGTTCATGTGCATGTCCAGCGTTGCTTTGCGCTCTCGCAACTCGGGCAACAGTGTTATTGCTGCTTTCAAGTGAGCTGCGGAGGCTGAGCTGTCGTTGAGATCTTCGATGCTATTCACGCCTGTTTTCCTCGTCACCTCCTCCGCGTCCGTCTTGTACTTTGTGAGTTCTTTGTCGATGTCTTCTGCGACTTGTGGAAAGGGAGCGCTTGCATTGCGCGCCCAGAAAAAATCGCTCGCGTTAAGGTCATAAGCTCGGGGCTTTGTGGTCGGATCTCCTTCGTCGGCAACGTCCACCGTGATTCGGTTGAGGTGCATTTTCAGGACATCATGTACCAAGGACTGGTATGTCCATGAATGAGATAGCATCGGAACCAGGTCGATGTTCCGGTCAAGAATTATCAGAACAGGTCGTGAGGGTGCAGAGTATAGATTGGCTGCGGAGCCTTTTGACGAGAACAAGTTATCTTTCGAGTTGAGGACATGATCTCTTAGTTTCCTGTCCAGCTTGGTGGCGATCATCTTAGCCAGCTCTGTCTGAGGGCATCGTATAATGGGCACCGATCCCATTGTGACGCTGACGCTGAACAGCCCACTCACAATCCTGTCTATGGCTGCATCCTGGGCCTCAGCCTCTGCTTTGGCACTATTAAAGGTCCAATACGACTCTTTTCCCATTGCCAAACTGAACAAGTCGGGTTCAGCGACAACAAAATTCAGGTATTGGTCGTACACTTGGGCGATGGAATCTGCTGTATTTGTGGATGCGATCTGAGCGGCAAATTCTTCCAGGAGTGGCCGAGATATCGAGGAGATGAAGTTGACATAGGCTGGAGAGTAGAGGCCGCGGGCAAGGTCAGAGCATATGAGCTGGATATTGACGGGGGTGGGTTCGACGAGATACAGGACAGGCACGTCTGGTATGGGATAGCGAGGTGAGTTTATGTTTCTGTTGACCAGTCAGTGGTTGCACTGTCCTAGGTCACTTGTTGTTCGCAAACTGACAGATGTATTGTTACTCCCTTACTCCGCAGATCATTGACGCGTAGGACACTGCTGATTATGTCTCGTCCAAGATTGTCAAACACAAGAACCTTCCATATTGGTTCCCCATTCTCGTTGAGAAGTGAGGCAGCTGGAGGACTGGCTGTGACATCGCCATTTGAGATAGATTCGTGGTCGTGGTTCAGGCTCAGTATGCGTTCAATAGAAGCTGAGACGTGTGAGAATCCTCAAGTATGGAGTAATTCGTCCTGGGAAGGCTGCTCACCTATCTGACGGTCCCGCAGAGTCTGGGTGCGGGATGCCATGATGGTCGAGGATGAAGGTCCGCAGATTGTAGGGTGGGGGGAGTTGATGAAAGCCGACTCTCATCTTGCACTTGTAACGCCCAAGTCTAAAAAGGACAACGTTGCATCATGGAGAAGCAAAGTCGGCATGGAGCATCGAGTACCTTGTACTTTGTATAAACAGCCTCTGGAGGCACCGTGGCCCAAGGCCCTGGAACAAAAAGTGGCCGCAACTGGACATGATGCGAGACAAACCAGGCACCAAACCCAAACAGGCTTAGTCTGGAACTGCGGGCAGCGCTTTAATCTCAGAGGTTGAACTTGGCCTTCCATCTTCTCCATCTCTCCATCTCTTCCCTCTCTCACTCCCTTCTCTCATTCCTTCATCACTTCATCATTTCATCAACCCCCTCAAAAACCACTTTTTATCCCACGAATACATCCCCCTTTCCGCCATCCTCTTTTCACTCTGTAATCTTGTTCCTTGGCACCCTCGGACAGTGCTCTGTAATAAGTGACATTGAATGGTTCTCCATTTGGCATCACCGCATGGGCTGGAGACGGGGTGTGTTGACGTTGGCGTGACTGTGTGTGGCGCGTTCGCTCATCATCTAATATTGATTTGAATCCGCCCAAAAGACACACGTCCTTTTGAGCCTCTTTTTATACCACTCATCAGTGACGGGGGTGGATTGAGTGCATTAGTGCTTGTTTCCTTCAAACTGGTCCATACTAGAGAAGAGAGTGAATTTTTTTCTTTGAGAGACTGGGAGGTTGGCCTTTGTTGGCCTTGTTTGCACGGTTCGAAGTGCGGGCAAAATCTCAGAAGGGGTTGTGCCCTTTTCTCTCTCCCTTTGTCTTTAGGGAGGGAAACGGGCGGTGGTTACAAGGCACGAAAGGTGGAGGGATCAAAGGAGCGCGCAGGTGGCCAGGCGGCAGGGCGGCCCTTCGCAGAACAGAACCCGTCCTCACCCAAAGAACAAACCCACCTCGTTTTCCAGCCTGAGAGTTCTGGATTGAACAGCGCGAGACAAAAAAAAAGAAAATCCCTCCCAAAAAGATAACACTAACCCCCTGTGTACCCCGGAACGACAAATTAAATTCTACGGTCTCTACTACAAAACAAAAGTCCTCAAAAAAGCCTCAGTTGTGTTGGTCAGGGCACGGCAGTCGCCGCACTTCCACTTACATTGCCCTTTCTATGCAGCCGAGCGCGTGTTGCGGCCTGTGAGTGGCAACTTTTCTCGGCATAAGCCCAAACAAACCTTTTGCTCCCTTGCAAGCCAGAGCGACTCAGCGCGAACTCTTGGGCCGCCTTGACGGAGTATTTTCCCCTTCGAAATTGGGTTTTTTTTGTCAGACCGAACGGCTTTCCTTCACGTGATTTGACAGAACAGCCACTGCAGTCACGGCCGCATCAATCACTGCAATTAACCGCTGGACGATCTTTGACCACGTGACTGCGCCCCTAGATCCTCTTGGGCTCTAGCCAGTGTGTCGATCTTCCCATCACCATGAATCCATCATCCAACCCGTCACTCAATGGCGCGCAACATGCAAAAGGTCAATCATACGGCTTGCTTGATGGCATCCAAGCCTATGCAGGCGTCGATAGTCTTCCCAATGGAGAAGATCTGTCTCGATTTTTTGACCCCGAGCTGTTCGATTCCACCACCCTTGGCAGCAGCTATACTCAACCCTCGATGTCAATGTCGCATGACTACGATCCCAATGCAGGCCGACAATCGGGCACGCCAGATGTACAGCAGTATAATGTCGCCCAGCGAGCATTTCCCCACCATCAGTACACTCAACCATACTTCGACTCTCGCCAGATGACACAACCCAACTATGATCCCCGATACTATTCGCAACCCTCTCCTTCGCCAGTGGGGTTCGATGGCGGCTATTCGTATCAGACTCAGATGGGCTATCCCAACCAACAATTCAGTGCCCAGCAGCTGAGTATTCCACAACGACAGACTCCCACTCCTTCACAGAATTACCCTCCAAGGCAACAACAACAAGCACAGCCACAACAGTCACCGTTCGTCAACATGGGTCCACGTGCGCAGCTATCACATGTCCAGGTGAGTGACCGACGCTCCATCGTGGGCAGCCCCCGTTGTTTGCTAACACTGGCCCAGAACAACGACATGATGCGCTTCGGCACCTTTCAAGATCAAACTCATCAACCCTCGAATCATTTTGTGGATCCTTCCTTGCTGAACTCGAATCAGATGATGCATACAAGTAGGAGACATGTATCGCATGCTTCCAAGTCATTAGCTGATAATAGTCTGCCAGACAGCAACCATGCCTTCCAGACGCAGCAACCTTTCATGCCCACTTCATACTTCAAGGCGGGTACGACGGTCGATCCAAGATCCTTACAAGGAAGCCAATCCCTGCAGCCCTTGCCATCTGTCACGTCACAAATACCACGTCCAGGTACCGAGGTCGATCCTAGTCGTCAACGTCAGCTAACGGGGCCAGGGATCGCTATTCAGCCAAAGCCCGAACAGGATGCGAAGACGACGGCTACGAAAACCCCAGATGAGCCTAAGAAGAAAAAAGGTCGTCCGAGAAAGGATGCATCTGCAAAGCCCGATGGACATCCCTCAGGATCCGAAACGGATTCCGATGACGATCTAGAGATCGAAGATGAGGAGCCTCCCGAAGTGACCCCTGCCCCACTGAGCGTGTCAATGCCCACCGATGAACGAGGAAAAGCTCTCTATCATGCGGTGCAAGCTGTTTGGAGCCCTCGCAACAAGTCGGCTTCTCCCGAGAAGATCCGTGGTGGCATTGCTGGCTTTGGTGATGTTGTGCGAGGCTTGAGAGACGCCTGGAAGACGAAGAATGAAAGCCTGAGAAAGGCAGAGCTTCCTGCTTCTCCCACTGCTGCAGATGCTCCAAGGTTAAAGGAAGAAGTTGCGCGCTATCGCCAAGTCATGGAAACTGTCATGATGAGGTCTTTGCTATATGGTCATCCAGCCATCGTCAATAGGTATGTTGCCTTCCCTGCCACTCTGTCGTGTCCGTGTTTATGTTGCCCTGGCCACTTCTGTGTCGACATGGCCTCATGTGGCCCAGACTCCTTCCATAGACGCAAAGCTTTCTGCTGCTTCTGCCTTAGTTGCAAGCACAGCTCGATGTCTCAGGTCCGGGATTCGAAGGCGCGGATGTGCTTGTTCCTTTGGCAGAATGGTTGTATTCATAGCTCTGCATCCATAGATAGTCTACAAACCGCCTCTTTTCGTGATTCGTCTCGTATGCAAGGGCCTTGGGAACACCATGGCAAATATGTGATCCGATCACACTCAATAACGTTTACTGATAATCGCCTTTAGACTAGGCGAAAACCAATTCACAATGTCGGCCTTATACTCGTTCATGCTCGACAGGTTCAACGCAGCCGATTACGATAGCACCCTTGTCAGCTCCATCCTGAAGGTAAGAGGGCTCTTCACCTTTGCGGTACCCTGCTAACTCGATTCAATTAGTTCGTCGTCAAGTTTGGCACTCTTGATACTGAGATGCTGGAGATGACGAAGCTGTCGAAGATTCTCCAGCGTCTGACCAAAAAGGCTACGAGTGATGTCAAGACGTTAGCACAAGCCGTTCTCGATAACGCTGTCGCGGCTACGGCGAAGAAAACTTCCACCTCTCATGACAAGAAGGGTGACAAGCCAATGTCACCTAGATCTGTGGGGAGCCCAGCAGACGGGACACGAAAGGAGGGCACCGGCGGACTCAAGCGTGTCCGGGAAGGTGATGGGTCTGCCCAGCCGGTTCTGAAAAAGGTCGCAAAATCGATTCCGCATTCCTCAAAACCTCTCGCTCTCCAAAACGCCGAACGTAGAAAGGCGCTGGAAGCCGCACACACGGCCAAGGCTGGAGAGAAAGCAACTCCTACACCAGCTGGAACAACAGCTCCTTCAGCAAAGGCAAAAGTGGCTGTGGCCGCCCCTCCGAAATCTTCAATCTTTGCGGCTTTAGCATCAGCACCTAAGAAGCCAGGCACCTCCAACGCAGAACGAGCCGCTGCAGCTGCTAAAGAGAAGGCCTCGTCATCGTCGTCTCCTTCTCTGGCTTCTACCCAGTCAGTGAAGAAACTGAACACAGGGAAAGAGTCCCCGCCGCGGACTGGTGGTTCTGCCCCTGTCGCAAAGGCCGCGACCGCATCGTCCTTCCTGGGATTGCTCGCTGATATGGAGAAAAAGCCTGAAAAAGAGGCAAGGAAAGAAGACGGAATCCCGAACGAGACCGAAGAGCAAAAGGCCAAGAGACTGCGTAAAGAAGCTCGCAGGAAACTTCGTGTCACCTGGAAAGCCGATGCGGAACTGGTGGAGACTCGCTTGTTCACCCATGATCCAGACGAAGAGCTTGACCAAGGCGATCGTTTGAAACGCGACGCTGGAGACACTGGTCGTGAAGGTGAAGCGCTTAAACTCCACAAGAACTTGGAAGATCTCGAGGACGAAGAGGACGAAGACTCTTTCGAAGAATTTGAGCCATATACACCACCGTCGGAAGTGGACTTCAGCTACCTTGAAGATGCTACCCTTGGCGACGATTCACCACACAAAATTAATTCACTTAAGTTCGGCGGGATCATGAAGCCTGACAGCCCGAGCAGTGAAGCGCAAAATAAATATGAGCAAGACACACTCATGGCACTCTACACTTCCAAGGCCGACCGTCCGCAAACCCCAAAGGAGCCAGATGAAAGCAAGGAGGAGGAGGATGAAGGCGACTTCGAGCCTGCTGAACCCGAGACTCCCTTCGGCGAGCCCAGTGAGATGACGCGACGACGAGAGACGGAGTATCTCGCTCGACAGGTCCGAACACAACCTGCCACTGATCTTGCGGCACAGATTCAGGCCATGTCTGCCCCACAGATATCTCAACAGCAACCAGGAGCCATTCCGCCGGAGCTTCAACGTGCTCTAAGCATGTTGGGTCGATCAACTCAGCCGAGCCAGCCGACCACAGCGCCGCAAGCTGCCCCCGGTGCCAATGTGAACTTGCAGGCGATCCTCCAGACAGTCCTCGGCAACCAATCGCAAGCGCAAACCCCACAACCTCAGTACCTCCCTGTCAGCCAAGCCACGGCATTAGGACCAAATCTAGGCGCCCTCTGGGCCTCGATGCAACAGGGCGCTCAAGCCGGAACATCTGCCAGTACGCTTCCTCTAGGTTTGGCCGGAAATCCTAGCTCCTACGTCGCTAACTTCGACGACGCTTCTCGCAAGCATGGCCGCAGCGACTCCAATGACAACGACAACGACAACGGCAGAAAAGGAGGAACCAAGAAGAAGAAGGGGGAGTCCAAACCTTACCTCTATAAGACCCAAACGTGCACATTCTGGGAGCAAGGCAAATGTCTCAAGGGTGATTCTTGCACATATCGACACGGCGATGACGACGACAGCTAAGTCGGCTGGCTTTCTCGGGCGCACTTCATACTTACACCACTGTACACTGTACACTACTAACATGTTACGGGGCTATGAACTTTTTTGCTGAGCAACTGCGACAACCGACCTCTTTTTTTCCCCATCATTTCTCCTTTTCAAAAGCGATTTCAAATTCCAGGGAAGCAGGCAGGCACGTATGTGGATGACAATCAGGTTACGGTCGGATAGAGTGCTGGCTTCTCTCATGTCTCAAGGGCGCAAATCTACCTCTTTCTCACCGTCACATAGCATTTCGGCTGGAGTCACACGGTGGCCAGATCCATGGCTCGAGTTCTGGCCGGGTTTGGTAGAGAAGTGATGCAAAGTTGCCTTTCAATCGCATGTGTTCAAGTTGCTGTTCTTTTTCCTACTTTCCATTCCAGTAGCCGGGCCGACAGTAACAGGTCGTCGTGAAGGGGATTAGGAGGTATACGAAATACGAGGTAGATGTGCATACCTTCTTAGGTAGTCGCACTTTCGGTAGGTATCTACGAGGTACATGGGCATGTGCAGGAGCTTGGCACTGCGTAGACGTTATTAAGTGGAAAGTGGGAGAAATAATAATAATGACGTGGGACTCGAGGGTCGCAGCTGCCACTTGCGGCTTTGGTGTCTGCGATTTCCTGGCAGCCCTGGCCACCACTTACTTCCACCAGCCTGTGTCATCCAGTCCCCATTGATTCGGTCTGCATTTCCACGGTCACCGGCCTCTTTCTGCCTGTAGACAATAGAATAACTCATTTTCTTGACATAGACTGCGAGAGCCACACAGTACATTACACGTCGAGCCACCCCTTCTGTCTTCCTCTGTGCTTTCATTTGACAAGGAACATTCGAGAACAGCAGGCGGTCTTCTGCGCAGGCAGTAACCAAACCCTCTACATACTTGGCCACAAGGGGAGGGTCACAACAAACTAGACGAAGTGGTCAAATCGAAAACGTTGCACGTCAAAACATGTCGACTGCACTCGTGAGCGCGGACGACGATGTCCTTGACCCCAGTCTCCAAAACCTCATTGACCAGAAGTCGCTACGATGGATTTTCGTGGGTGGAAAGGGTGGTGTAGGCAAGACAACAACGTCGTGCTCGCTGGCAATTCAAATGGCCAAAGCTAGGAAATCGGTGCTCTTGATTTCCACCGATCCCGCTCACAACTTGAGTGACGCCTTTAGCCAGAAGTTTGGCAAGGACGCAAGACTGGTCGAGGGCTTTACAAACCTCAGCGCCATGGAAATCGACCCTAACGGCTCCATCAACGATCTCATTGGCGGCGGCGGGGATGAGGCTCAGGAAGCCATGGCAGGACTGGGTGGAATGGGCAATATGATGCAAGATCTGGCGTTTAGCGTATGCCACTCCTTCGTTCGGTTGCGAAATCAGGTTGCTAATTTAGACAGATTCCTGGCGTTGACGAAGCCATGTCCTTTGCCGAAGTGCTCAAGCAAGTCAAATCCCTCTCCTACGAAGTCATCATCTTCGACACGGCTCCCACCGGCCACACTCTTCGCTTCCTACAATTCCCCACGGTCCTGGAGAAGGCCCTCGCAAAGATTTCCCAGCTCTCTACTCAATTCGGTCCCATGCTGCAATCAGTTATAGGAGCAAGAGGAGGTCTTCCGGGAGGGGCATCACTCGAGGAATTGACACAGAAGCTTGAGTCGCTTCGAGAGACCATTGCCGAAGTCAATGGCCAATTCAAGAATCCCGACATGACCACCTTTGTCTGCGTCTGCATCGCCGAGTTCCTTTCATTGTACGAGACGGAGAGGATGATTCAAGAGCTGGCAAATTACCATATTGATACCCATTGCATCGTCGTCAATCAGTTGTTGTTCCCGGAGAAAGGCAATGAATGTAAGCAGTGTAACGCTAGGAGGAAGATGCAGAAGAAATATCTCGACCAGATTGAAGAGCTGTACGACGAGTTCAACGTGGTCAAGATGCCGCTCCTCACGGATGAAGTGCGCGGGGTGGAAAAGCTGAAGAGGTGAGCATTTCGCGATCTTGACGCCATCAACTCCACAAACTGACAGCCGCATAGTTTCTCGGAAATGCTGATTCATCCCTATCAACCGCCATCATGAGATCAAGCCCAGGGGTCAGTAGTGATGATAGACACAAAACTCGAGTTCCAAACTTTGCGCTGGGGGCCAAATAAAAAGCTCAATGCACCCGCGCTCTGGTGCGGACCGAATGCCAACATTGATTCAACGCCCAGACATCTGACACGAGCCCAACTCGGTAGATGATTCCTTTTCTGTCTGATGGCCTGAGGGGTCTAGATGGATTATTTGACATGTTTGGGAGCCTGGGACCCGGTCGAGCCTGATCGAATGAGGAGCAGCGCCAGCCCATATTAACCACCCCCGGTTCTGATCTGCGACGACTTAGCCGTCGTGCGCCTGACGTACTCTGCATGCTTTGGCCTTGCAATCCGGTGCACAATCAAAAGCCTCCGCACCCTCGTTTGTCAAATGTTATGCAAGCAGTCGACCTGCTATTGGATCACGAAAGCCGCGGTTCTGACCGGACAATAACCCGTGGGCCAGGGCTTCAGTTCGCCGCACATGTGCCTTACTCATCGCACCAGGGGCCAGAAGGTTATCGTCGGGCAGGGCTGCTCGTCGGCTCTGGCTTTCCGACTTGCGACTTAAGGAAATAGGCTGCTGTGGCTGAGTCGTAAAGTCGCTGAGAACAGAAACTGCACTAAGGGCTCTGTCTCTGCCCAATCACCCAGTCCGTTTTCCCATCTGCACATCGTGGTTCTGTCCTACAAAGCCCAAATAGGATTATGGTCCAACCAGCCTTGTCCACACGTTCATGGTTCACGATAGGGAGTGCGAGGTCCAGCGGAAGTGTAATCTCAAAATGCATCGGTTGTCCCCTTCGCAGCTTAAAAAATCCGAAGTCTGCCGCCTCGAACAAAAGGTGCCTGGACTGTGTGCGAAGTATATTCGGCCGTACTGTCGCGAGGTGCGACATTTACATGCTCCACGGCCTTGTTGACAATTTCCAACGTCTTCACTTCGGTGTCGCGCTGGGCCGAATTGCATTTTTATCCCAGGCATTGCTCACATATGCTTGATTGATCAGAGTGAATACCACCGATGCGCCACATGTATGCTCCCCAACGACAGGATTTATAACCGTTCTCCTTCCCAGAATGTACGACTCCCAGGGGGTGGCAAGCTCACCAATCCATCATCTTGGGCTCAATGCAGAAGAGTCTAAGATCGACCCACACACGACATCTTGCAGTCTGAGGTGCAGTTTACGCCGCTCCAGTCTTCATCAGCCGAAAGCCGGCATGGCGGAACAAGACCAGGATGACCGCCAGCCAGATCAACGCCCGCCAGCGTATACCGGACCTTTCCTATTTGTTAACAAGAACGCCACAAATCTTAGGTCCAGGCAGAGGGAGGAGGTGTTTGCAGTGCGGAGCCATGCCATGCAGATTGCCAGGCGATCGAGGAAACCATCGTCCCAGACCAAAGCAACGCAGCGCGAAAGCCAGGCACAGCCCGAGTCAGCGACACCTGCAAGTCCGGTAGCTCAAACCGCTGTTCCCAGTCCGACAACCGAGCCAATTCCATCGATCCAAGACATTTTGGAGCAGCAGGCGAGAGGAGTACTCCAATATCAGCAGAGGCAGTCTCAGAGACGCCAGCCAGACCAATCCCGAGGCCAGTCAGCCACGCATGAATTCCCAGCCTTGTCCTCCAGACCCTCGACTCTCCCGTTGTCGACTTCCAATCTTCTTCCAGCTGAATATGCCGCCTCTTTAGCGCAACTGAGCACCGCTGCATCGCCCGCCTCGCTGATTCCAGCCGGCGCAGCAGACCCCAATGTGGCCGGACCATTGTCTCCTGACACTTTTTTCAACTCGGTCCTGCAGTTCTGGCGACTGTGCTACATGTCCAACTTTTGGCCCGCACACATCTACTTCAACCCTTCACACACAGCGGTCCAGTTCACCGACGGCTGGATTCGAAACATGGTCATCAATAATCCGGCCATGCTGCACGGCCTTTTTTCCGGCGCGCTCAGTTACATCACAAACTATCTTCCTCCCACCGACAACACACCGATGCTGTGGGCTAGGGCCATCCATCATTATGGAAAATGTCTTGAAGAAACCCGGGTTCAGCTCGCCCAACCAGGTATCAGTTCTGAAGCAGCTCTGAGTCTGATTCATGGAATGACAACGTTCAGTTTTCACTGCCAAGACCTGGAGAGCTGCCAGGTCCATTGTGCGGCTTCAATGCGGCTCCTTCGAGGTCTTGAAGGGGGGCTTGACGCGTTGCATCCAGTGCTCAAGTACCTTTTGATACTTTGCGACTCGCTTACAGCAAGCCATGTCCCAAGACGTCCGTCGATGGACCTTGAGACCTGGGCACCTAAGGCATGGTCAGAAGAGCCATCGTTACGACCACTTGATCATCTGTTCAGCTTTGACGCTCATGTCTATGGGGACACGGACAATGCAATATTTCTCCAGACCGAGCACGGCGAGGACAATGACGATATTTGGCATCTCTTGGAGCTGATTAATTGGCATCGCGAAGCATTGGCGGCAAATGAGTTGGCCTTCGCCCTTGCAGACACATCGAGCTCTCCGAACATCTCCGAATCTGTTGGCGAAGGTGGTCAGGACCGCGCCGATCCGATATATACATGGCTTTCGCTGCGTCAATACGCCTTGAGCTGTCTCTCGTCGCACAAGTATATGGACTTCCTGGAGTTGGAGGGCCACGAACCGTCGCTGCTGTCACAGATACGCTATGCTTTCCACTCTAGCATGGTGCTTGCCACCAGCTACATGTTCCAGTTCGTTATGCGCTACGGTATGAACTCTCCGAGCATGGCATACATTCCGTTCCATCACCTTCGCGCGAGGCTGGACTTGCTCATGGCACTCATGAGCCAGTATCGGCGTCTGCAAGTACCAGAAGCAGGGAGGGCCCGTGGTGGAAGAGGGCCAACTAACCCGGTTCCAACGGACGCCCTTTTGTTTCTCTTCTTCGCTGGTGCAGTCGTCGAGGAATCGGATGGTCCAAATCGAGTCCAAGCACCACACCATATCACGAGGGCTGGCGTGATCCCTTCACCTTCTCTTGAGCACCCAGGCGATATCATCAATGAACGTTGGTTTAGTGTGCATTTCGCCATGGTGCTACAGCGATTGAACATCGAAGCTTGGGAAAACGTCAGACGGGTTTTGAAGAGGTTTGTTTATGCCGAGAGAATTTTGGATCGGTTTTTGCAGGTTCTTGTGACGAGGAAGCTCGAGTTTTTGGCGGCCCTGGTTGTAGGCGTACCGGATCATGTTCCTGCTGGTGACTCTGGAGACGCTGACGCTGCTGGCTTTTTCAGATCACAGGGAGTGGCAGGGTCAGCACGGCATGGGACGAGTTCTTCGCAACGACAACCTCCACCATCCCGACAACCTTCCCTTCAGATGCCCACGCAACAACCAGCACTCCATCAGTCGACGGGGATGCCGATACCCATGACATTGCCTGGAGCACCCTCGAGTCCCAATCTCGACGAGGGTCTTGGTTCCTTGCCACTGCTTGGGTCTGCGCCAGTCTCCCTCCCGGCCGACGTTCCCAACCCAGCAGCTGATTGGTGGCAAGACATGGGGTACGACATGGGGGTTCCGGAAGACTTTTCAATGGATTTGGATATGCATTTGAGCATGGAAACGGGATTGGACGCGCTATCTGATGTGCAGATGCACGGTGAAGACTTGGGTGGGCAGGAGGAAATGCAGCCAGAGAAAAGACCCGAGCAAGATTGAGAGGAGGAAACTGGTAAATGGCACCGAGCTGGGATGACGCGTATTCGGAGAAACTTTTCGTCTCGATCAAGGAGTAAGAGGTCAGTCAAAGGCGGTCAGAGAAGGAAGCCTGGTTATCCGGATAGGGATGGTTTTCTGGTGCGTTCACGCGTGGTGGATTATGACAAGGCATGTATGTACTCGTTCCGGGCACAGAATAGTGGAGACACCTCCAGCAGGCTGAGACAGTGTCCTGACCGGTACGCAGTTTTGTGCTGTGCTTGGTCCACATCAATCTCAATCAATCTCGTTCAGATCAAAGGCTCAGATCGCACTGATTGTAACGGGGAAAGAGGCGGTGTTGATGATCACGTGCAAGGCTTTGATCATGTGATGGGCACGTGCCTGCGCATGACGTTCCGATCCCTCCAACACCTTAAACTGCGCCCGTTGCCATCTCTAGTTCATTGATTCAAACACAGGTCAAATCAAGACTTTGACCCTTGCTCCGATCAGAAGCTTGGTTCTCCGTTAACGGCCCTGGCGGGTAATTTGGTGCGGGTGACGTTTTGACACGCTTTCCCCGGGATTGACAAGTGTTGCTGTAGTCATTGTTCACCGTGCCGAGTTCCGGGCAGGGTTTGATGCCTTCCTTGACCAGAGTGGCGGCGACTGACACTATTCTCCCAGGTCCTTTTGTGCTTTTCCACACTGACAGGGGTTTGACAATGCCGCGTTTCCTGAATGGCCGGTTATGCGCACACCGAACGGTCATTATGCGTAAAATCCGCCTTTTCTCCAGTGCTTCGATATGGGTTAAAAATGGGTTATAACCCTCGGCTCTCTCTCTTCAACCCCTCATATTCCTGATGTTCCCTCTGTGCCGCGATTCCGTTTTAGTTTTTGGCTTTTTCTGCAGGACAATAAGGAGCGCAGACAGCCCGGACCATGGACACTGACCTTAATAGAACATGGACAGCACCCGAGAATCGGCACAGACGACCCTCGCGTGCTTCTTTACGACGAGCTCGATCGACTCCAGGGGATGACTCTCACCAACTTTTTTCGCCTCAATTCATGGATGACCATGGTGCCCACCATTACCACGTCGCCGCGATGCCCGACGAGCATCGTATAGATCGGCGCGATGGTGTTGAGGGTCCAATGATCGAGGAGGATGCCATATCCGACACCAGCACCGCTGGGGAATCTCGGGAGGAAGTGAGATTCGGCGTGGTCAATAGTCGCGATGTTGAAGCAGGACTTAATCTGCCAGAGTTGAAGACCGAGAAGTCTGCACGATCGCTGAAGGATCCCCACCTAGTAAGTGTGACTCTTGTGTCTCCTCGAGTGAAATACCCCAGATGGCTAAATGTGGGCAGGTCACTTGGGAGGGTTCCGAGGACCCGGAGAATCCGAAGAATTGGACGTATAGGAAGAAATGGGCGGCAACTCTGATTGTATCGTCGTTTACGTTTATTTCACCAGTGTCATCGTCTATGGTGGCGCCGGCACTCGATAAAATCGGCCAGGACCTGGGAATCACCCAGGATCTCGAGAAATCATTGACCCTGTCTATCTTCATCCTCGCATACGCTATCGGGCCGTTGTTTCTGGGCCCTTTGTCAGAGATATACGGTCGAGTCATCGTTTTGCAACTGTCCAATCTGTTCTATCTGGCCTGGAATATTGGATGTGGCTTTGCTCAGACTCAAGGTCAACTCATCGCATTTCGGTTCCTGAGTGGCTTGGGTGGTAGCGCACCTTTGGCTTTAGGTGGAGGTGTATTGAGTGATTGCTGGCGTGCAGAAGAACGTGGCAAGTCCATCAGCATATACTCTCTTGCGCCACTCCTGGGTCCTGCAGTTGGGCCGATCGCCGGCGGATTCATTGCGATGAAGGTACGTTCGGTTTTGACGTGAATTCCCCTTCGACTGCTGATGGTCGACAGACAACTTGGAGATGGTGCTTTTGGGCGACCTCGATCTTGGATGCTGGTATCCAAGTTCTCGGCTTCATCTATCTGCGAGAGACCTACGCGCCAAAACTGTTGAATGACAAGGCAAAGAGGCTTCGGGACGAGACAGGCGATCCCAGCTATCATACTGAGTGGGATCGTCCCGATAGAACACTGGGAAAGGTCCTCCGCACGAGCCTCGTCCGTCCATTTCGTCTTCTTGGAACACAACCCATCATTCAGGCGGTGGCTCTGTATATGTACGTATTGCCCCGACAAGATGTGGCACCCACTAACAAGTTCTAGGGCGTACCTCTACGGTCTCATGTACCTTGTCCTGTCCACTTTCCCCACAGTCTGGGAAGGAATCTACGGCGAATCGGTCGGCGTGGGTGGTCTCAACTACATCTCCCTAGGGGTTGGATTTTTCTTGGGTACACAGATCTGCGCTCCAATCAACGACCGGATTTACCGCAAGCTGAAGAAGCGAAACAACAACGTTGGGAGACCCGAATTCCGTGTCCCCCTGATGTTCCCGGGAGCTGCCCTTGTGCCGATCGGTATTTTTATTTATGGCTGGGGCGCAAGAGCAAGTGTACACTGGATCGTTCCTAATATTGGAGCTGCGTTGTATGCAGCAGGCACCATTATGGGCTTTCAATGCACGCAGACCTACATTGTGGATGCATACTCTCGGTTCGCGGCTTCAGCCGTCGCATCTGCCGTGGTGCTGCGAAGTCTCGCAGGATTTGGATTGTAAGTGTTTCCATGTTCACCGTGTGGTATTAAGTTCGAGACTGACTATTGAGTGCATCGGTAACAGTCCTCTTTTTGCCCCCTACATGTACCAAGCCCTCGGAGTGGATTGGGGAAACTCGCTGCTGGCGTTCCTTGGGATAGGACTTGGTATCCCGGCACCAATCCTACTCTGGAAGTACGGCGAGACTCTGCGGAACAAGAGCACCTACGCAGCTGGGTGAGGCTGGCTTGTGCTGCGTTCACAGACAGGTGACCTGCTTGTCCACAACACGAGGCTCAACTGCCGCGACAGTCATGCGAACTCTGCAGCCCGGCGATCTCGCTGACAACCTCCTCGGAATTTTGCATTTCGTGGCGCAGTCGCTCAGCCAGGCAGGTGACGTCAGCACTCGAGAGCGTCAACCTGGGGAAAAGAGACCCATGGGTGCCCAGAGTCAAGGCGTCGAACCGCGTCACTCTATACCAAGAGTCACGTCCGAGGATATTCGAATCGATGGCCTTGGTGTGGCCTCGGTATGAGTGGAAATGCTGTTTGGCCTCTCGGCGACTCGGCGATTCTTGTTGTAGAGAGTCTGCAGTACAGGTCGATCAATGTCTGAAAATGAAGCGGGATCGTCTGGGCTACTCGCCTTCCAACTTTGCTCTCCCCACTTTCTCCACGCCTTGTGTCCTGGTACGGATTCGTTCGACAATCCTCGACATCTCCGCGTCTACCAGCGGCAGCATGAAGCGGGCAACCTCACCTCGAAGCTCGCAGATTGACGAATCCCGACCTTCGACTGCAAGGTCAGCTTATTGTCAAGACCTCGCCGTGCGACAGATCACGACAAGAAAATTATGAAATCCTCCGCCACTGCCCTCTTACCGATCGGCAGGAGGTTTCCCCCATAGAGCAACCCATGCATATCTTTGTGGTTGACTCTTCCAACATTCTTATCCAATCTACGGTACCTTTGTTTTTTCTACGCAAGCGCTTTATCAGAGGGGTTTTGATTGGTATTGACGGGACTTGATGTATGAGTCCTCCGGGTGCCTTCGTCTTTGTCGTTTACAAGAATATGCTGCATTTCTTTCCGCCTGCTCAGCAGGCCATCTGCATACCTGTCTGTCACTTCTTGGCTATTATGAATCATGTCTTGGATCCGGGAGTGGGGCGCTTGAAGAGTTTCTACAGCGACAGAGGAGGGACCTAGAATCATGGTATGGTGTGGTATAATGGTATATGGTACACCTAGTTGTGCTTGGTTCATAACATATAGACGGCACCCTTGCCCGAAATGACATGACATGACATGACATGACCATGAGACCATCAAACATTCGTTCATACTTTGTGCTGTGTTCTCTCTCTCTCTTTCTCTTTCGCGCGCGCGCCCCCGTTTTTTAGGCGTCGACGGCTCGAGTGGTTTCTTTCGTGATACCCTCTTTTCGCTCCGCTAATCCTTTTACTCGGCATTGGTACTGGTTTTGGACTTGACCGTTCTGGCGTGGCCTGTTAGCCTGACGACCCCTTTTCGCTCTCAAAAGACGCTTCTGGTGACCGTGGTGGACCCCAACCCTGATCCTGACCTCAAGGCTGACCCCGACTCCCGACCATAGAAAACTCAGTCGACTTCGTCATCTCAGCCATCTCAGCCAACTCAATCGAGAGCCGTCGACCGGTGCGGACTCCGACTGCGCACGCGGGCCAGCGCGTCCGACGAGGAATCAGGCACTCGGAGGCTCCGGGGATCGGTACTCGACGGGGCGGAACCCCTCGCGGTTACCGTCACGGTCGATTCGGATTCTTTGGCGTCACCGTGGATTTTCTCCACGTTGTCATCGCCGGCGTCGTCGCGATTGGCGCCGCGCTCATGGAAACTGTCCGTGGAACTGGCCAGGCTGGCGAGCTCGACGATGGCCCCGTCATCGTGTCCGTGGTGGTGAGTGCCCGAGGCGTTGCCGTTAGTCAAGCCTCGAGCAGGATGTTCCGTTGCATCGCCCTCGCTCTCGCTCTCGCTCTCGCCGTCTCCACCGTGCCGCGGCCCAGGCGTCTTCCCCCCTTTCCCATACCCCTCCAACTTGACGTTGATGAACAGGGCGTACAGGCCGAAGTCGTAGGCGAGACGACAGACGCCGGCGGCGACAAAGGCGATGCCGAAGCGGTCGCCCTCGGCCAGGACGCCCGTGACGCTGGGCCCCATCATGGCGGCCAGGTTGCGCAGCATGCTGGTGATGCCCATGACGGCGGTGCGCTCGTCGGGCCGGACCACGGCGGCGATGAACGCCGAGCGCGGCGCCTGGTCCATGTTGTTGAGCGCCGTGCGCAGCAGCAGCAACCCCGCCGTGAGCCACAGGTACGGCGGAAAGGGGAAGAAGAGCACGGCGGCCGACGAGGGAACGTGCGTAAAGACCATGGTGTTGATGAGCCCGATCTTGCGCGCGAGGGGGCCCGCGAATACGGCCCCGATGGCCCCCAGAAAGTACGACAGCGACGTGATGTCGCCCAGCGTCGACTTGGACGGGTGGAACTTGATGTCCATGTAGTAGTTGGTCAGCGAGTACGGCACCATCCCGTCCGCCAGCGAGTCGATTGCCAGCAGGAACCACAGCTTGTACATGATCGTCCGTGTCGGCTTGGAGATCTGCGCAAAGGCGTTCGAGAGCCAGGACTTGGCTCGTGACGTCCACCGGTGGGAGGACGGCGTCGGCTGGTAAATGTGATGTGATGCTGGGGTCGTCGGTGTCGTCGGTGCGGTTGCTTCGATATCATTTGCGGCTGTGCCGTTTGGTCTGGTTGAAAGCTCAACCTCTTCGTCACCAACTTCATCCCTGTCGTCCTGCGGAACGCTGGCATATGACTCGTCCCCTTTATTATCCGGTCTCAACTCACAAGCCTCGGTCAACAGGAAGACAAACAAGACATTGACGAGCCCCATGGCAGAGTATACCCAAAACAGCGCATGATACGCGCCGACCTCTGTCCATCCTGGGCGTGCTTGGAGGAAGTGAATGATCCTCCCGGACGCTTCGCTGCCGATGCTCGACCCCAACGTTGACGTCGTGACGTACCAAGCCAAAACATCTGCGCGGTTGGAAGGCGTTGTAAGCTGTGAGAGAACAGACCTAACCCGATTGAAGCATATTAGCCACCAGACTTCAGTCTTTCGCCCCAATAGACCGGAGGTTGGGCCCAATAGACAGACTTGGGGAGACGGAACAACTTACTCCTCAATACTCCTAAACGGACCAAAGTCTCCTCCCGTGACACTGATGACCCCTAGGATGGCCGCACCCAGCAAGATCCAAAAGTTCTCAAAGACGGCAAACACAAACCCACTCAGGATCATGAGGACCGACCCGGCCATCAGCACACGGCGACGTCCCACCCGGTCGGCGATCAGGGTCAAAAAGGTGCCCAGGAAGACATCGCCGAGGAGGGTGAGGGTCATGAAGATGCCGATCTGGTGGTCCGAGTAGTTCAAGGCCGAGAAGAAGATTGCTGTAAGACGGCCATGAGAAAAACACGGAACAATGGTGCGAGAGAATAGAGGCCGGCATGACTCTGCCTCGACTTGGAGATATATGCAACACGATACCCTCTTAACTTTACCTGTGGATGTAAGGCGCAAAGGTGTTTCTGTATGTACACACATTCACAAGCCGGGGAGCACGAGACCATGGCTCAGAGACTTACCCAGTATCAACGAATTGGTCCCGTACGCAAACATGCGGCACGACCGTGCCAGGATAATGAGCCAGGCATTTCTCCCAGTCTCGTGGATGGCCACGATGCCGAATTCATGATAGAACCATTTGAAAGGCCCGAAAATGACAGACATGACCTTGGGGGTCCTTGGCCTTTTGTCGGGTGTATACAAACACCACGCAAGTCACTGACACGCCAACCTCAAGCGGAGGGTATCGTTAGACAAGAGAAAAGGATGGAAGAATCACGATGCGTAAGCAGCTTTGAGGGCAATCTCGATGGTTGGGGCGGCTTGAACGGCATCTTGTCCGACACCGCCTATTGAAGTTACCGATATCGGCTGTATAGACAAGGGTGTAGACCGCCAATAGGTACCAAGGAGGTGTAGATTAGGCGATCGTGAGCGACTCCACACATGGCGTAATGAGCGGCAAGGTTGATTGCTCGGTTATTGATGGAGCCAGATTCAGGGGTTCGGGGCAATTCGTAGCCTTGCGTGTTGAAGTATGTCAATACATAGCACTCGCATCCAGCATATATACTCGGTACACCGGGATAAGACGGGGTCCCTCAGAGGATGTACTCCTACTCTGTTTCTTCCTCAGCTCGAAGCGCCAAAAGTCGGACACAGACAGCATCCTGATACCATGGATTGTCGCAACGGGCAAGCTCAAGGAGTGAGGAATTCTGTCGTAGGTCCTCAGAAACGGTCTGGCCCCTTTTCAATCCAACCGGTCGCTACATCAATAATGCGCGAAAGAATGCCGTTGGCAGCGTCATCATCACCTGGCAACACGCACGTGCTGACTCCTTGACGACATCTTCAACGTGCTGAAGGGATCGAGTATTGCTCCCTATATCTGATAGGTGTGGTCCAGATAATTTGAAACGTCTCAGGTGCTGTGGGAGAACCTGCTCGTTGCTGGATGGACGTCGCTGCAACAGGTAACTGGGTCAGGTCGAGAAGGCCACTGTACTCTCAAATCAAATCCTGCTTCTAGTTCGCTGGATGATATTCCCACATCCCCGAGTCTGACAAAATCACACAGGTGGAATCTTGAGGCCATCGCTGCCGGGGAAATTATCCTTGAACCACGACCGGAAATCAAAACTCCTTCGCCGTCTGTAGGGTTTCCTCCTTTGTCACGCGCACAGAGAAATGAAATAGCGAACGACAAGGTGTACAGATATGCCACGTCATCGAACGCTCGCCCAAAAGAGAAATACCGTCGTTGGCGCAATTTCGGAGTGAGAGTGCCTTGCTCAGCAAATACTTGAAATCAAGTAGATGCTACAGTTGATGATGACAGATATGCGTACTGCCTGACTTATAGTTCGAGATGGCGGGACATCTCCAATCTCAGACCAACGGTCCCTCTGTTACACTAGGTCGGCTGACGCGATTCGTTTCAGGAACGCGCTGCACTTGCTGCAATGTCGAGATGCAAGGAAGCGTCAGCGTGCAAGTCAGAGTGGCCGTCTGCCGATAACGTGGAGATCACGAGCTTCGGGAGCTCGGACAGGCTGACCACTTGGCCTAGATTACCGTCTTCAGTAAGTCCTTGCGTGTCGAGAGTATAGTTGGCCTAGTCGTCCAATCCGAGCTTATGGTGTTTGGCGACAGGACAGCAATGTCCCAGAGATGCTGTCCTGATAGCCCACAGGAGGCCCGTCGACGTCATGCTTGTCACAGTAGGCATGAAGCTCGGTGTTTCCCCAGTGTGTCTCGGACGTAATGCTTCCCTCATGACGTTGCAACCAAAGCGATGCCACCTGGGGAGGCCGACTGACAGATCTTATCTGTACCACTTGCTTCCAAGGTATCTATCGCTGTGCATCTGGGGCAAATCTTCTCGTATCCTGCCTTTCGGAAGGACTCTTTCGAGAGCCGACCGGTCGATCTCGTCGCACGTTTCTCTGCAATTGGAGGCATTTTCGCGGTATTTGAAAATGACGAAAGCAAGGCACACGCGAAGCCAGGTCAGCCTTGTCAGCCGTAACAATACCACCCCAAGTGGGCTGTGATGGGATCAGACAGGCGCTGCCAATGGAATCTTCTGCCAATCGCATGGTCGAGTGACAGGTTCGCTAGGGATTGATTGTCGCTAGAAGCAACCTAGTCGCACGACAGCCACAAGACAGCCACATCACACCTCTCCAGATCAGTATCCCCTTCACGGAGCCGGTCCGGTACCATGTGTTTCGACTGTCATAAGGTGTGAGGCATAAGTACAGCATCGAATGTCAAATGGAGAACTGACGAGTCCTGGCATGGGACCTGTTACACAGAACTACCGAAAGGACCAGCAGGATGTACTTGCTGCTCCACCTATGCATGTAGAGTTCCCCGGTGGACATGATTCGCAGGTTGCAATGTGTCAACGACATGTATTTTGCAGGTGGAATAGGACAGCAGTTCCAAAGGCGCGGCGGGGAGCCGTGCGTGAGTTGGCGGCTAATTTCGCCTTCTGTTTGGTGCACCAGTCCAAAGCTCTTAGCAATTTACTCGCCGGTTTTTATGTTGGGATCTTGGGAGTTCCCCAAAGCGTGAGACAGACAAGTAAAGGTGAAAAGCGAGTTTAGATGGTCCGAGGGATATGGTTGAATTGCCGTTGTGACTTTATCTCGCCCATGGGTCTCTTGAGTATTCTCAGGCCCGCTTAGAGATGTATGTAAATCTTTCTGATATATAGTGCGGAGCCTTCATTTCCCTGATCTCAACTTCTGGACACCTTTTGACCGTCGTCCCGGCCTTGAACCACATTCTGTCTGTTATGGCCCCTAGAGCGCGCAGTGTCGTCTTCCAGCTTGCGGCCTGAAGACGAGCATCTTGGGCAGGCGGCCTGGACGTGGCCGTGCCCATTACAAGTCTTGCATTGGGCTCCACTGTAGGGAATGTCAGCTCATTGACATGACATGTTAATTTCGACAGGGGTAAGAGGCATGGCCTAATCAGTAGCCATGTAGTAGCAGAAGCATACCGTGGAGGATGCCCTGCGCAGGCACGGCAAGTATTCCAGACCTTTGGATGATCGCACATGATGTGACTGAGGAGATGCCGTCTTGTTGAGAGTAGAGTTGAAATAGTGTTGAGACGTTGAGCAATGTGGGGATTGCGTATGCAGGCAGGCAGTGATTGACAATGTTGGACGTTTTAAAAGGGACCAGAAGAGTCGAGCAAGTAGGTTGAGGTAGGGCACGTCCGTTTTATATGCAATCCTGAGCCTTGTAGCTGGTAGTTCCCGCTAGATTCAATACCGTGCCAAATACAGATAAGAGAAACATGTCGAATTGTTTGTACCTTCTGTACAACCGTGGCAGCATGTTGAGGAGAGTCTGCCTTCCACCTTCTACTCGATCAGGTGTCTGCGTCCGGACCGGAGAGCGGGCAGTGCCACCTCCATCCCGTAACACCGGGACCGGTATACTGTGCTAACAACAGCTGATCCGACAAGAGAAACCCAGTTAGTATGTTGACTTTCAAGTCCGCTAAATCGAGGTACGTTTCAAGGCGAACGGGTCTCACCAGCGTGACGTTACAACGCAAGGTAACCCCTGGTGTAAAATCGCCGGCGAAGCCAGAGATCAGCACTGTTTCAGTGTGGAATGTGCTAGACTCTGAGGTCAGTGCCAAACAGGACTTGCTTAGACAGAGAGGCAGCATGCTGGTATGCAATCAGATCCCACGTACCGTGGCGAAGACAAGACTGTGCCATGTCCCTGGATAGCGCCAGGCCTGCTCGCGGCTGGCGACGGGTGTCCATAGCTTGCTGGAGAGTGACATTATGTGACCAAAATAGCCGGGGAAAAGACATGGCTTGTTGGAAGTCATTCGACCCGTCACCACTGCTCAAGTCTTCAGCTGGCCACTGAACAACGATTTAGAGGTGGCACGGGAAGCGGACTGCTTTGAAGGAGTTTTGAAGGAACTGGCAAGAAGATTGGTATATTCCTGAAGTAGTATGACTGGCTTCGTGTAGCAGTACGAAAAGGTCACTTGAGGCGGTCGAGGGGGTGAGATCGGCGACCTTCAAGAACAGGATTGGAGTGGCCTCGCTAATCAAGACTCTTTCGTGTTACGTTGGAACTTCGACTTGCCCACTAGTCCTGCTGTATCGAGCCTCGTGCATGGGGCTCGACACCATCCCGTCTTGTCGCTGAAATGAAGAGGAAGTATCGTGTAAAGTAGCAAGTGGACTGGGGTGGTGAGGCTATCACTCGAATGAGCCAGCCAAGGCGTATGATTGTTCGAAAGGAGCCGATTGGGCCGCTTCTAGCCGTCAATAACACGTCCCATGTCCAGTTATCGAACCCACGGTCAGCGCCGTCATTGGGGCGCGTGGCTACTTGGAGGTATGTTCCGTACCTGTAAAACGTCGGTCAGCGGACCGACGCACGTTGCAGGCTATGAGGAGGGGGGTGTGGAGGTAAACAGAGGTCAAACAGGCTCCTTGCCCATATCGATGTCATGGTGGGAGTTGCAGAACATTGTGGACGTATCCGATGACAACGAAGGGAGTCCCTGTTAGGAACGCTGTCGGACATAGCCGACCCCATCCTAATCAAGGAGATGTAGGTACTGTCTGTGTCATACCAGCATTTGACTCGCCTGTGGAGAAACAGGCCCAACCTCTCTGTGTTCAAAGTTCACATCGTGTGAGGACTGCGCGTAGGCAGTCTGTAGTCTGAGGATGGACCTGGATGCAAAAGAAGAGACGGCTCGAGTAATCGGAGTCGAGAGAGCAGGAGTTACCATGATCAACGACGAGACACTTGGAAAATCAAGTGGTGGTCCAGCTCGTCCAACAGGGGTGGCCCTACCTCTCTGAAGCAGGGGGGATGTCGGACGCAAATGACCCATGTGCAAGAAAAGAAGGCGGATTGTAATGGAACCAAAGGCTGAACACCCTAACCAGCGCTATCCTCAATGCATGGGCTGAGAGAAGATGCCTTGTCAGACGCCATGAAGCTTTTCTCTTGATTTGCGGGCAGCTAGGGAGGAGTTCGCTGTCCGCCAATTGCCACCAGTAGACGGCCACTGACCACACCAACGACGAAGCCGGAGGCCCGGCGGAGGTGTGGGAGCTAACGTGTCACTGAGCGACTGCGATTGCTTTAGAGCTCACGGTGGTTCGAGCTGAGAGACCTGAGGGACCTGGGGATTCTCACGGTCAATAGGTATGACAGGAGTACCGGAGAAGGGAAGCTCTTCAGCCACCAGCATGTCGTCGGCGTTGGTCTGGGCCCGTCAATCCTGAAGGGTGGGAAGGCAGAAAAAGGAGACCAACATGGCACGAGCCAGCGACATATGGGGGCTTTGAGGAACGGCCGAGACTCTGTCACGTTCTTGCGTGCGCCAAGCCATCATAACCGCAGGTATACGAGGTGTTTCGACGGCCATCTTCGAAGCAGAGTTGATGAAGGTGAAAAGAAGGGGATACCCGAATGTCTCTGTGTTTGATAACCGAAGATCAAGGAGGAGAGGCGCACCTCGGACTTGCACGTGACACTCAAGCAGCAATCCAAATGTCTGAGCCGAGGCAACCCTGAGTGAGCAAAGACTGACATTTGCATACAAAGGAGGCTTCTGACAACCACCACCGAGTCAGAAAAATCTCTCTCTATTCTTTCAAGACCCTTTGCGGCACACGAGTCCCTACTTCGCTAGAACCAGGCCTGTATCCGAGATCATGGCGCTCCAACATTTTTCAAAGGTCAAGTTCTTCAATGTCACGGTTCCCGCGCAATATGTCGTGCACATCGAGATCAACCGTCCACAAAAGCTCAATGCCTTTTTTACGCCCATGTGGTTTGAACTAAAGGCCATCGTGCAACAATTATCCCACGACCCCGATGTCCGGTGTATCTTGCTTTCGGGGGCTGGAGACCGAGCCTTCACTGCAGGTGAGTAACGGACATCTAGACGGGTAGAGCACAACGAGATGCTAAGAAGAGGCATTAGGCCTGGATGTTGAGCAAGCAGCCAAAAGTGACAACCCCCTCTCAGCCGACATCGCGGATCCCTCACGCAAGGCGACCGTGATACGGAGGGAAATACTTGACCTACAGGATGTCATCTCGGCCGTGGCGCGTTGCGAGAAACCCATAATTGCCCTAATGCATGGGTACACCTACGGGCTCGGGATTGATCTATCATCAGCATGCGATGTGCGCTTTTGCGCCGCCGACACCAAATTCTGCGTCAAGGAGGTTGATATTGGGTTGGCGGCGGACGTGGGGACTCTAAGCAGACTCCCCAAGGTGGTGGGAGGGGTGACCAGTTGGGTGAAGGACGTTTGTCTCAGTGCACTACCATTTTCCGCCGAGGAAGCGCTCAAGAACAACTTTGTGAGCCGTGTGGTAAATGGAAACAAGGCGGATCTCATCCAAGAAGGCCTCAAATACGCCCAATACCTATCGACCAAGAGCCCTGTCGCCGTCCAGGGTACAAAGAACATCCTCGACGCCGCCTGGGGGAGAACCGTCGAAGACAATCTCAATTATACCGCGGTCTGGAATGCGGGTATGGTGCAGAGCTCTGATGTTAAGAGAGCCATGCTCAGCGGACTCCAAAAGAGGACGCCGACATTTGAAAAGCTCTAGGTGATTCAAGGATAAGAGTTGATTGTTCCGGAGTGCCTGATTGTAAACAAAGTAGGAGAAGCCTTGGTCAGCTTGAATAGCCTCCACCGCAGCTGTGTCTGAGTTACTTGGAGCGGGCGAGGCTGGATTGGTTGAGGATGGACAATAACCTGTAAGGCGTCTTGCCCATACCTTGTTTCGAGTTTGTTTCCGCGACGACAATAGACATATGTACGTACCCAACTGGGGCGGGGAGCGTGTGGTATCTCTGCCGCATGTGCCCCAAGTACCGGTTCTTCCGCAGGCGCGTGTGCCACGTGATTTCTCGTTTTAGAGCTTCACTCAGGGCCACTCGTCGCGTTGCCTGGGCACAAAGCTGAGGATGAAACTTGCAAACCAGGTTGCTCTGACAGCCAAGCATGACCGAAACAAGCTGCACGATGGCCAGGATGAGATCAATTCGGTGTGAGCTCATCGCGAAGCCGGAAGCTCATGGACGAACCTTCGACCCCATTGGCTCTAATGACAAGGGCAGAGTAGGTCGCCACAGTGACACCATGCTGTTTATGGGCGCCTGATTGAGATGCCCAGTGTTACCGAACGACCCGGGTGGGTGTGGTTCCTGGGATGCCTGGGTTAGTGGACAGTGGGCAGCTGTGGGCGTCTGTGGAAAGTGATGAATCACCCGGAAAAACAGGCATGACAGGTGGAAGAAGCCTGGAAAATCGAGTCCACTCGCCTAATAATAATGAGCCTGGGCCAGCTCCCCCCAGCTGCTCCCCTGGCTAGCTAAGCTTTTTGCAGTTGGCGTCACTCCCCCAGGGAGATGCTTCAGCCAGTGACGTCGTTGGCAAACCCGGGTCACCCATGGTCACCCAGTCACCCAGTGTCCGCCGCGTCACAGCGAAGCTTACGATGCCTCGCCCTGTAGGTAGACGCCGGGTGGCGCCCCTCTTCTTCTTTTCCCCCGGCATCTGCTTCTCACAAGAGAAGAAGCTCCGTCATTCAGAGCTCAAACTGCCCAGTCAAGCCAGTACATCATTCCACCTTCCACTCCGTTCCGTTGCTCTCCACCTTGACCTACAGCTACTTTACACACAATTCTGCCTCTACCACACTTTTTCTCTCACATCTTCTTTCCACCTGCACCTTTTCACAAGTACTCGAGTTACAGCAGTATCTCCAAGCACATTGAAACAGCTGTATCGCTCATCCAGGTCTCAATCAAGCAGCCAAGATGGTGTCCAGAACAATTAACCTCATCCTGCGGGCGATCCAGGTAGGTTCCTTGGGGAGCTCTCATACTGTGTAGCAAGCCCGCAGTACTGACTAGAATCCTTGCGCAGTTCGTCTTCATAGTCATTATCATGGGCCTCATCGGCAACGTCATCGCCATAGCCTTCGCCGGTAACCCCTCATTGATCAACTACGATATGTTTGTGGCGGCATTTGGCATGCTGTCGCTGTTCTATTTGGTCGCCGTTGCCTTCAACGACTCTTTCATGGGCCATGCAATCTTTCCCGTTATTGTCGATCTTCTCAACTGCATCTTCCTCTTCTGCGCCGCCGTCGCCATGGCTGCCGAGCTCGGGGCGCATTCTTGCAGCAATGACGTACGACCCTTCATGTTGCGCATGCGCGCATTGCTCCTCGAGAAACATTGGCTGATTGCTTCTGACAGGAATATACCCTCCACAACCACCTTACAAACGGTTCCAACGACAGGGAAGGCCGATGCCGAGAGGAACAGGCAGCTACCGCTTTCCTCTGGTTCGCATGGGCAGCCTGGATGGCTAGCTTGTTCTTCTCTATTCTCGATGCTCGCAGTGGTGGTGTCAACCTGAGAGGTCCTATCCGCTCTAGAGGTGCGCGCCCAGCAATGTCTCAGGTGTAAAGATGTGAGCAGAAGCTTTGGGAAATGGAGAAGTACACAGAGGCCCAATCCTGCTCCTCGACCTCTGCATCACGTATGCTTGAAGACATTTCCGGATCTCTTCGGGAGTTGAGGGCTAACTTCATGCGAAGTCTAAATGCTGCCTTCGATACACCTTGAGCCATGCTTTTATGATAACCCCAACGAGGATAATGGGCGGCAAATCGGTCTACAGCAAAGCTGGCCTAATCTGGACGACAAATACCTGGTGTATTTTGATTCGCTGCTTCTCGCCCCTCCTCAATCGGCGTTGGACATCAACTCTGTCACTCCCTTTAGAATAACTGCTTTGCATGCTTGGAAGCCCGGCGTTTCGATACACAACAACATCCCAATGATGGAGACGGGAGGAGCTGAGAAACCGGAGCGAATGCGTGAGATGGAATGTCTGCTATGAAACGAATGTGTGCAAGATCTGGGTAATGCAGATGATCCTCACTGGTCCAACTGCTCTTAATGTGTATGATACAGCACATGGTCGTCTACTCGGCGCTGTCATAACTTGTTTGTGACGGGCAGAAGAATACCGTCTTCAAGTAGCTCTGAGGTAGCAGTAATCATGGAGATATGCAAAAGTTAGAACCCGGTCTTTTGAACAGTGATTCCGATACAAAGTCTGTCAACATTGCCTTCCCATTCAAATCACATCACATAATGTTCGTTCCCTCTGATTAAATAGTTTAAAGGGCCATGGTGGGATAAACTGATGAAACCCCGAGCATGAGCACCGAGTATATTCGGGATCATGAGTCCGACTATCCGACTGCCGACCAACGACGTCACCCCGCGCAACCACTGCGCAACGAGTCCGCACTTTGCGAGAGTACGAGGTACTAGACTCGGAATACCTAATTCCAAAACTCCGAATTTACCGACACCACCGAGTACTTGGAATCTGTGCTCGGTCGCGATGGTAAGCGCTGATAAGCGGGCCTCCCGGTACTGCAGGTGTGTAGGTAGGTGTGTGAGGTGTACTTTCGTACTGAGTACAGTGTTTGTTATTGAGTACAGAGAACAGAGAACAGAGTACGGAGGATGGTTGCCAAGGGTACCGATGACTCACGACGAGATCTTGTGGTGCATTCTGACCACCGTGTATCCGAGTATTGTGAACATATCGTCAAGAAACACTCCATACTCGATACATGTACTCGATATATGGATGAGTCCCAAATAATCTTGTGGGTGGGGGACTCTTGAGGAGTATTTTTTTTACATGCCTAGGTAGGTAGGTAGTTTTCAAGTACAATGCTGCTTGTGTGCTGCCCAAATTTCCCTGCTCGTTTTCAGACACGCTTTGTTCAACGGATATAGATAACACTAGCCGTCTCAGCGCGGTATCTGCATCTTCCCTCATACGCCCCGGTCCTGATAACCTCGCCTGCGCGCTTAGAAGTGGATGGCTTTTCCATATGTGGCCATGGCCGCTTCCTTGAACGCCTCGGCCAGTGTCGGGTGGGCGTGGCATGTCCGGGCCACATCTTCGCTGCTCGCGCCGTATTCGAGAGCTAATGTGCCCTCTGCAATCATCTCGCCTGCGTTCGGTCCGATGATGTGGATACCCAGGATCCTGTCTGTTTCCGCATCGCTGAGGAACTTGACGAACCCTTCGGTATCGAGGTTGGTTTTGGCACGCGAGTTGGCGGTAAAGGGGAAGGTGCCCACTTTGTACTTCACACCAGCAGCCTTCAGCTCGCCCTCATTCTGACCTACCCACGCGACTTCGGGGTGCGTGTACATGACGGATGGAATGGCACCGTAGTTGACATGTCCATAGCCCTTGGTGATGTACTCGACACAGGCGACCGCTTCTTCTTCGGCTTTATGTGCGAGCATGGGGCCGAAGGTAACGTCGCCGATGCATCGGATGTGCGGAATTTTAGTGCGGTACTCTTGGTCAATGACCACCCGTTTGCGTTCATCCACTTCGACGCCGATGTTCTCAATACCCAAGCCTTCGGTGTAAGGTCGACGGCCGATGGCCACGAGCACAACGTCTGCGTCCAGAGATTCATTCTTGCCACCTTTTGCAGCTTCAACCTCAATCTTGACGCCATCACCATTGGCGTCGCCCTGAGTGACTTTGGTGTTGACCTTGAATTTGATGCCTTGCTTGCTCAGGATCTTTTGTGCTTGTTTGGCAATTTCGGCATCCATGCCAGGGCCGCCAATTTGGCCAAGGAATTCGACGACGGTGACTTCGGAGCCCAGGCGAGACCATACTGAAGCCTGGTGACACATTAGAAAAGACGTAGCAGAGGGGATGTGGAGGTTGAAATACCATTTCCAAGCCAATGATACCACCACCAATAACCACCATCTTCTTGGGCACTTCTTGCAGAGCAATTGCACCTGTGCTGGTGATGACTTTCTTTTCATCGATCGTCAGACCGGGAAATGGTGTTGACTCGCTTCCAGTAGCAATAACGATATTTTTGCCTTTGACCTCAGTCTCGCCACCCTCGAGCAGGTTGACTTTGATGGTGTGTTCATCTGCAAAAGTCCCCGTGCCCTTGATGTAGTCAACGTTGTTTTTCTTGAACAGGAATTCGACACCCTTCGTCAGGCCAACAACAGATTCATCCTTGGCCTTCATCATCTGGGTAAGGTTGAGCTGGACATCATTGACGTCGATGCCTCGCTTCTTGGTGTCGTGGAGTATTTGGTGGTAGAGCTGTGAGTTGTTGAGTAGAGATTTTGAGGGAATGCACCCGACGTTCAGACATGTGCCTCCGAGACTTCCTCTCTTCTCAATACATGCTGTCTACCCAGAGAGTCAGACGACCGGTTCCCAGGTATTCTTTGAGTCACAAACTAGGATATATGTACCTTCAGCCCTGACTGGCCTGCTTTTATTGCACCAACATAGCCTGCGACACCGCCCCCAATGAAGACAATGTCATATTCTGAGGACTCCGAAGCGTATCCTCTCCGCCGTTGCTGATTCTGGGAGACGATCTGGAAGCTGGGAGCGGTTCGGAGGTTCGCTGGCCCCAGATGCGGAGCTTTCGATGAGAGGAGCGACCGGCCCGTCCGGGGTACCAATGTCTTAAGCATCTTGAGAGTGACTCGGTCGATAAATCAGAAGTTGACAGGACAATGAAGGGAAGCGACCAAAAGTCGCAAGGGAATGCAGCAACCAAATAGCTGGAAGAAGCTAAAAGCGCTGAGAAATTGTAGCGAGCAGAACGCCGCTGGCCGGGGAGACGCAGTGTTTCCCGGAGATGGAGCTCAAGGTTGTAGGACCAATCGGGCTTAGTGCATTTGAGGGAATTTCAAGGCTGGCGAGTTCAGCCTCGTCTTCCCATTTGAATCGGTCCGATCGGCCAACTTTCTATTTCTGTGTTAGCGTCGACGGGTTGCACTAGTCCAACTCGGGTATGGAGTGTTTGATATCAACCTCGACTTGTTACTGGGACTTTCAATTTCATCTACTCTATCAGTTTCTATTGCGGAGTTTCATTCAATCTAAATCTTAACAATGAAAGGCGAGGGGCAATTATGTCCCTGATGCTCATTGCGGTCGTCCTGTTCTACACCCTTGTACCAGTTGATAGAAATGCACTCTTGCATCTTGACCAGGGCTCTTTGTCGAGCTGCTGACACGCTTCCAAAGAGTACAAGTGGTCCAAAGCTTGCCAAGCACCGGTAGCATTACAATGCGTCCTATGTATATGCTTTCTGACCTTTTATGGTTCCTCATTATCTGAGCTCGCCCTTTACGTCGCAGGGCCAAATACAGGAGTGTGCAAATACCAGTTCACACGCTGTTCATGACAAACCATGGGAGGATACAGATTCTAGTATTGGTAAAATTTGAACCAACAATGACATACTTCACGATCGGCAGTGTGTTTGCTCAACGGCACGGCAGCATGTCCCCTGCCTTCTTCTCACCTTTGTCAATACAATTGTCGAAGCGAATATCCACAAAGACCATGTTTCATGGCTGTCAGTCAAGCAAACAAGTAAGCAGAGGCATTTCGTTAACAAATAGAAATAAATCTTCCACAACTCCAAGCAGAAGGTGCAAGTGTTGAAGTCCAGAGTTCCTCATCACAACTGGGAAAACACCTTCTATCTCTGTTGGCCCCGTTCCCCGAAATCATGTCTTCTCAGGTATCAGAATCCTTGCCGTTCTACTTTGTCGATAAACCCTCCAACATGCGAGTTCGGCTTCCTATCAACCAGACAACCTCCTGGAACCAATTCTTAACATCCCTGACCGACGTGTCCGGGCCCGTCGCCGCTCAAATCAAGAACAACTTTTCGGTCTCAGCCTATGTGAGCCGGACACCACAAGTACCGCAAGGCTTTACGGTTCGCGATGGTCCCTGGCTTCTCCGTGAAGTGACAAGCGCCCTGAGAGGAGCTGAAGAGCACGCCTCACACTCTAAGTGGCGTGTCATCTCACGGAAGCTCTTTCTACGCCTGCGCAATCACGCGTTGCAGTTTGGCACCAGCGTCGAGATTCTGCATACCCTGCAACATGTTCGCAATCAGGGAGTTGCGAGAGGGTCAGTACAACCACCTATTTGGGGGATTCCATTCAACGCAGCTGCTCGAGGCTTCACTCCTGCTACAGGATTCGGTCCGGGTCCATTTCCAGCACTGTATCGGGCACCAGGTCCAGCACTCCCATATGAAGGGTGGCACGATTATCCCAGGAACGCCCCTCCAGCGCGCATGTCTGCTCAAGGACAGTACCAAGGCGAACATCCATATGGTCCTATGAGAAATTCCGTCGGCATTCCACCAGCTTACGGTCCAGCTCCTGCCCAACATCACGCCCCGTATCAACCTTACGGCTCCTCTGCCGCGGCTCACTATCATCTAGGGCCTGGTTTCTCTCAAGATATCCAGCGACCGACATATCCAATGCACCAACAGGGACAGATTCTGACTCCTCGGCTGGGTCCGCATCCGCCTCCTCGACCAAATCACTATCCGCCGTCATTTTCCGCGCCGTTTCAACCCTCAATTCCTGCGGTGGCACCGTCCCAGATCCACATGGCTGCTGCACCAGTCCCAACCCCAGGTCCAGGTCTCGTCCAAGTTCCAGCACCAGCTGCACCGAGATCGCCGCCCCCCTCAACCCCAACGGACCTTTCCAGTTGGACCAGCGACATGTATCCGCGGCTGGTGGTCGATAGCGCTGATATCCATTGGATACGTCGAGAACAAATCCTACGAGAACAAGTGAAGTTTGGGCAAGCTCCGGTCGTGAAGGCGATGGATGTGTGGGCCGAGAAGTCGAAGCCACGGTACTGAGACGGGACGATGGTTCTTGGAAGAGAAGATTACGACAGCTGGAGGGAAGTCAGGAGGTTAAGGTGATAGAATCGTGTGCAGGGTGTGACGGTCAGTCCATATGAGAAATGGATGTCTTGATAGATTGTTCTTGTCTTGTCTTGTCTCGTCTCGCAATACATCAGAGTGCTTGTCACCATGCCGACCGACTTCAACGTGATTCAATGCGATTCGGTGTGATTTGCTATACTGTGCGTAAACTCGCTCACTTCTTCCACGGAACACCGCCCTGCCACAAGGTCACGCCATCACTCCCACCACGCCAATCCACCAAACCCTCCAACTCCCTCCTGCACGACCCCTCCTCATCGCCAAGTCTCTCCAGAACCTCCGTCCGGAACCTCTCTCCGTCCCAGCCTCTCTTCTCCCTCTTCTGGCTGAGACCCTCCCCTGCGCCGTACAGGTCCTTTTCCCAGGCGCCGTAGCCGCGCAGCCGATCGCCCTCCTCGATCTCGGCGAGTTTCGTGGCGGTAAAGGGCGGGTTGATGCCGATGAAGACGGTCGAGGGTGATGCGGGCGGGAAGCACAGCGCCGGGAGGTGCAGGTCGAGAAAGCGGGCGCGTTTGAAGGCGTGGGAGACGATGGTGAGTTTTGTTGGGAAGGGCGTATTGTTCGTCTGACCATGCTGCTGTTGCTCGGACAGGAGTTGTCGGACAAAGAGAGGGAATTGGACTAGCGAGCAGAGAATATTCTGGTACGAGTCGGTGGCGTAGCGGTCGACGAAGATGCGCTGTCTCAGAGCGGTGGCAGCAGAGGTGTCCAACCCGAAGAGACCATGCTCGATGGCCACATTCTTTTTTCATGTCCGTTCAGCAGAGACTCAATGGGTGCTCATCGCTTAGATACTTACCAGATAGCCATCCCCCTCGGTGATGGGCGTCTTGTCAGGCTTGGTGGCCGCACCGCTCAACACCAGGATGGCATTCTCCTGGTCTCGCGCCAGCTCCTTCACCCCGGCCTCGACGTGTTTGATGTACGTGCTTGTCTCGCCACTCTGAAAGGGCTCAATGAGCCAGTTGGATTCGTCCTCGCTGGCCGAGTCGGGGCCGGCGCCCAGGTAGATGGCGTGGCAGCAGACGACGATGAGGTGGGTGGGAACAAGAGACATTGTCTCGGTATACACCACACAGTCTTGCCACGTTGTTTCCTTACACCATACAAAGAACTGATCTCTCTCACATGCTGGCAACATTTCCCCCCAAACAAGACAACATTAAGATCCACCGTCGATCCCGAAACTCTGGATTCCGTTCCTGGCTTGACCAACTCGGTTTAGTGTCGAAAACTCGTGTTCCCCCGTTCCACCTCATCACGATTCACCAGTGGATAGACAAGAGACCTTGACGACCTTCGAGCCTTGAGTCATATAACTACATACATGCCTATAGCAAGTGCACACACCATTGCTGTTTCGTCGTCCCGTCAATCTATTGGAGCCGGCAGTCCCAACACCCACCGAAGTCTATATAATCCACTGAACTAGCCATCAGGACGAACCTCTTCCTCTCCCACACTCTCACTCACAAACCAACCAATTCCTTGTAACAACTTGTACAAGATGAGACTTCGAGATGTCCAGCGTCTAGAACTGCCACCCACGGCAGACATGCACGTCCATCTCCGGCAGGGCAAAGTAAATTGACCACCACCTCTTGATACTTGGGGGGGAATCTGCAAACTGAAAAGTCTTTTCTTGCTATCAGGTCATGCAATTGGTGGCTCGGCAGGTTTTGAACGGAGGCGTCGACACCGTCTTTGTCATGGTATGTACACAGTGGCCTATCCTTCAAAGAAAAATCACTAACTGTTCCATCAGCCCAATCTCCAACCGCCCATCACTACCGTCGCCCAAGCTCTGGAGTATCAATCTGCTCTCCGGTCCATCGAACCTCGAGTCCAGTATCTCATGTCCCTCTACGTGAGTGATTGACCCATGTTTGCTTTGCTCCAACGCCAAACATAAATCTTCCACACGGCCTTCTAACATGGGCGAAACATCCCAGCTCCATCCCTCCATCACCCCCCAAGTGATCGCCGAGGCCGCAGCAGCGGGCATTACTGGAGTCAAGATGTATCCTCAAGGTAAGGAAGGAAAGCAATCAGACCACATCTGCCATCTACGAGGTCTACTGTTATCCCCCCTCCCCCTTTCCTCTGCGGTACTAACGCGATCCTTTACCCTGTTTCAAAACCAGGCGTCACCACAAACTCCGAGTCCGGCGTACCGGCGGATTTTCTCAGCGCCTATTCCCCCGTCTTCGCCGCCATGCAGGAACACGACCTCGTGCTCAACCTGCACGGCGAGTGGCCGGGCCCTCTCCCCAACGACGACATCACCCTCGAAGAAGCCTTCCTGCCGGAACTGAAGAAGCTTCACGAGAGGTTCCCACGGCTCCGATGTGTCCTCGAGGTGAGTGTGTCGATCGTCTTCGCTTAGGAAAAGCCCATGTCATGGAGAAGGTATGTTATTATTGACGACCATTGTGTTTGTTAGCACTGTTCCACCGCCGCGGCGCTGGATGCCGTACGGGCTTGCGGTCCGTCAGTTGTGGGGACGATCACGGCACACCATCTCTACCTGACAGGCGATGACAGCAACGTGGATCCCCTGGCGTTCTGTAAACCGATCCCGAAAAAGGCGTCTGATCGGGACGCCCTGATCCAGGCGGCGTGCAGCGGCGACCCCAAGTTTTTCTTGTAAGAATTCCCGCCTCCCAATGTCACTTTGTCGAATGATATAGATTGATATCCCACACACACACACACACATTTGCTGCCATCTATTCCCCCCCCCCCAACCTCCAACCTGCACCTCCCATCTCCTTCATCTGACCCCATTTTTCTCTTCGATGTAGTGGCAGCGACTCCGCCCCCACGCCCTCTCCTCCAAAACGCAAGCGAAGCCCGTCCCCGCCGGCGTCTTCACCCAACCCTTCGCCACACAACTCGTCCTCCTCGCCTTCGAGGAGGCCATCGCCCGCGGCGTCCTGTCCGACGACCAAGTCACGCAGGACAACCTCGAGGGGTTCCTCAGCCGCTCCGCCCGGCGGTTTTACAAGGTGCCCGATCCCTCGGGAGTAATTGTGCTGGAGAGGAAAGGCGAGAGGGTTCCGACGAGTATCAAGACCGAAGGGGGAGATGTCGAGATCGGTCTGTCAAAGGCGGGGGCGGAGGTGTTTAGTCTCTCGTGGAAGTGAGGCCGAAACGGGACTGAATCTGGGAATTGGAACTGGAACGGAATTGGAGGTTGGGAGACGGGAGAATTGGGCGCGGCCACCGACACCGATTGACCGAGTGATCGCCTACCTGCCTGCCTGCCTGCCATCTTGAACTATTGTTTGGTGTTGTTAGGGTGAGGGCTAGGGCTAGGGCTAGAAGGTGAGAACGGCAAGGAAGAGAAAGACGAGATGATAGATGACAGACTGGGAAAAGGGGAAGAGAAAATCAATGGCCAATGACCAATGACCAATCCCATTCCCAATCAATGTAGTCGGTCAGTCCGTCAGTCCGTCAGTTCAAGTCCATCTTGGTAAAAATACATTTTATTCACATTTCCCCCTCTACTCCTTCTCCTTCGTCGTCTTCGGATTCTGATTCTGATTCTGATCATGATTGGACGCTGTAAATCCATCAATTTCACACGGTACACAACTTATTTTGTCTGGGTATATATATACAACAGTTATGTGAGATCCTTTTCCCCTCCGCCTGCGCCAATTTCACATCCATGTCTCACCGCGCAGTAACCGTCATGGTCATGGTCACCGTCTCCGTCACCGTCTCCGTCACCGTCGCCTGCGCCTGTGCCGGCGTCGCGTCGGGCGTCACGGGGATCACGGCCAGGCCGTCCGTTGTCGAAGTGGTGGTTGCTGCTGCAGGTGTTGCCGAGGCTGCTGTTGCTGAAGACGCAGACGCCGCGCCCGTGTCCACGCTCGACGTGGGTGTGGCTTCAGAAGCCGGTGCTGGCAAAGACGATGACGGCAGTGTAGCTGTGTCGGTCGCGGGCTGAACGGCGCCCAGGGAATTGGGAGATGTGGTGCTTGCTGGCGCCGGCTCTTGAGCGGTGGCGGTGCTTGCGGCATTGCCGTTCGCGTCCGGCGTAAGCGTCGTGTACCCAGCAATAGGACCCGTAAAGGTTGGACTAGCAGTGACAAACACGGTCGTCACAGACCCCGCAGGTTGTTGTTCTCCTTGGTCTCCAGCCCCTGCATCCGACGACGGAGATGCTTCTGCCACGGCATCTGACGAGGTGGTTGAAGCGGCCGCAGTGACTTGGGCTGTCACAAGAACGGTCTCCACGATGGTCGTTTGGGCTTGTACCGTGACCGTCGAGGTCGGTGCTTCCTGTGCCCCGGTCTGCGCCGCATTGGGTTGAATGGCTGTTCCGGACCCAACCGCCTCAGGTCCACTCGGCGTAGAGCCCTCTGTGGCAGCCGTCTGTTCAGCGGCAGAGCTCTCGGCTGCAGCAGTTACCGTCTCGCGCGGCGCTGCTGCCTGAGTAGCCAGTGAGATTGTGGTTTGCGTCAACAAGCTGATCAGACTCGTATTATCGCCTCCCACCCCAACAGCAGGGACCGCCCCGTTTTCCGTTCCACTCCCTGTCGGGGCAGCAAATGGGTTGATACTCGGCGTGGTTTGCGACGCAGCCTGTTGGTTCACCGGATCTGTAGGAGCTTGTCGTCTCTTCAAGGGTCCACGAGTCACTGAGAGTTTGTTCACCACATAGCGTTTTTGTGGCTGGTCCACACGACGTATTACATTATCAGGCCTGCGACGAAATCAACATGTGTCCAAGAAAACACCGACGAAAACATACCTATGAATGGGACCTGCTGAGATGAGTGTCAACAGAAACAGGAGGCCAACTATGGAAACGAAGGCATGCATGACTGTCCAGCAGTATCTGAGGTCAAGGAAATTGCAGTGGTGTACACGGGGCTGATGGAAGACGGATCAATGAAATCGTTGGACACCCGCGTGCAGACAGAAATGTAGAGGCGAACAAAACTCCTCAGCTATGCAAACAGATTCAGATGTATGAGAGAAGAGTTTCCAGCGCACATCTTGTTCCCAGATACTGCTGTCGACCTTTTTGAAGTATCGTGAGGCGGCGCGTACCAGATTGGCGACACCATCGTGGTGGTATTTCTGGCAGTTCTAATCTGATTCTATGTCTGTTGATTGAAACATGTTTCTTCTATGCCGTGAAACAAACGCAGTAGCTGCAAGTCGTCTATGCAGAAGAGGATCTTTGTTTCCGAGAAAGAGCAGAGACAGGAATGGTTGGTGGTCGGGAGGCCAAGGCAGATCAACATAGATGCTGGCAGAGGCGAAAATGTTGCCAAGACCAGCCCGAGACAGGCGAATGATTGGCTGGGGATGATTCCCCAAAAGGGCGCCAGCCTTGCGGCCTCAACGGCTTCATGCAGAGCCGCCAGCTCCACCTCCACCGCCCTGTTTCATCTTGCTGCTTTCTGTCCCAGTCTCTTTGAGAACTACTCTCTCCAAAGAAACATTGCTGGTCAGCTGGTCGACGTAGGGCGCTAATGCAAGGCTCGCTTCTCGCTGATTTCCTCAAATGACTGGATCTGGTCGCCCACTTCGAATGCTTCCCAGTTCTCAAAACCCATGCCGCATTCAGAGCCTTTCCGCATCTCGGTAACATCCTTCTTGATGTTTTTGAAGGAATTGAGTGTGCCTAGTGCTTCGTTAGTGGACCCCACAACCAAATACACATGAAACCACTGACCAGTGTAAATCACCTCGCCTTTCCTCAAGACTCGGATCTTCTCCGAGCGGCGAATCGTACCGTTGGTCACCCGGCACCCAGCGATCTTTATTGACCCTTTCTTAATTTTGATGTCAAAGATATCTCCAACCTCGGCTTCTCCCAACACGCGCTGGGTCACAATTGGAGGCAATTCTGCACTGACTTTCTCCGTGACTTCGTCGGTAACCTTGTAAATGATGTTGTGGTCAAGGATCTGAATCCTAGCAGCTGCTGCAAGTTGACGGATGTCGTTGTCGATGGGTTGATTGAATGAGATGGCATAAGCAACTTCGCCGGTTGCAGCCAGCTTCTTGATGTCCGACTCGGTCAAGCCGCCCGTCCCACTATGAACGATGTTTGCCCGGATTTCGTTGTTGCCAATGGCACTCACAGCAGCCACCAAGGCCTCTGTGCTGCCAGCCACATCGGCCTTGACGACAAAATGAACAAGTTGAGGCCCTGAAGACTCTTTCTCGATCCAGCCTTCATTGTCCTTGGGACGCCGTTTGTACCCCATGGAGAGATAACCTTGGTCTTTCTCCCACTCCAGGACTTTGCTTCGAGCTGCCGCTTCCTCGGCGCGTGTTGCGTTGATCGCCGTCATATTGTCCATCTCCCAGGCTGCTTCCTCGCGCTCTTTTCTTACCGACACCGCTTCTTTTGCTCTCTGCTCGGTATCTGCCTGCAACACCTCTAGGCCTGCCTCGGGATCATCTCCTCGCCAGCCATCTATTTGGACAGGGGTGCCCGGAGGTGCAGCGTCAATCAATTCTCCTGAATCGTTTCGCAGAGTTCGAATACGAGCCCAGGTAGTGCCGGCAACAATAAAGTCGCCTGGTCTCAAAGTCCCACGACGAACGAGAATAGTAGCGACACGACCCGTGGCACCAACTTTGCTTTCAATGATCCATCCTTCCGCTGGTCCGTCATTTTCGGCACGGTAGTCGGCAACGTCAGCCAGAGTGAGAATCGCTTCTTCCAAATCTTCCATGCCTTTACCGGTCTTGCCGCTCACAGGTATGGCTTGATAGTCTCCTCCAAAGTCTTCCACGACGATCTCGTGTTGCATCAGATCTCGCTTGACTTGCTCAATGTCGGCTTCAGGTTTGTCAACCTTGTTGATTGCCACGATAATTTGCACACCGGCCTCCCGGGCGTGTTTGATGGCTTCTACAGTCTGAGCCTTGACACTGTCGTCTGCTGCAACAACCAAGACCACAATGTCGGTCACAACAGCACCTCTTCTGCGCATCTCCAAAAATGCAGCATGCCCAGGAGTATCCAGAAACGTGATATTGCGTTCTGATCCAGGCATCGTGACGGAGAAAGCCCCAATATGTTGGGTGATGCCCCCATGCTCTGTTGCAACCACGTTCGCCTTCCTGAAGTAATCAAGGATGGTGGTTTTCCCGTGGTCGACGTGACCCATGATTGTCACAATGGGTGGTCGAGGCGGCAACGTCGAAGGATCTTCCGCTGCAGGACGCGGGAAGATATCCCCAGTCTCATCAATGGTTTTGACGACAGCTTCAAACCCATAGATTTCGGCAAACATGGCAGACGTGCTCGAATCCAGAACGTGGTCGTACCTTGCACCCTCAAATCCCTCCTCTTCAAGCTTGTCGACGAAGTCTGGTAGTCTCACTTTAAGGGCTTGCGCTAGCTTTTCCACACTGATGAACTCTGGAAGAAGTATTTCTGGGCGTGCTGGCGTTTGTTGTTTCGCGTTGGCTTGTTTTCCCTTCTTCTTCCGCCTTGCCTTTGCCTCGTCGGGAAATTCATCCGCCAGATCGGGGTCAAAGTGAAAGTCCAATGAACCTGCCCTGGAGACACCACTTCTCCTAGCGGTGGGAAGCTTAGCTCTTCGAGACACCTGTAGAGGCTCCTCGTCCTCGATTTCATAAAGCCGAGCTCTTCTGTCAAGATCCTTGCCACCTACGAGTTTTCGCTTGCGCCTGTCGCCTTCAGCATCCTCTCCAAGCTCGGTCTCCACTAGTACAGCCGATTCTTCTTCGGGAGTAGCTTGCCCCTCCGATGCTTCGGATGTTCTCTTTACAGGTCGGTCCCGGCTGGTTCTTGCATCGAATGCTCTCTGCCGACCACCCGCTGAATCAGGTCGCCAGACTGAGGCATTGTCGCGAGCACCCCTCATACTCGGCTCTTTGTCTGCTCCAGATCCATGCGGGAAACGCCTTGGGAAATCCTGTCCAGTAGGTTTCGAGACTCGCCTCTCTCGACCGCTTCCTCTGGGGCCCAGAGAGTCCCTCGGTGAAGATCGGAAGGGGGGAGCGCTGGGTTTCTCTTCGGTTGATCCAACTCCTTCCCCAAAAGGCGCCGACCGACGTGATTCTCCAGCCGTCCTACTCTCGGGTCCCCGATATTTTAGAGCATTGCCTATCCTTGATGGTGGAGAGGAAGTCCCGAGCTCTTTCTTAAACCCATTCGTATTATTGTCGCTCCCTCTTCGGTCTGCAGATGGCTTCCGGATATGCGAGTATCTGAAAAGTGGGCGCTCGGTTTCGGGAGAGGCCTCGCTCGAGAGTTCATCACCCCTACCATTTCTCCTATCGAATCTATTGCCATTATCGTCTCGGCGAGCCCTGCCCATTGGAGACCACTGCTCCTGGCGCTGAGATTGTGTAGGTCGAGATCGTGGATCAGGCGGAGGCTCATTGCGCGATCTCTGTTGGAAGTCCGATTGCGTGCGGGACAGGATCTCCGATATTGAGCTTTCACCAGCAGGGCTGTGACCGTTTCGGGGTCGACCGTTTGACGGAGGAAGAGATTGGAGAGGAGAAGGAGGAAAGAGCGATGAACTGTGGTCCGAATAGACCATTTCGGGTCTTTGTGGACGAGAACTCAAGCATATCGTACACTCTGATCTCGCAGGCTTGTTGACGTGATTGCAACGGCATTTCCAGCCGAGAAGCTCTCGTGCTGGCGCCGCCGGGGGAGCGAAATCGTCATCCTCCTCTTCTATTCGGGCGACTGCTGCTCCAGCTGGACGTTTCGATGCACTGGCAGCTCTATAAAGTCGACGCTGCGATTGGAGGGAGCTAGCATAGCGAGACTCGGCGGCGTATCGGAAAGCGCAGAAAAAGCAGATGTCTTGCCCTTGTAACAGCTGATGTAGACCGGTCAGTGTCTATCTCGTAGAACATATAATGGAAGACGACTGTCTGAATATACCTTTCGCGTCACTGCCCTACGCATGCTGGTCTGTTGTTGCCTCACCCAAGTCGGATGGTTTTGTTCCGTTACTGATTTCAATAGGAGACACGCCACATCGACTTCGTATCTACAACTTTTTTTTGGGGACGACCCCATTTGGGTGAATCAAAAGAAACTCAGCGCAGATACCTACTTCAGAGTCTACCGACCGCCAAGCGCAATTCTACCCCGTGCCAGGAAGTCTGCTGTCCAACATGGTACTTCATTTTTACAAATTAATCTACCCTCTCTAGCGAACACAAATGCTGCAGATGGCGTACTGACTAAGAAGCACTTTGTCGGACAGTACAGCGAGCATCGAGTCCCTACGAGCACATCCTCGTCCAGCGAAAAGAGCCAATCACGAACTAGCGGTCAAACCCGCGACAGCGACGGAGTACCGCCCGTGAGAAGCTAACGAATGACGTGCCGCGAAGGAAAAAGAATCTAATACTGAAATAGTCTGCCTCTACAAAACACAATTCTGTCTCGTCGACAATGAGGTGAGCCTTAGCTGGGGAGATCGATCGAGCAGCAGCATTAGAAGATGGCGGATGGTGCCGAAGCAATTGAGGCCCACGGGGTTGGAAATACCAGTTGGGCGAGAACTGCCAAAGATTTATTTGCGGGCGCTGCTGGGGGTGTCGCACAGGTTCTACTAGGTGAGTTTCGACAGGATAGGTTTACGTTGATCTTGATAGCAACGTTTCTGCGGTGGATATGCTTGTCGTTTTCTTGACGGGGTGACTTTGTTTATTGTCGTGAAGCAGCTTTGGCGGTGTTGTTTCGTACTTGTTCACACACTAACACTTTCTACCAGGTCAACCATTCGGTAAGCACTGATCGACTTGGGTCCTGCTTAGCACTTTCTTACGACTAATCTCTTAGACATCGTCAAGGTTCGCCTTCAGACGACAACCACCTATCCCAGTGCCTTATCATGTGCATCGTCGATTCTCCAAAATGAAGGACCACTGGCGTTTTACAAAGGCACTCTCACCCCGTTGATTGGCATTGGGGCGTGTGTTTCGGTTCAATTCGGCGCCTTCCACTATGCTCGACGAGCGTTTGAGGAGCAAAACCTGCGCGCGAACCATCCAGCAGGCCTCTCTTACGGTCAATACTATCTGGCTGGAGCTTTCGCAGGGTTGACGAACTCTGTTCTGTCTGGCCCTATCGAGCATGTGCGTATCCGTCTGCAGACTCAGCCACATGGAGCTGCTCGCCTTTACAGCGGTCCCCTCGATTGTATCAAAAAGCTATCGGCGCACGAAGGCGTCCTCCGGGGTCTCTACCGTGGCCAAGCGGTCACACTCTACCGAGAAGCACAAGCCTACGGCGTCTGGTTCCTGACCTTCGAATACCTGATGGCGCTAGAGCAAAAACGCAACAACATTCGCCGCGAAGATATTTCATCTCCCAAAGTAGCCTTCTATGGAGGCCTTGCAGGTGAAGCACTCTGGATCGCTAGTTACCCTTTTGATGTGATCAAGAGTAAGATGCAGAGCGACGGCTTTGGGAAGGAACAGAGATACAAGACCATGAGGGATTGCTTTGCACAGACATGGAGGGCTGACGGGATGAGAGGATTCTGGAAGGGCATTGGGCCTACATTGGTGAGGGCGATGCCTGTCAGTGCAGGTACCTTTGCAGTGTAAGTTTGCCCTTCCCTTTTGGTGACGCATTTATCGTGGCTAACAATCAGCGTTCAGAGTCGAGTTGACGATGCGCGCATTGGGATGATGGATGCAATCAGGCGCATGGCATGGAGGGGATGGGACGCAGGAGTAGAAATACTCAAGCACGTCCAGTTTGAGGCCTTTGAGCTTACCCAAAGTTGTTCAAACCAGTCGATCTAAGCTGATAGTGCACTCCAGCGCTTGAAAAACAACCTCTGTTAGATAAATGCAATTTATGGTGATTTTCGCTGCAAAGCCACTCTCTGCTTCATGCTGATTCACAGCTTATGTACAATTTGAGAATGTGTGCGAACGCGGTCCTCCAAGACCATTTTATCTGTAAGGAGCATCCGCTCTGGCCACAGCCGCCAATTCAGGCTCCCATTTGTCACCGTTTGCAAGCAACTTTTCCTTGTTGTACAAGAGCTCCTCTCGGTATTCTGTTGCATATTCGGCATTGGGTGTCTCCACAATAGCATCAACAGGGCAGCTCTCCTGGCACAGACCACAGTAGATGCACTTTGTCATGTCAATGTCATAACGGGTGGTCCTTCTCGAGCCATCTTCTCTTTCTTCGGCTTCGATTGTGATGGCTAGGGCAGGGCAAATGGCTTCGCAGAGCTTGCAGGCGATACATCTCTCTTCGCCAGAAGGATAGCGCCTCAATGCGTGTTCGCCTCGGAATCGTGGTGAGATGGGGCCCTTTTCGAACGGATAGTAAATTGTGTAGCTGCAGCCACAATATCAGTATGATTTTCTCCAGGATTGAAATCGTCGTTAATTGATTGATTGACATACGGTGGTCTGAAGAATTGTTCCAACAACACATACATTCCCCTCAGCATCTCGGTGAGAAGAAAGTAGTTGCTAGCTTTATCCATCACTCCCTCACCCTCGTCGAATCTTTTGGGTCTCGGCAGTCTGTAGCCCTGCGGCGGAGGACCGGAGGGTAGGGCATTTCTAGGTCTTGAAGAATGAAATTGAGCTGTGGCAGTGGCTCGGAGGAAAGGTGACCGTTCTGCGTGTCGTAGGATGGCTGATGAAGCTGACAATGGCCTCGCGACGAGCCGCGATGCTGGACGAAGTGACGACACCATCGTCCGTGCAAGTTGCAGACTGAGAATTGGCGATGCGTGGCGAGCGCAACAGAGAAGACGTTGTGCAGGATGGAATCGAGATGCAGAGGTCATTGATGCTGTAATAGGATTGACTGCAATGTGATTGGTTAGCTCCACGTGACCCCAACAAGCTCTTCCCTTCCCGAAGCTGCTGCAATTGTCTGCATGTCCATCCAGAAATTCAATCATTACCTACACCCAGCGAAAGGCTTCTTCCCGCCTCCCCAGTATTCCCATTCTTCTTACCTCAATCCGTTCCCCTCAGACCAAAGGGCAAGATGATTCGGGCAGGCGCTGCACGAGCGCTTTATGCGGCCACGAGGACCCAGGTCCCCCGACAATTACCTGCTTTCCGATCTCGAATCTCTACCTCCCTGCTGCAAACATCACGAGTTACTACCTCCTTCGTTGTTCCAAGCATACGGTACTACTCGGCGCCTGCTGGCTTGTCGAAAGAGGAGGTGCAGGGGAGAATAATGGATCTTTTGAAGAACTTTGACAAAGTGCGCACCTGTCTCGTGTGATGATCTTGCAATTGCTAACTTCCGCAGGTCACTGATGCATCAAAGGTAGCGTGGTCTTGCGCCGTGGATTTGAGGTATTGCTGACGGCCTATTCTAGATCAGCGGCACGGCACACTTTCAGAATGACCTTGGACTCGACAGCTTGGATACCGTCGAGGTCGTGATGGCCATTGAAGAAGAGTTCAGCATCGAGATTCCGGACAAGGAGGCTGATGCCATTCACAGCGGTATGTTACGTCGATCCCTCCAAAAGATCCCTCGCTGATAACCATCAAGTCGACCAGGCTGTCACGTACATTACCGCCCAACCTGATGCACACTGATGTGTGTTTGCTGGGCGCTGGGGGTTGTTGGTTGTAGACGCGGGTTCAAGAATCACAAAAATATCAAAGCACTGTACATTTTCCAGTGGTGAGGACATGGATTGCCCTTGTACTATCATCACACAAGACTAGATCTACCGGATCTCCACGATGGTCTCTGAACAAAACCACCCATATCTCTTCTTTTGATCTATATCTATGTCTAGCTCGTGAAGGTCTATGCTTGTTCGTTAGACAACGCCGGACTTCCTCAACTCAGCGACCTCAGCAGAGCCATACCCGAGCCCTCGTAGGACCTGGTCAGTATGCTCGCCCAGCAACGGTGGCTTCAACCTCACGTCCATTTGTGCACCCTCGAACTTGATTGCAGGTCCAATCAGTCTCAGCACACCATCTCTCGCTGCTTCAAAATCCTCCACATCGATGATCATATTCCGTGCCTTGCCTTGAGGGTGCTCCAACGCCTCGACAACATCGTTTATCGCACCATAAGGCAGTCCACTGCCTTCGAATGCAGTCATCCACTCGTCTTTTGTCTTTTCTCGAAATTTCCCCTGCAGGATCCGGTTGATTTCGTGCCTGTGCTCAACCCTCCCGTCATTGGTGCTGAATCTCTCGTCTTCGCCCAATCCAGCGATCCCCATTCGCTTGCAGAAGCCTTTCCACTGTCTATTGTTGTTTGCCGCCACGTACATCATCTTGTTGTCTCTCGTCTCAAACCCTCCATAAGGCACCAAGCTAGGATGTTCCAAACCTAGTCGTTTTCCTCTTCTCCTGGCCTCGGGACCTTTGTCAAGGTCCAGATTCAGACTCGCCAAGCCGACATTGATGAGTAGACTGAGGCTGCTCTCGAAAAGACTCCCCTCAATCAAGCACCCTTTCCCAGTCCTGTCCCTCTGATGCAACGCCGCCAGGATAGCACCATGCGTGTACAGGCCCGCTGCGAGTTTTTGTTAGCCGATGTGCGATAGTGAAGGAGGTTGCCCACTCGGTTTTCTCAGAGATAGAGAGAAGGAGTGGTCTATAAGAAAAGAAGGAGGGGGGTCCATACTGCACAAGTCGGCCATGGCCACACCGGGCTTGGAGGGAGGCCCGCCCTCTTCGCCCGTGATGTGAAGCAGTCCGGCCTCAGCCAGCGCGATGGCATCGTACCCTGCTCTCTGCGCACTGGGACCGGACGAGCCATACCCGCTGACGGCGGCGTAGATGAGTCTCTCTCCCGCGACAGGGCCCATGGCCCTTTTCAACTGGTCGTACCCCAGGCCCATGGCCTCGATCTTGCCCGGCAGGAAGTTGTGCACGACCACGTCGACGCCCTCGCTGGCGATGCGGGCGACGATCTCACGGCCACGTGCCTCCTTCAAGTTGACCGTCACGGACTTCTTGTTCCGGTTCACCGCGGCAAAGTACAGGCTCATCAGGGGGTGGTCGGCCTTCCACTTCTGCGCCTCGCCGTGCGCGCGCCACTGCCGCGTCTCGTCGCCCACCCCGGGCTGCTCGACCTTGAGCACCGACGCGCCGTAGTCGGCCAGGATCTGCGTGCAGAACGGGCCCGCGAGCACGCGGGAGAGGTCGAGAACCTTGAGGCCCTCGAGCGGGAGTCGGTTGGGCGGTTTGCTGCTGCTGCTGGTAGGTGTGGGTGTAGGTGTGGACAGCCATCTCCGTGTACTTGTAATTGTAGATAATATCCACGGCGATGTTGCGGACTTGTTTGGCAGGTTTCCACGGTGCGGCTTTGCTACCAGGGCGTGCCGTCCGAGTAGTGGTAGGAGACGTGTTGGTCTTGTCATTGTATAGGATGAAGCATCAAGTTCAACCACACGCGTGATTCACCTGTCTTCCCTTCTCCTCCTCCTCCTCTCTTCGCCTCTTGCTTTTTCTTCCCCCTCTATTCCTTCTTCTTCACTCTTCTCTTTTCCCCCGGAAGAGCCTGTAGAAGTATATAGGTAAGGGACCAATAAAGAATCTCACAGACCAATGCTCTCTTACCCAAGCTTCCGGACTTACTTTTAGTCGTAGGCTACTGTACCTCGCAAGCACCTGTATGCAATGGAACATACGCCTTCAAACTCAAAGAAAACTTACGCACAATTCGTACTTATTATAATACTTAGCACTTGACATGCACGCACATATTGCATCGGGTAGATCCCGGGCCTGCGGGCCCAACAACTGGGCGGTGAGTTTGGGTTTGGGTTTGGGTTTTTGGGGTAATAGACACACACACACACACAGAACCGTGGGCCCCTACCTAAATGTAATCATCACAGACCGAGGCTGACGAGGCTTTCGTGCGGGGAGTAGGGGAGTACTCGGTACACATGTAAATAGACATGTAACAGCTACCAAAGCTACCAAAGCTGCCTAGCGAATCAATGACAATGATTATTTTCTCTCGATCAGGTCGGCTGTCTAACTAATAAGCCTGGAGCTCTGATTCAAACACAGAAAACCCAAATCACCTGCTAGTGCGACGACGCTCCTCGAGAACGGTGAAGGAGGTGCAGGGTGAAGAACAAGAGTCAAAGAACGGAGCGGTGCGACTTGTTCAAAAAAGGGGGTGAGAACCATTGAGTCTTCGGAGCAACAGAGCAACAGAGCAACAGTTCGAGAAACTTTGCGTCGGGATATTGCCCTCACATGTGACGGCACCTTGATATCACACAAACATGGCTTCTCAGAAGACGGTAACAAAGCTGATCCATGGCCTGGCAACAAGGACGAGGGCAGCACCCATACAAACACCCTACCGCTCCCTTCTACCCCGTTCGTCTTCGGCGGCGTTCTCCACCACCTGTCCCGCCGCTGCTCGCGGGACGGAATACCTCCAGCTCCACGACCCGGACCTCACAGACTCGCAGCGCACGGTCCGCGAAGCCATCAGCAAAGTGTGCTCGAAGTTTGGGGACGACTACTGGCTCGCTGTGGACCGCGAGCACCGCTTCCCCACCGAGTTCCAGCAGGCGGTCGCCAAGGATGGCTGGCTTGGTATCTGCATGCCGTCTGAATATGGTGGGAGTGACCTGGGGATCGCAGAGGCTGCCATCATGGTGCAGACGATCGCTGAGTCCGGAGCGGCGTACGCAGGCGCGAGTGCCGTGCACATGAACATCTTTGGTCTGGAACCGGTGAGGAAGTTTGGCACTGAGGAGCAAAAGAAGAGGATGTTGGTGCCGTTGATCGAAGGGCGGGAGAAGGCGTGTTTTGGCGTCACAGAACCAAACACGGGCTTAGACACCCTGAGGTTACAGTCGAGAGCTGTCCGGGACGGCGAATACTACCGGCTAAGTGGACAGAAGATCTGGATCTCTACAGCGCAGGTGGCAGAGAAGATCCTCATTCTTGTGAGAACGACGCCCCTAGAGGAGGTTAAGAAGGCCAGCCAAGGCTTAAGCTTGTTTTACACGGATCTGGACCGGAAACAGGTCGACGTTCAGGAGATCCCCAAGATGGGTAGAGCGGCGGTGGATTCCAATAGTCTCTTCTTTGATGGGTGGAAGGTGCCAAAGGAGGATTTGATCGGAGAGGAAGGAAACGGGTTCAAGATGATCATGCACGGCATGAATGCTGAGAGAATATTGATTGCAGCTGAGGCACTTGGGACAGGGTTTGCCGCATTGAGACGAGCCGCCTTGTATGCCGGGGAGCGAATCGTGTTTGGTCGGGCCATAGGGCAGAACCAAGCTATTCAGCACCCCCTAGCGGAGAGTTGGATGGAGCTCGAAGCTGCCAGACTCATGATCTACCAGGCTGCAAGGATGTACGACGCAGGATACGAGGCTGGGGAATATGCAAACGCGGCCAAATACCTAGCCGCCGAGGCAGCCTTCCGGGCCTGTGAGAGAGCCGTCATGACGCATGGTGGTATGGGGTACGCGAAGGAGTATCATGTTGAGAGGTATTTGAGAGAGATTATGATCCCTCGGCTTGCCCCTGTCAGTCGAGAGATGATCAAGAACTATATCGGCGAAAGGGTTCTCGGACTGCCTAGGTCGTACTGAGGTCAGTGTCAAATGTTAGAATAGATAGAGCTCATGCACATAAATGGGGGAGTTGTCGTGAGGAAAATCCACCGGGGAGTAACACTTGTACTCTCTCCAGCCCCATATTTCAGTGTCGCTTTGTACCGAGTGCTTGCGACCCGATTCTCTTCCAGAGTGTTATTCTGGAGTGTGTATTTCATTCTGAAAGTATTCCAGGGTTGTTTTCCCACTCTGCGGGTTGCGACTCCTCACATCCTGTTGCGCCTAGAACCCCTTTAGTCAGAGAAATAGGTGAGAGGAAGGTCAGAGTTGACTTGGGGGTGGCCGCCAACTAAGGTGGATCTGGCAGGCCTCACCAGTATCAAGCAGTAAAATTGATTGCCAATCTTTGCCTGTCATCAGAGCCACCCCGAGGCTAGGAGTCGGCTCGGACAGCCCTCTCGCCGATCGAGTGGTTCATGATGACCAGGAGCAAAGGGCAATGCCGAGGAAACTCGAGGAAATAAGGCAGACTCGCACAGCGGACTGGATCTGGAACGGTTTTCGAAGTCTTGTGGGTTGCCGTATGGAGACGATTCCACTATCCCGACGACCCTGACGTAGAGCAAACCGTCGTTCTGCGCTGAGAAGAAGCAACGGCGGATGGGTCCTTGGCGCGTCCACCGAGCTGTGCCTCTTTGCTGATTGTTTACCGCATCAGACTTGAGAACGTCGTAGGTAATCAAGGCAAGGCGGAGGAGATTGGATGGGCGATGAGTGATGCGTGAGGGAGATGGTAGACGGTGATTGTGGCCGACGAATCGGATACTTTTGGTAGCGCATGCACAGCCTTGCGCCTGCGCCTCGCCCGCCGTCACAGCCAATCATGATGCAACATCCCCAGCTGCCCAAATCCCGGCCTCGCCTCATTACCAGCATCGAATAATTGTGCCAAAATCCCTACCATCATCTTTCCCGCGCGGATTTGGAAATCTTCCAGAACGTTGATGGCAAAAGGCCTCGCATTCTCCTCTCGTACGCGGAATGGAGACGAGACCTGAATACCCGACTGGTTCTTACTGGTGGCGTCTAGAGTCGCGCGCCTCCTTGAATACGTCTTGGAACTACGTAGAGTCGATTCTTGTCGATCAAGGCATCAACGTAGAAGGAAAAATATAAAAGTGAGAATCCCCCACGTCTCATGTACCATATTTTTCCATTACACATTACCGCATCATCATCATCAAGACATCCAAGACAAACAGTTCCCTCTCCATCAACCTTCATCACACTACATCAGCAACAATGTCTGGCCCCTACGATCAACATCTTGCCTTTGCTCCCATCTACGACCACAACAACCAATACCACAGCCAGAGTTCCTACCCCAGCGAGGGCTTTTCAGGGTCATATCAATCCCAAGCATACTACAACCCTCAGAATTACTACCCCGACACCCGCGCCGCCTCTTCCTATCCCGACAACTCCTACCAACAAGGTGGCGCCAACACCGCGTACTACACCAACAACGGCACCAACCCACAAGGCCCTGAGGCAGATCGTGGACTCCTAGGTGCCGCTGCTGGTGGTGCTGCGGGCGCATTCGGTGGTCACAAGGTGGGCCACGGTGTGCTGGGTGCTTTGGGCGGCGCCATTCTGGGTTCCTTGACTGAGGATTATGCAAAGAAGAACAAGAAGCATGGAAAGAACAGCAAACACAACCAAAACACGGGCAGTCTTGGGTCCGTAGCGAGCAGCTTCTTCAACAAGAAGTAATAGGGTTTGACAATGGCTTCTGAATGATGTGACGGGCATTATCTTGTATATATGCAGGCGTTGGATTTGGGAATATGGGAGGACAATTGACCGCAGGGGATGGGATTGCATCTCTGGCGTCTGAGGCTTTGACACTGGCTGTTGGTCTGGTGTTGACTGGGTCTTTGGCAGTTGTCCATCATCTAAACAGAAGTTGCATGCATCTTCTTGTACTGCATCAAATAGATTCACCTTGAGATCCAAGATTCTCGAATTCCAAGTTGTAGTATCGAATACGACGATTGTCCTAGGTGTCTGCATTCTCACAAGTCGAAATATCACCTTACCTGCATTGATACTTCATTTCATCAAGGCCCAATGGATGCAGTATTGATTCCAAATGACAGACCTATCGAGTTCTCCGTGTTCTCGAGTGTCCTGAAGGTCGACGTCCCCTAGACATACTGTTGAACCATCAGATGCGGCTATTCGAACCGAAACGGAGTTGGGGGTCCAGGGCTGTTTATTGGTTCCAGAGCCCGCCATTTTTGCCGTCTATCAGCGGACCAACCGGACCCAGCACGATGCACACCGACGAGCTCGACCGCTGGGCGCACTTCATTTTTCCCAAGTTGACGTAAGAGGATTAGCGGCGGTCGAGCAAGCGAGCAGAAGTTGGGCTGCGGTCGGCTGCGAGGGAGGAAGAGCACTCTTCCACTCCAACAGCGAGCATGAAGGCCTATTCTTCAATGCGGACCCTTCAACCAAAAGACCCTAACGCCGAGGCCGCCGCGGCGGCTCTGGCCAGCAGCGTCGACGAGGCGGCAACCACCGAGGATGGCACTTCCTCCAACAAGGCCAGGAAGAATGTCAGCCGGGCTTGTGACCAATGTCGAAAGAGGAGAAGAAAGGTAAGCTTCCTGATTCTCTGCCGCAATCTGGGCCCAGGAGCAATCTCCAGACGGGGAAAGCAACGTCCAGCTGAATGTAAAAACACTCTAGTGCAACGCGCTCCGACCCTGTGCACCTTGCATCCATATTGGACGGAGGTGCACTTACGACATGGACTCCAAATATGGCGACCTGAGACGCAACCGGAACTCGGTCCAGCACGTCGAGAAACTACGCCAACAACAGGCCGTCCTTGACCGACTCTTGCACCTGATCCGGAATTCGGACGCTGACGAGGCCATCCAGGCGGTCAGAGAGGGTGCCACCTTCCAGGAGATAGCGAGTGTTCTCTTGGGTAACCCGCCAGAAGCCCCTTTGTCTCAGACGGGGGGAAATTCGTCGAGCGACACCTCCTTGGAAGATTCGTCCGGTCAAACAACGTCAGACAAATCTGACAGCTCCGGGTCAGATCCTGTAAGGTCCACCAGGTCACCGAGGGGAAAAGGCAAGGCCGTGGAGCATGCCGTTGGAGTGTGGCGCGGGAAACCTGGGAAGCAGCTTCCAGCACCTGAGTCGATTGAGGAGACCGTCCTTCCTTCCGCTGGAGAATCCTATACCTCTGCAGGTATACCGCAAGGCCAACAACACGCATCTGGAGACCGAGTTTGGACTGGCTTAGCAGGACGTCTCACCACCGTGGAACTGAACAAGATCAACATGCCGATCTTTAGCTGCGATCCATTTCACATCGAGTCGGACGACATGTTGTCCAGGACCATCCTGAGCTTCCGCGATGGCGCCCGGAAAGCATTGCAAGGGAACGCCAATGTCCATGATCTCATCGGAACCAAGAGACCAGACCTCGAGCTGTTCCTACGGCAGCGACGAGAAGGCGACCCCCACACTGCCTGGACCTGGGCCTGCGAGCTGGCGAAAGCGTATCCATTGCCATTGACGGTGCAATTGACCGGGATCTTTGTTGCCGGGATCCAAATGCGGGTGTGTTTTTGAGTTTGCCCTCTGCAGAGTTCGTTTTGAATACTTAGTGAAACCCAGTATTTCATTCATCCATGCAAAGAAACATATGAGAACTTGCCTGTGATGTTAAGACCCATGAAGCAGCAATACACGCAACCACACGCTGCAGGAGCTGACATCTGTGCCATGTGAGTATCTGTCTCGATACAGCCATGAACGGGGACTAACCCGAGGGTATAGACCTCCCGTCAAGCAGTATCTTCTTTCTCATTGGGACTCGTACGCCTCGCTCTTAGCGGCCGGGCAATACAACAAATGGCCGTACAGTAACAAGGCGTGTTTCGGCATGGACCGGACCAGAAATAAACCCACACTCTCGACGGCGTTTCTTGAACACATATCAGACCCCAAGAACCACACTGTCGGGCCCAAGATACTGGAACTCGTGCCAGAGGCGGCGGAGTATGTGAACCACGAAGAAGGCTTGACAGGCCATGATGATGCACGATAAATGTATCTCAGACCGTGTCGTGGTGGAGGACGAAGGTCTTTTGGGATGTGGCCCTGTACTTCCAGGTCACTCGCTACTGAGAGGAAGGCGGCGTGGGATGAGAACAAATCTGACTGTCAGAGGGGGGGAAATCTCGACTTTAATTAGCCTTTTGCAAAAGTCGGCTACATACCTTTAGTGGGGAATGGGGGGTGTTATGGTCTTGAACCCGGTTCTTTTTCCCATCAGCCATCTATACCTCTTGGAGACAAAAGGCCAAAGAGGGAGGGTTTCGAATGGAACTTGCCGGCGCGAAGAGGGTGGGTCGTGGCTGCATTGGCAACACATCCTCCGTGAGTTGAGACGAGAGTTGGGGTGAGTTGGGTGAGTTGGTTTCTGGAACCGTCTCTGGATTAGCGGACCCTATTGTCCTCGAGATCGGAATTAGCATGAGATCTCACAATCCCAATGCGGTCGTGCTCCGCTATTTGTCCTTGTATCCCGGAGAATGTAGAGGTGTTATTGGCTGGGGAGACAAGGGGAGATGCACTTCCGACTCTTGGCGGCGGAATTGGGGCGACCACCGCTTCAGGGAACTCAGGACGACTCGTTGAGAAGCTCATGATTGCTCGCTAAATAAAGCCCCTACTTGATCAGACCTGGTACAGAGGTACCCTTGGAGCATGAGCTCCGCTTGCATGTATATAGCTGACCCCTTTAACGGACCCTTGTTTGCAGCCATCACACCACGCCCGGCTACACCCACCCACGTATGCCTCTCGTCTGGATATCCACGTGTTGGCATAGAAATAATCATCAAAGAGTCAAGAACCTATCCAGCAAAAGGGTGACTGGGTCACCAAGACGTTTCAAGGTCCCGAGAAATCAGCGAATGCCTAGCAACCACAATTGACACAGTGCGGGGATCAGTCGTCAGCGAGTTGAGCTGGTGACTACTCCTGATGCCGGCTCTTATCCGGGCGTGAAAATCGTGATTCGTTCTCCTAATTTTGTCGGTCTGCAAGTTCTGCAGGAAGTGGTTCGCAGTTTTTACTCGGGCCATCGAAAACACAAGAACACATTGACAGTCACTCACTACCCATGGCGAATAGGGGACGTCCATTGGCAGGGACATTTCGGTCCGGCTTCGGCGTCAACTGGTCAAAGCAATCTCGGGGATTGTGAGCGTCGTTGCTGGCTACACGGACGGCATCAGACTCGCACATCCTCGCTGCTTGTTGTCTGCCTATTCTGCCTGTCAGCATGGCACTTTGGACATTCGGTTCCAAATACGCCTTTCATATTCAAAAGCCGCTGCAGCACGCCAGACCGTCTATGATTGCCATCACATGGCGAAAAGGTGTATACAGCTAGGTAGGTACTCCCAATCAAAGCAAAGAGGCCAGAAGATCGAAATATAAATCAATTTGACCTCTGTCTCGTTCTATACCTATGGTCACCTATTGCAGTTCGTCAGGGCATCACACCTTCTCGAACAGCGTCAAATCCTTGTTCCTCACGGTCTGTATCTGAACACAACGAAAGAACGTGTAGTACAGTCCAGCTTGGAAAGCCCATGAATTCTGAAAAGTCTCACCATACAGATTAGGTCTACTCCCCATAATCTCCGGTATTCGTATCGTCACGCAAGGCACTGCTGACAGGAGGACGGTGGAGAGGATGCATGTGCGTTAGAGAGAGAGGGTACTCTCTTTTGAATACCACTCACTGTGGACCGTGCGGTCAAGGGGTGAGTATGATATTCGAGCCTGGCGCCACCTGTCGGGGTCACATGGTCACACCATGAGGTGAAGTTACTCGACTAGGGTTCGAGTCTGCGTGACAACCAAAACAAAAACGCCATGGCATGTCCTGCCCTCTCGCATTCATCCCCCTCGACCCAAATGACAAAAACTTTGCCACCCAGCCCCTTCGATATGGGGGTGGATGGTAAGTGAAACCCACCTTGTGGCTGGTTTTTTCCGTTATTTGGGAGCCATTGAACTCCCCGCCTTCCGGTGGCAGGGTTCCTGATGACTTTTCCCTTTTTTTTGTTTCCGAGTTTCGAGGAACCGAAGGATCGAATCGAGGAGGATCGGAGGAGGAGGAATCGCCTACTTAAACCCAAGTCCCGTCTCAGTTTGTTGACTCTGACACTTAAGTCTCTTTCTCTCTTTTTTTTTTTTTTGGTGGTTTGTTGACTCTGAAAAGTCTCTTTCTTAAGTAGGGGTCTTTGCGATTGTTGACTACTTTTTCGAAACTATTAATTATATGTGATTCTTTTTTTCGCTTGGGGTCTGTTCTGGTCATGTGTAGCCCTCGTTGACGCCAAGGTTTGATATTCTGCTGGTAACATGGTGGATACATACAGACCCACTATCAACGTCCACACTGCCTACATGTAAGTATCTAACGAGTTATTCAAGGTCTATTGCGCTACTCGGGCCTTCCCTAGGCCCGGGGGTAAAGTAATGACGAGTTGTGTCATATATGCCCATCTGGGACCCCGGGATGTTGGAGTAGAGTTGCGGGAAACAGAGTATGGGATCGGCTACGTCCACTCGACAAGGTGCGGAGTCCTCGCGTCGCGCAACAGGTACAAACCTTGACAGTGGCCGAGGTATTGTTTCGAGAGTGATGTGGAGATATATTTGATGACGGCCATCTTCTGTGTCTGCCATTAGAGCCGCTCTCTCTACCCATCATCCACCATCACGGCCAGAACCGCATTCTACAACCACTACCACCAGTGTACAAGGCACCTCTGCGATACAATAATGCCACCCCCATCTGCAGCCCAAATATCCCGCCTCTTCGCCCCCTTGGCCATCCAAGGTCGCCAACATGAAACCCTCGCCCTCCTCACCGACGACGTCGACTGGACCATCTGCGGCCACGCCCCGCCCATGTCACGCCGCTACACCTCCCGGCAGGAGTTTCTCGACAACACGCTGAAGGTGCTCCGCGAGCGCATCCTCACAGAGCCCCTGCGTCTCGAGGTGCGGAACATCGTCGTCTCGTCCACGGCGTCGGGGGGTGGGGAGGAAGGCAACGACGAGGAGATTGACGGCGACGTGGTGGTCGAGTTGGAGGCTTTGGATGCCACGTGCAAGAATGGTTCGTTTTGTTTTCCTCCTCATCCTCCTGTCTGTTGTTCTCTTCGATATTTTTGATCTGTCACCTGTCTGTTCTCCGGGGATATGATCTCGTCTGTTCGTTTGTGTGTGCATATCATATGATGTCATACTAACTGCCTGCACCCCCTTCTTCTACTGGACCCCAAGGCCTCCCCTACGACATGCGCTACTGCTGGGTCTGCAAATTTGCGCACGGCAAAATTGTCCAGGTGCGCGCGTACCTGGACACGGACCTGCTGACTAGGGCGTTGCAGCAGAATCCGTGAGAGGTTGGGCGGGTAGAGAGAGAGAGCGAGGGAGCGCGAATGAGCAAGCAGACAATCAAGCAAGCAGAGAATTAAGCAGGCACTGCAATGTCACACTCACAGGATGCAATGGAATCCCAGGGATCATCTCATCAGGCCTTGAATGCCATGGGCCTGGTGTATAGAAACAGAGGCTGGCCTTGTTGCTTTATAAGTGGCTGGATGGATGAAGTCATTCGGTGCAGAGGGATGGATTAATCACGCGAGGGTGGATGGAGCATTTGTTGTAATCATCTTGTTTTGTCACAGCGTCCCTAGCCAATAACTTGAACCTCTTGCTATCGCCGTGCCTGCTTGAACCGATCGCTATGATCTATCCAGTATGCCTCGACCATGCAGCTCTGCTGGCGCTATTCCAAGATGGAAATTTGCTTGGTGAATGATGAGAACTTGCCTGACGAACCTTGCAGAAGGTGCCTTGAATCATCACCTCTGCCCACCAGCGCCGGATGGAAATTGCCCTGCAAACCTTTCAATGGATGCCTGGAATCGTGGATGCACGCCCCCTCATTTCAAGACCTTCAGGTCGCTCTCCTTGAGCTTCCCGCCACCAACCAAGCCACCCGTGGTCTCCGAGAAAACCTCCTTGACCTTTGCTGCGTCCTTTCCGGCAATGTTGAGTTTGGAGACCAACTCAGCCAGCTCGTCGGGATCAACGTTGGCGAGTAGCTTGTCCACGTCGTTCAACACATCATCGATCTGCTTGGGGGACGCCTCTCCCTCCGAGAAGTAGTTCACGTCCTTGACACTGCTCTTGACGACGCGCTTGTTCTTCTTGACCGCATTCTTAGCTGCCTCTTTCGCCTTCTTGGCCACTTCCTTGTCCGCTTTCAACTTCTCTTCTTCCTCCTTCTTCTTGCGTTCTTCCTCCTCCTTAGCGCGCTGCTTCTCTTCGGCCTCGCGCTTGGCAGCAGCCTCTTTCTCCAGCCGCTTCTTGTTCTTGTCTGCGCTGGCGGCCTTGCGGAACTTCTTGATTCTCTCGTCGTAGCTGAGGCAGTCGTCCACAAGCTTCCTCAAGCGTGCCGTATCCTCGGTCTTGCGCTTGCGTCGAGCGTTCGCGTTCTTCTTCTCAATGTGTCGCTTGTGGTCTCGGCCTTCATTGTCATCCGGGACATCTTCATCCAGATACTCAAACGTGCGCCAACTATCGAAGTTGTACCAGAAATCGTAGAATTGCTCCACTTCCTCGCGCGTGCTGTTCTCGTCGCCGAGCATGGGGACAGGGGTCTTCTTACTGAACCTGGCTTCGCTCTGGAACACGGCGTTCCATTTCTTGTAGAAGTTTCCTGGCTTTTGCATGTCTTTCTTGGTTGGAGGCTCGACGTCAGCGGCTTCGTCAACCGAGTCCCACTGACGACGTTTGACTGGGTCAGTCAGGATCTCGTGGGCACGTTGAATGCATTTGAAGAAGCTGTCGTTCTCGTCACTCTGGCCAGCCGCGGCCTTCTTGTCTGGATGATGTTTGAGGACCTTCTTGCGGTGTGCCTTCTTGATCTGCTCGTCGGTGGCTTTGTAGCGGTATTTGGAGAGGCCGAGGACGGCGTAGTGGTCTTGTCCCTGCACAATTTAGTCAGCGGCGAAGCCAAAGGTCAGAGCAACGAGGGAAATCTCACCTTCCAGTCCTTCGCATCTCTCGCCAGCATCAAGGGGTCTTCCGGTTCACTGATCTCGTCGTCATCGTCATCCTCGGATTTCTTCACCTTTTTGAGGGCTTCGAGACGTTGATCCTCGGAGAAAGTACGCCCGTGGCGCTTGCGGCGAGCGTAAGCAAGGAATTGCGCCCCGAACGGCTCAATCTTGCGCATCACAGGTGGAGATAGTTTGCCCAAGCTTCGGAAGTTAGGACTGTCATCGCCGTTACCCTTCCAACTCTCCGTTGGAGGAAGCACGAGGCCGTGGGAAGTCATGTCCTCGAAGAGCGAAACACGCGCAAGAGCTTCTTGTGCCGCAAGGAGAACGATTCCAAATTCTGCGATAGACTCGAGTACCTCTTGGGAGGACGGTGTGTGCGCTATATGAAATATACACAATCAGCATCAATTGCTTGAAGCCAGGGAATTATTTTTTTTCGAGAGACTTCGACTTACCCATTTGACTGATTGGTGGAATGAATATTCGGCTAACTTGTCAAATTGAGTGAGTGGGTTGGTGTTGGAGAAATTAGGAAGGAGAAGCGAATGTGAAAGTAATGTGAGTGCGCCGACTGTTGGGTTCATGTGAAGTGAATATCATCTCTACAGACTGTACCTCACCTTGCATCCACCGGTAACTTCATTCCCTAAGATAAAAATGGCACTGGCGGCCTACAGACACCTCCTGCGAGCGACACGAACCGCATTTCAAGACGACTACCATCTCCTCCATGCAGCCAGAATGCAAGCCCGCACAGGCTTTGAGACACTGAGAACAATGGATCCCGACTCTGAGGAGGCGATCAAGGGCATAGCACATGCTGAGGGCGTGGCATCAGTACTACGACACAATATTGTGCAGGGCAAGCTGGTTGAGGGGTCAGACGTCATACGTATGTGAGCACTCATTGTTAGGTTGGCAAGCAAGACATTAACCTATTGGCAGGGCTCAATATACACGAGGACACCGAGAAAGGTGACAACGATACCGTCAAGAATCCCCTCGGCAAAGGTGGCAAGGTCAAGGTTGGCGGTGTATGAATAATAAAAGAGCTCGGTTTCATTCATCCCTGTGTACATATAATGATACCCTAGTCGGTGGTTTGTCCTTGCCGTTGCTTGCCAGTCGCATGCTGAACCATTACGCCGTGCTCAAACTGTACCAATAAAGAAGTCTCAGACACAATGCAGCTCAATCACCAGCCAAACTGGCATAGGTGACTTCCCCTTGGCCTGGTGGAGGTGCCACCGTGAAACTTGAATTTCCTTCCTCTCCACCCTCGATTTGAGGTTGGCTATCGTTGGCTGCGATTCTCCTTTGACCAGGCTGCTGAGCCTTGACAGCAGCTGCGGTTTCCCGACCTTCTCTTGCCCAGCTCATTTTCTGATCCCGATCTGTATTGTCAAGTGGTTTCGGCTTGCCCCATCTGACTCGCAGCGGACATCCCTGGATGGCTGCTTTTCCTTGACAATGAGCTGCCGCAGCCTCGGCTCCTTCTCTTGTGGCATAGTTGATGAATGCGCAGTGGGCGCGGTGGGAACAGACAATAGACCGTATCTGGCCAAATGGCGTGAAGAACGTACGGATCGCATGTTCCGGTAAATCGTCCTCAACACCAGTGACAAAGAGCGAGGTTATGTTAGGATCAGGGGGAGGTAGCCAATCTTCGGGTTGAGGAGGCCTTGACACCGTCACTGCTCTGGCGCCACTGGGGCCTGACTTGGCACCACGATGAGCATTTGCGGATTTTCTGGAATCTGAAGTTCTTATGGGGCCAGGTCCATAGCCACCTGGCTTCTGCTCTTTTGGTGGCGGTCGTTGGTGTTCGGATTGAGACCCCTCTGCTTCCAGTCGCCTTTGCTTTTTGTAATATGGCTCACTGTTCGCCAGTCTGCGTAACAGATCTCTGGCTTTCTCATCTGTCTTTTCATATGCTTCAACTGCGCCTCGTCCTTCCTCTAGTTCTTTCTCGTGTTCTTGGGCGTAGTATTCTCGGTTAATACTAGATTGTGGGCCCGGTGCGACCATTTTGAGAGCAGCATCTCTGACTGTGATGGGCAATCCGAACGACAAATCGAGCATGCAGCACTGGCAGCAGTTCTTTAACCGAGCACAAGTGAGACAGATGTTGGTTCGCTTTGTTCGGGCGGTCCGATCGGCTTTCCAGCGGAAGACAGTAAAAGGACGGGTGCATATCTTGCATTCGGCTCCAAACTCCTCCTTTAGCATCTGGACATAAGGGTTATCGGGCAGACAATTCTCGCAGCTGGAGGGGAAATCGGTTGTTTCCCAGCCAGAGCGGTTCAGATCTTGCTTGATCTGAGGTGGCGCCATGGTGGCGAGCGGTTGTTTGTTGCAGGCAAAAGAGAGTGACTGGTAGAAGATACTTGTTGTATTGATTTCAGGAAGAATAACACGACTGCTCGAGTAAAAGTACTTTGCTGAAGTAGCGCTTGCCTGACAAATGCAGGGTAGGTAATGCGTTGTTGGACATTAAACTGGCGGGGAAAAGTCAGCCTTGCCAAATTTCTCTACACGCGCATTCTGTCTAGTCACGCGGAAGGTTACCCGAAGATCACGTGGGATTGCCCTGGAGTGGCCTGCTGCGGAAGGATTCAATTCCAGATCGGTGGGGGGGAAATGGCATGGCCGACCCCTGCCAAGAGATCCAGTTGAGAATCAGGCCATTGGAGATTGCACCGGGGAGACCAGACCCGGCCAATATTTTCTTGTACCCCAATAGCAGCACCTGCACACATCGCTCGTTGATTCCGGATCGTGTCACTGACCGCTTGTCGTTCATTCTTCCTAAAGTACATTTGAGTCGAGAGACGTTCTGTCCCAAGTTCCCTCCCAGTTCGCGCTTCCCACACCCTACAGCCCTCTCAACATGGCTCCCTCTGCTACCTCCCCGGTACCGGCCCTCGAGAAAGAAGACCACGACCGCGATGCTGCCTTCAACAAGGCGCTCCATGGTAAATCAGCCGATGCTGCTGGTGGCTTAATGGCAATGCGCTCCAAAGATAAAGCGGCCCAAAAAGCTGCCGTCGACGAGTACTTTAAACACTGGGACAACAAATCCGCAGCCACGGAGACTGAAGAAACTCGCAAGGCACGAAGAGATGAATATGCTACCTTGACAAGACAGTGGGTGTTGGCCCTTCTAACGCTAACAACGTGTCCAACTAACCGTGTGGACAGCTACTACAACCTTGCCACTGATCTGTACGAATACGGTTGGGGCACTTCGTTCCATTTCTGTCGCTTTGCCGCGGGAGAGTCCTTCTACAAGGCCATCGCCCGGCATGAACATTATCTCGCCCTCAAAATGGGCATGCAAGAGAACTGGCGGGTCCTGGATGTGGGCTGCGGTGTGGGCGGACCTGCTCGTGAAATGATCAAGTTCACTGGAGCCAACGTCGTGGGACTGAACAATAACGACTATCAAATTGAACGGTCGCTACGATATGCAAAGAAGGAGGGCCTCGGCGATAAGTTCTCTGCGGTCAAAGGTGATTTCATGCAAATGTCCTTTCCCGAGAACAGCTTTGATGCTGTGTACGCCATCGAAGCCACGGTCCACGCCCCGAGCTTGCAGGGAGTCTATGAGCAGATTTTCCGGGTGCTGAAGCCTGGTGGTGTCTTTGGAGTGTATGAGTGGCTCATGACAGACAACTACGATAACGACAATCCCGAGCACCGCGAGATCCGACTGGGTATCGAACAGGGCGACGGGATTTCCAATATGGTCAAAGTCTCAGAAGGGTTGGCCGCTATTAAGGCCGCCGGTTTCGAGCTGGAGCATCACGAGGATCTCGCCGAGAGACCGGACGCAATCCCTTGGTACTATCCGCTCGCCGGCGAGTTCAAATACATGGGCAGCATTGGGGACATCTTCACCATCGGGCGCATGACGTGGTGGGGACGAGGCCTGATCCATAAGTTCATTGGGGTTGGCGAGACCTTGAGAGTGATGCCTCCTGGCACGCAAAAGACGGCCGACAGCCTGGCAGTAGCGGCTGACTGTCTGGTTGCCGGTGGGAGGCAGAAGCTGTTTACCCCAATGTACTTGATGATTGCGCGAAAACCCAAAGCTTGAGAAGACCACCAGGGACATGATATCGAAAAGGGGCGTTTTGGGAATAGTTGGTGGTGATTAGAGGTAGACGGAGGCATGCTTCTGGTGCTTGCTGCATCGACATAGCCTAATTTCGCCATAAGCATGTACATGTATCCTTAGCATATTGTATCTATGCTCAACAAAGTATGATGGTTCATGGTGGCGAGATTGGCTTCAGCACTCAACTTCCAAGACTTGGGTGTCGGAAACGATTGCCACCGGGGGAAGAGCGTGCGAGAGGTTGCATGCGTGCATGCGAGGGTGGTGATCGTCGTGCACCGCCACAGTGCATTCGTTGACATTGACGTGTGGCAACTGATGAGTTTGCGAGTTTGCGTAGACGAGTACCCCGTGTGGCTCAATAATGCATTCTTCCTTTTTCCAATAATAGAGGACTCACTCTGTGTATCATGAGCCGAGAGTGTGTCAAGAAACGCCGTCCAAGAGAAGGACTCGATAGTTACACAGAAATTTCAATATCCGAAGAGCCAATTCCGTGGGTGCAGCGAGAAACCCTTCAGGTCGAATCATTGCGATGGACGGGTTCGTTTCGGCTCGCCTGATCAATACGAATGGTAGCGGCCTGGTACCTGCACGCCGCATGATTTGGACCCGTTAGGTGTCTGACTGACAATCTGAAACTGATAGTGTGTGCGGTATCCGTTTCAGGACGTGAGCGAGGCGCAATTCCGTACCACCCAACACCAGCCAGGTGCGTGGTACTGAGGGGTATTTGGTACAGGTCAATAGGTGCAGACGTGGATATGCGTAATGCGGTGGCTTGCGAGTAACGAGAGAGCAACTTCAGTCGATGGAATGGGAACCGCAAGCTGGGAGGTTACCGAGTACAGGTACCTGAAAGCGCAGGCCAAGCAACCTCAAGCCGCGCCCAAGGCTGAAGCCCCAGCTAGCCTGGCACCCTGGCAACCTGGGTAAGCCCTTCTGTACCTCGTAGACCCCAAAACGATCACCCTAGCGGCTCCTGGGCGGTTAATACCAAGAATCCGAAGCTTTCCAGGGCTGGCCGCCTAAAGGAGGGAGGACCTGCCCCGGGGCTTCACTAACCAATGCGATTCGTTGGGCTGTAGCCGGTACATGGATCTGCCATTGACAAGCTGCTAGTGCTGCCCAATGCCCATAATTTCACTTTGATGCCATCCGTAACCATCCCGTCATCAAACCTCGCCAGCTGATGCCAGATGCTTCAAGCGCCTTTCCCGGACTGGCCGCTGTTGCCGTCATGGCTGCTGGTTGCGTCGCCCTTCCCCGTACTTTCAGCCTACAGCACCTTCTCGTGGTGATGAGCAGGAAAGAAGCAGAGGGCGCAGTCACCACCCTCTGCCAACTCGACTATTTCAACTTTTCTGTATAAACCTTGGTTGACTCTTGATTCTTTCTTCCTCGCGTCACAGTCCTTTCAGTTACTGTTCTTACATGTAGCATCATCATCGCTTTCGTCAGCATCACCATTCCCATCGTCGTTCCTTTCCTTTTGGCTTTCTTTGGCTTCATATCTCTAATACTCCCGTTGGTGCTACATCCTCAGGACCTCTGTCTGTCACTGTCCTCATCATGGGCAAGTTTGCAGCGGCTGCCCTCGGAGCAGCAACTCTGCTCGCCTCCATCCTCCCCGTAACTGCTGCTTCTGGCACTGTGGGCTTCACCTTTGAGAAGCGTCGGGTACTTGCGCAGGACGCTCCTCATTTGACACGACGTCAATCCAAGACCATCAAGGCAGGATTGGACAACGAGATTCTCCTCTACTTCATCAACTGCACTGTTGGCACACCGGGCCAACCATTCTCCCTGCAAATTGACACTGGCTCCTCAGACATCTGGTTTCCTGAAGCTGGTGCCGAAATCTGTCAACAAAACGATGGCTGCTCCGAGTTTGGAGCGTACGACGCCGATGCTTCCTCCACTTTCGCCCAACTCGATCTCCCAGAGTTCCAGATCCAGTATGTTGACGGCTCTCAGGTAGTTGGACAATACATATCTGATGTGTTGAACGTGGGCGGAGTAAAATTGACAAACATGACTATGGCTGCTGCCCAACAAGCAAACACCCGAGCAATCGGCATCATGGGCATTGGGTTTGAATTGGGCGAGGCCTCTGCCTCACTTGACGGCTTCACCTATCCCAATGTCATCAATGTCATGAAGAATGAGGGCTTCATCAACACCCTCGCATATTCACTGTGGCTGGACGATCTGGACTCCAATACTGGCTCCATTCTCTTTGGTGGCGTTGACACAAACAAGTACCACGGCGACTTGGTTGCTCTCCCCATTCAAGTTGACTCGCAGACAGGTGTTATTGACTCCTTTACCGTGGCTTGGACCGGGCTTACCGTCACTGGGGGGGGTCAGTCCTCCGACGTCTCCCCCAGCTCACCCCAACCCGCCATTCTTGACTCTGGTACCACAGACACCTTGCTCCCCGACGACATTGCCAACAGCATCTTCAACGGTGTCGGTGTGGTGTCAGACCCACAGTTTGGCAATGTGGTCCGCTGCTCTCTCGCCAACGATGATCTTACCTTTTCGTTCCAATTCGGTGGCAAAGGTGGTCCTGTTGTCAATGTCTCCCTATCCGAATTTGTTACACCCTTGATTACAACAGACGGCTCTCAACCAACCTTCCAGAACGGCGACATGGCATGTTCATTCGCCATTGATGCTGCAGGGAACGATCCCATCCTGTTTGGCGACTCTTTCCTTCGCAGCGCCTATGTTGTTTACGATCTTGAAAACAACGAAATCGGTCTGGCCCAGACAAACTTTGACGCTACTGACGCCAACTCCAACATCCAAGCATTCCAGCCTTCGGGCAGTATCCCCAAAGTTGTTTCGACCGCATCAGCCGCAAGTGTGGCCCAAACATTTTCAGGCAACCCAGAAATCACACAAGCCTCGCTCACTGCTACTGGGGAACTGGGTGGCGGCACCTCTAGAAGCGCGACGTTCAACTTGACGCCTGCCACCGCCACGAGCACGAGCACCTCTGACTCCGGCAGTGGAGATAGCTCAGGCAATTCCAATGCCGCGAATGCCAACTTCCGCACTATTCCTGTTGAGAGGACGAGTTTGTTGGCGGCAGGTGTTGTGGTGGTGGGACTATTCTTTGGTGGTGGCTTGATGTTGTTCTAAATCAGCGACTGGCGTCTTTTTTGCCTTGTTATGAAAACCAATGTTGATACACACTCGGTGGAAACGGGATTGGCTTTGTTGGACGGTGGTGTCTTTGGGCATCAATGGTACTCGGTCTCGGTCTCGAGGTTATCGGGCTACAGGACCGGAAGGGAGTGCGCATGACGATTATTTTTAGAACGATACACCTAAACACAAAATAACTATGCATAACCACCTCCCTTTCTCTGTCGTTGTCTTTGTAAGTGTCTAAGCTTTACGTGTGCGAGTCGAGCGTGCCATTGAAAGAATGTGTCTCCTCGATCAACCTTCACGTGATGTCTACATGTCCTCGACGAAGCACCTCGACCCTTTTCGGACGACGGGATTGGGACTATCAAGTTGTTTCATCATCATCGTATATATTGTGAACAGGTCCATAAAGACACACTAAATAGTAAATCAGGTCATCATCTTCTTCTCCGTCAGCCCTCCTATCGTATTCGCTGCTGTTGGGTCCGGGTCCTCCCTCTTTAGATGAAGAGCTCATGAGCCATTCGCTCCATCAGGCTATTAGTCCTTTGATCCACGGTGGCACCATCCCACTCGTTCGGCGATGTGACACGATGTGACGCGTGAAGAAGAAGAGGAGGAGGAGGACGGGGAGGAAGAAAACGAAAAAGAAAAAGAAGGAGGAAGGAAGTAGTAGTAGTAGAAGAAGTAAAAGAAGAGATAGGAATAGGAATAGAAATAGAAAAAATCTATGTTCGTGATCGATTGGTTGATTGATCGCAAGAATTCCCTGCCCCCTCTTCCCCAACTTTCACCATCATCTTGCATCGTGCATCTTAGAGAAGCGGCAATTGATTCTGTCGCGTCATCGAGTGGTATGTATGGTACGCACAGTGTTAGTGGAGAGAGACTTTTTTTTTTGGCGCGAGTCGAGTCTTTGTGGGATCGTGGACGTCGTATATTTCATCCATTCGTGGTGCCGCCGTGAGCGGTTTCGGGTTGGGGTTTTGAGACATTAAACGTGATAGTTTGTGGGTTTTTTATATGAAGATTATCGGTGTCGTTGCAGGTATCGGGCAGGGTTTTCCAATGTGGAATGTCTGGACTTGGTACCTCCCCTCAGACTCTGGTCCAGCTCGACGATTACTCTCGGACTGTCTCGAGCGGGCTGTGCGGGAAACCCGGCCCGTCGCCGTTGAGGCTGCCCAGGCTGGTCGTGTTCGTCAACCACGGCATGCTCCGCCTGTCAGCGTCGCCCTGGTCATCGTCGCCGTCAATCTCCATTCCCACCTCGTTGTTGTCGGGAACCTTGATGTCGAGCAGTCTCTCGGCGTTTTTGTACGCGATTGCTTCAAAGTCCTGGTTGTTTATCCTGGGTAGTGTAAGAAAAAGGTATATTGTCAGCTCGTTGCCCTTTATGCAAAAATACAGCCTTGTCTCTCCTTTACACCACAAAAAGTAACAAAGAAAAGGGGGGATACTAACATTGCACTTTCTCTCAATGCGTACATAAACTTCACGCCATCTTCATGGCTGCAGAATGGATAGTCTACACTATAAAGTACCTTGTCGGCGCAGCACATGTGGATGAGGCAAGCCATTGGGGCAAGGCTGAACATGCCGGCCGTCGTAACATAGATGTTCTCATGCCAGACTTGCAGAAGATGACGCCTCGGTTTCGACGCGTGCGGCCAGGTCCGCTGGACGAGCTTGTGAATTCTGTCGATCAAAAAAGGTAGCGTCTCGCCCATGTGGCCCAGCAGGAGTTTCAAGTGCCGATGCGTGTCGAAGAGCTTGCTTGCGAAGAGCCGCAAAACATGCAGTGCCACGTCGCTGTGCCAATGGAATCCGTGGTTGGCAAGGAAGTTTGAAACCTGGGGTGAATAGTTCCCATGGAATGATGGTGCAACCGTGGACTCAGTGATAGTCTGTGGTATCGCGTGGAGGTAGACGGGGACGTCGAGCTTCTCGTGGGCAGCGAAGATGGGCCAGAAAAAGGAATCATCATAGTAGCGACCCTCGGCGGTGTTGTCAATGAGGCTGCCCACGAATTCAAGCTGTGAGACACACCGGTCGAGTTCCTTTGCCGCTTCCTCGGGGTATAGCATTGGTAGCATGGCGAAGGCAGCGAAGCGGTTCGGGGAGGGCGACGCCTTGATGGCTTCGTATAGTTCGTCGTTCGCCTTTGTACAGACCTCGGGTGGGATGGGGATAGTGTTCGGTCGATGGGAAATGACTTGAAGACTAACACGGCCATTATCCATAGCCTTGAGCCGCTTTGGGCCGACTTCACGAAGCGCAGTCATGATGTGGGCCATAGAGTCTGGGAGACTCGTGTCGACGCCTTGAGAGGCATAGTAGTCAAGGACAGCCTGGGAGATAAAATGCTCTTCGAGCGTGATCAGGGGGATTTTGGTGCTCATGGTAGATTCGCGGTCCTTCTTCTTCTCGTCTTTCGAGGGGACTATCTGGGCGTATCAACCTGTTTATAACCAAGGTCAGGTAGTTGTGGGGTTGATAGTGGCGGCTTTACCTGGGGATGGTTGGGAATAGCTCCGTCGGAACAAAATCCCGCGGTCGATCGCTGCGTCAAGTAGGACTCTCCAATAGCTTCGACGTGAATAAAACAACAAAACACTTCTTAACCTCAAACAGGAGCTGTATGAGATGCCTGGCAATTTTGTACCAACCCCGCAGCAGAGGAGGAGGTTTAGGAGTAAGCTGTGTTACCGTGGTACGTGCTCCGGGGGGCTAGAAGACGGATTCGGAAAGGGAAGGGATGGGCCTTGGAACAATGGGGATTCGTATATCCCAACCCTGCGAAAGACACACTGCGTCATTCGGGGACCCAATCAGGGCAAAGAACGCGTGTGGCGCCATGCAATAGATAGAAGTTGCTGAGCACCGCCAGGATTGGCCTTCTCTTGTCCTTTTTCCTTGGATCTTGCCGGCCGTTGGCGGATGCGGAGGGGGGGCAATGACATTCTCGGACAATTAGACCGAAGGAGGAGGTGGCAAGGGGGTATAGCTGATTTCGCCGAGAATTGACTTTTGAGAGATGCATATAAGACGAACCCGTCCGAGAAGGGGAGATGTGTCTCCGGGAAAGGACATATACACCCAAAGGGAGGCACGATAGAGATAGACGAAGGCCGTAGTTCAAGGATTCGGGTCACGGGAGGCTGATTGAGCGTTTCTTGACGTAGGTACAGAGACATGGACAGGACGCAGATCGCGCATGAGATCTGCTGGCCACCTGGGCAGAGCGTTGGGGCGGAAATCAGATATTAATTGCTCCATCACACTGGAATGGTTCTATATGGCACAAGAGTAAGCGAAGACGGGAAAAGAGAGAGTTGAAGGACGTTCAAATATCGAGTGCTGCTGGAGAACTGTACATATGTACCTAAAGAGTAATAAGTGACAGTGAGTGGGCGAGACGCAGTGGAGATGAAGAAATGGGGGCATCCAGACTTGGCGCCATATTGTGAGAAACGAGCCACAAGCCAAACACGCGCAGCATCATGCAGCCAGCATTCAGCAGCCCAGCCAGCAGCCATCATCCCGTACCAACGGGGTCTTCAGCACCCCGATATCTATCTCTATGCTCACACCTGTCGATATCATTCTGTTGTTACCCCAGTCGCTCATTGTTCCAGCACATCATCCCCAATCGAGGCCCCCTTTGGGTCCCTTTCCACTGGAGTTTTAATACTCCTTCAAGAATCCCCGTGGCGCAACCCGCAGGCTGCGACTGCTCGGCATAAAAAAAGGCCCAGGCACGAGATCATCAGCAACACCCTCCACCCACCCAATTGTCCCACCTATACTTCTGTGAGGCGTAGACTCCCTCACATTGATGGCCTCCCAAGGAGGCCTCACGCGAAGGCGTGGTGCTGGAGGGGCCACGTCGCCCAACGGAGAGGACGAGTCCTCCAGCCGGGTCACATCCCCTGTCCCCAAAGCATACAACGATCGATCCCCCGAGACCGCCTACGAATCCAGCGAGAATGGCCACCGGATCGCCTATGACCCCCGAGACATCAGCGAGAGCGCAGAACGGAGTAAACAACCCAAGCTGACCCTAATGGAAGAGGTTCTGCTGCTGGGCCTGAAGGATAAGCAGGTAACCAACAACCACAAGATTTAATAGAGAGGCATCCCTAACCAATGTCACAAGGGGTACTTGTCGTTCTGGAACGATAACATCTCATATGCCTTGCGAGGCTGCATAGTCATCGAGCTGGCATTTCGAGGTAGAATCAGCATGCAGAAAGACTCCTCGAGGAGACGGTTCCCACTCTCGGACAGAATCATCGAAGTCATAGACGACACCCTTACAGGAGAAGTACTGTGTGACGAAGCTCTGAAAATGATGAAGACGAGTGAGAAGATGAGTGTCAGTTCCTGGATCGATCTCATGAGCGGTGAGTGTTGTCGGCACGCGGCCCTGCTGGTACACCGATTGACTTTGCGTGCACAGGTGAGACGTGGAATCTGATGAAAATTGGCTACCAATTAAAGCAAGTCCGCGAGCGACTGGCCAAGGGCCTTGTGGACAAAGGCATCCTGCGCACCGAAAAACGAAACTTCCTCCTCTTCGACATGGCCACCCACCCCGTAGTCGACTCCGCAGCCAAAGATGAAATCCGCAAGCGTGTACGGAACGTCTGTACTAGCCGCACCGTCGTACTGCCTCCGTCGCAGTTCCTCCCCGCCGAGCTCGATTTCCGCATGCTGAGAACGGTGAGCATGGTCTGTGCCGCTTATGCAGCCAACGTGCTTGAAAATGCTCTGGTGACACTGGGTCATGAGGCAAGAGAGAGAGCGTTTGCCCAAGTGGACGAACTATTGGCAGAGTATTCACAGTGGCCCTTTGCAAAGAGGGCCGGTGGACAACAGGGAATTGGAGCAAATATTGGCCAGGTGATTGCAGACGAGGTCGAGAAGAACAAGGACAAGGAATTACAGCTTGAGGTGAGTAGAGCCCCTGAAACCTGCCAGCATCATTGTTGTAACCCAGACTCATTCAACCACCTAGGTTGTTGCGGCTTGTTTGAGCGTTTTTACCAGGCTGGACTCACTGCTATAAGATTGACAAAACAGGATACTTTGGACGAGAGGGCGGGCGCGAGGAGGCGTCCACATCTATCGCATTTCTCGTTGAAAGGGCAATGAGTCTCAAAAAGGATACCTACAATGTTCGCGTGTTGCACTTTTCAACCATGTCATTATCCGGCTCAGGCGCTGAGCTTTGCAAACATATTTGGGAAGCCATCGTGCTGTCTCGTTGTCGCTACCTTTGCCTCTTCTACAGGGTTGTATCCCTATTTGATTGCTTTCTCTAGACCCTCGGAAACTCTTACCTGCGTTGCGAACTCAACACTGACGTTCTAGATTGTGGCCGAACCCTTCTTTGTTGTGGGATGACTTTCGCAGGTTCCAAACGCATAAAGAGCATTCTGCTGTTTATATCCCTGGCTTATTGTCTACGGAACAAAGTCGCCGTCAAAGCTCGTCATCAGCAACACTCAGTGGCAGTCGGTGTGGGGACTCGGAGCTCGTGCCCTCTCTAGCAATAGTTCTTGTCCATTGTATCGACAAAGCTCAATACTTTGTCAAAGACATGTGGTAGGCGAGTGTACTATAAGACTCCGATCGACTCCCCTCGAGCCAATTGTGCTCTGTCCTCATCTCTCAAACCACTGACCAAGTGATCTGCAACAAAACCAGCCTACAAAATGTGTTATACTCAATCTACCCTGTTCACCTGTCCCGACTGTGGCGCTAGGCGGACCTCTGCTGACCATCCAGATGTCGACAAGTTCTGCTCATCATCCAATGCTTGCTCGGATCGCAACCGCCGTCCCCTGCCCCATCGTGAAGTGATGCTGTCTAAGCGATGCTCTAGATGCCGCGACGGTGGAGAGAGCCGACACTCACATGTCCCCAGCACGCGTCAAGGATCTGTCGCTGTGGTCCGTGAATCTGAGCGAGAGTCCCGAAGGTCCCAGGCCCATTCCACCGCTTCCCGAACTTGGACCATTGACTCTAATACCAGTACGATCAGAGACAATCGCGAGCGGGCGCTCATACCAGCGACAAATACCGCCGGGTCTCGGTCTCGAAGAGAGACTTCACGCCACGACGATCGCGACCGGTCCCACATCGCACACGACCGCGGTGACTACAGCTCTTCCCTGTCTCGATCTCGCACTGTGTCGACGACTACCCGCTCACGCGGGGACGGACGACGTGACAATCGTGACGAAGACAGCAGTCGCACTCCAAGAGATAACGGCGTCGTTGAGTTGTCCGACCTGTTTGGGAGCATGAGCATGGCAAACACGTCTTCATCCCGCCGAAGCTACCGTGGTGACTCAAGCCACAACGACACGCCGGCGTTGAGTCTCATCACACAGTTTACCTGCACCCGCCACAGCGTCGCCCAGTGCCCCAATACTGTCGGGGCCGAGGCAAGACGCCGGGCGGCGACCGACGATCGTCGCCCGTCGAGGCCCGCCAGGCACGAGATCCCCTTCCGCCGGCTCCTCGCACACCATGACGTGAAGCAACGCGATGTCAAGATGACCTACCACGAGCAGGACCATGAGATCGACCTCGAACTCCCCGACTGGTTCCTGATTCGTGTTCCCCCGGGGAACCTCGTGTGGAGGGACGATGGGTGGGTGTGGTCGGTCTGCGACACTTGCTTGGCCAACGAAGGGGGATGGCGCAAGTATAGCCACCTAGAACGATAGGTTTGTATGCAGAGTGGGAGAGGGTGAAGAGGACGAAGAAGAAAAAGAAGAAGAAGGAAATACGCCGACCGGGGGTTTTCCGAGCTGGATTCTCGACGGTTGTGGGATTTTTGTCAGGTTGATGAGTTTGGTAAGTTTTCCCTCATTGCTGGATTCGATCTGGGAATTTCCACACAGGATTGTTGGATTTGGATTTGGATTTGGATTTGGACTCTGATTTGGTTTGAGAAAGGTGAGTAAGTACAAGGTTTGATAGGTAAGTAGGTACTTGTTTTTGAGGGAGTGGAGAATGGAGTTATTTCTATCAAGGTGCGTGTGTCTTCTTTCGTTTTCTTCTTTCCTGTTTCATTACTAGGTACCTGTGTACCCATGTGGGTGACTAGGTACCTACAGGTACCTAAAGTACACCTGCATATTTCCCTACCGAGTATTTGGTCGAGCATACTTGTACAAGGGGGAGGAGTACCACATCCCTCGGGCCTGATCACTTGACTTTACCTCAACCCATCTCACTATTCTTCAAGCTAGCAATGGCATGTTCTAGGGCTGCGCATTGATTGGGTCACGAAACGATGACGAGTACAGGGGACTAGCACAATCACATCGTCGTCGGCGTTCCCAAGGGGAAGAGAAACGATATCCGTCACAATGAATCGGCAGGCGATGGGGATGAGGAGGAGGCTGACTGGTCTCGAACACGGAGTATTACCAAAGAACCGTTACCACTACCTACCTACCTACCTACCTACCTACGCGCTCGAAACAAAGAAAAGAGGGATGTATTCTCTTTCATCCTCACCACCTCAAAGGAAAGAACTAACCAACACATATTCCACCGAGTCGATCCCCTTTGTCTCATTCCGTCTCGGAAAGAAACACAACAATGAAAAATGCCACAGCCTCTTCTTTCGGTTGTCTTTGTTCCGTTCCTTTGAGGGTAGAAAGGACTGCCCAACTAACTCCAAAGAATGCTTTTCAACGGAGTCCAGGGTAAGGCATGACAGGGCAAGGCAGGGCATGACAGGGCAGGGCAGTCCCCTTTGGCAGTCTCCCCTGGACTGCCTTGTCTCTTCCGTTCTTCCTCATAAGAAGATTCTTCCTCGCACCATCACCACATGTGGATGTGTCTCGCACAAATAACTTGAAACCTACCATCAAACCAGAAAATCAAACAGCAAAGTCAGAGGGCACATCCAACAGCTAACAAGGAGAGAACAAGAAAAAGACAGGGGAAATGTGCTACACAGTCTCCGCGAGGTTGGTCTGTCCCACCTGCTCCGGCCGCATCGGTCTGGCTGACAGTCTCGACGTGGAGAAGAAGTGTCGGCCGGGGGTAAAGTGTCCGTACCGCTTCTGGCAGCCCCTGCCCCGTCGGCCGCGCGAGGAGCGCATCGTCTCGCACCGTCACTGTGCCGCGTGCGTTCGGCAAGCGAGTGCGAGTGCGAGTGGCAGAGCAGGAGCAGGAGCAGGAGCGCCACCAGCAACGGAATTGGCCAGGGCACTTGACAAAACCGGCGCCACCTCCTTCTTGGGTGCGCATACTCTCAACGCAACGTTCAGTGACAATATCGTCCGCAACGGGTTCGCGGCCATGGGTAGGGAGTGGGAGGTGAGGAACGGCGTCAGTCCCCGCTGGAGACTGTGCGTGCCGTATCCGGAGAAGGAGAATCGCGGGTTCTGGAAGCGGGTCTTTGCGCCGAGGCGGTACAGTCTCTGAGATGAGAGGTTTGGTGAGGTACTCACGTACTTACTTGTAAGGAGATTACTTGTAGTTTCTATCTAGGGTGGAGATATATGGATGAATAGATGGGTGACGGGTGGTGAGAACGGTGTGCTCTCCACTGTACGAGGTACTCTGTCTCTCTCTATCGTCGTGGCTTCGGTTATTCTTTTCCACCTCTGTTTCTTGTCTTGACAAGGAAAGGAAAGGAAAGGTAAGTGAGCAAGTACGTACATACCTAGCTAGGTACTTACTCATGTATGAATAAGACTTGTGACAAGGAATCGGGAACATCTTTCTAAAAATGCTGAAAGAACAAAGCAAAATACCAGAAGGAGACGGATACCCATGGGTCTGCTTGTCAGTTGCCAGTTACTAGTCCAATGCCAGGGGTCAGGAGTCAGCAATCAGGACAGTTTCATAATGAACAGTTTCTTTTCTTGTGTACAGTACATAGATACATACATAACAGGTGCCGTGCGCAACGCGATGGGCGAGTCTACTCTTAATGTACCGAGTCCAAATACATAAAGGGGTGTTCAACCCCCGTAAACCTGTGGTATATGTACGGGATACGAGGTACTACCTGTACCATACCAGATATCACTGCCCGTCGTCCTCGTTACGGAGGCGACCGGATTATCTGGCCGAGGCCGAACCATGTGTATCTCAGGTGACTTGCAATCTGCGTGCGTGGCAGCGATAAAATAACAGAGACAAGGTCAATACAGGTCGAGCGGCTGACAGACCTGCGCGGTGTCAGGATGAGGACCCCTTGACGATGTTGATTTCCTTATCCTATCCAACCTGTCGAGGCGGCATCATCCTTGGACTCTTGGGAGGTGGCAAAGGAGGTGTGTCCTCTTCGTCGTCTTCGTCTTCGTCCGAGTCGTCGCTAGGGGCCGCACGCACGCGCACCTTCGTGCTCGCCTTCAAGACGTCCAGATGGGCATCCCGTGACAGATTGGGGGCTTGGAGGGTCTTATCCCTCTCCCACAACGTGGACAAGGTGGGCAGGGGTTGCCGGGGCATGACTCGCCCTCGCCAGAGTGGCACGGGGGGTGGAACATCTTTCCTCGCGCCCTGTGGCAAGGATTCCGAGCCAGTCGTGTTAGTCGTAGAGGATTGCGACCTGGACAGTTTTGACGGCAGACGAGGTCTCGTCCGGTCGAAGATCGCTCTGGCAGACCGAGGATCTCTGTCCGCGGGCGATGTACTCGGATAACGCGGCCTCTGCTGCTGGCTCATTGGACGCGAGTGAGTTGCAGAGGCACCCGCAAAGGAGCGAGTGCTCGCCGAGACGCTCTTGGTGGCTGTCTTGGACGGCGATGCCGGCGAGGCTGCTGGTTGAAGCCTGAAAGGGGGGATGAATAGGGGTCGTAGCGAGTGAGGGCCTCTCATGGACACGGGTTGTTCCTCTGTTGGTGGAACCGAGACACTGCGCAGCGTCGACGTCGTTGAGCGCCGACGGAACAAGGACGAAGCGAGTGATTTTCGGCTCGGGGTTCGTGGCCTCGAGGCCGGCGGAGTAACCGGGTTCATGCCCAGGGGATTTGTTCGGAGGAATCTCAGAGATCTGGGCATGGACTGCCGCGCTTTGACTATCATGGTCGGCTGCGCGTGGATGTTGTTTTTGTGGTTCCAGGCTGGGACATTGCTCAAGCCAGCTTCTGCCATGGGAGAATCTGGTAAGATGCCGAACGGCTGGTTACGTGGCCAAGGCGTTTCGCCAGACTCAGGGTGCCGATGTCGCCCCAGTCTCACGATCGAGCCTTGACGACCACCCTTGCGCCATCTAAAGAACCAATATAGCAACGACAGAATCAACGTAGCACCAACTGCACCGTTATTAGCATGAGATATTCAAGAGTGAAGTCATAATGGGCACGAGGATATACCGAGAGTTCCAATGGCAATTCCTGCTTTTTGTCCTTGTGAAAGAGTCCCGTGGCATTTGGATTCGGTCGTGCCATTCATGCTGGCCTCAACAGCAGGGGCACTGGCTGTGTGCTGAAGACTCGACGAAGCTGTTGTCCTCGCAGGAGCCGACGTCATTGGGAAGGATTGATTTGGTGTTGACGACTGCGATGCTGTACGGGCCGCAGACAAAGGATCGGATGCAGTTGAAGTCTGAGATAGAAGACCGCCAGGGTTGACAGACGTTGTTGTCGATTCGCCCAGTGTACTGGACGAGAGATTGTCTGTAACCGTTGTTGAAGGTGAAGAGGTCGAGGACAATGTTGATCCTGGCTCTGGCGTCGACGTCACGGCGGTCAGAAAGGAGGCCTCGGGAGCAGTTGGAAACGGAGGAATCCCAGGCGTGAAAGGAAAAGGTGGCGGGAAGAGATCAGATCCAATTGCGCTGGACACGAGAGAAGGGATATCTTGACGGGCAAACAAGTCTTTGCCATCGGTGAGGTCTCCCACAGCTCTCGTCTGAATCGGTAGGATATCACCGGTTGTGGTTCCTCTGCCTTTAGTGACACCAGCAGCCGCAAAGTTGGGAGATTCCTGTTGGCTCGCTTTGGGTTCAAGACCATCGTTCGTGCTCTCTTGAAAACTTGCCGGCTTCGGACTTTGAGGCGCTCTTTTTGGCAGGGTGCTGAGAATGAATTGGGAGACATGGACCCAGTAGCTGTGTGGTAGAATCATCGTCCCAATGCCACGCCGAACACCCTTTGGACGGGTGCCTCTCTCGTCGAGCTCATACAGACGACACCTCCCAAAAACTCGCTTGACTCTGATGTTGTACCTGTCAAGGCAGGCAATTTTCGAGAAAGAGTGTGGGAAGATGTCGCGATCCGCAGGTCACCAGGGAAGGTAGACAACGGGGAAACCTGAGAGAATAAGAAAAGTCGCGCAGTCGCTATCTGAGACGTGCAGGCGAACTGTAGCCAGAAGAGGTTGGACATACATAAGCAAAACAAAGCAGAAACAGAATGGGTCACGCCAACGACAGAAGAAGACAATACCACAAACTCTCTCAGCGGCGGGCATCAGTATGCCACCTTATCACCAAACTTATTCTTTCTTTGACCACAAGCTGTAGATCGAATGGCACAACTAGAGGCGACGTCGACTGTGGAACCAGAGAAATATGCGCATGGCATGATCGTCCTCTGTTGTTCCACGAGGGCTCCAGTACGCAGTCACCCAAGACATGCTTTCCACGCGGTGACTGGGTCACAGCGTCTGGGGCACGGGGCAAGTGTTTCGGGTCGACCGTGTCAGTGTCGAACGTAACCATTTGCATCTCGTAGATCTGCCCCGCCTGTTCAGCATGGAATTGGCCATGCCAAAGACCTCGACGGCGAGGAGGTACAAGATCCGAAGTACCCCTTGATATTGTTGATATCCCCAGCTCGGGAGACCTATGTAAGGGCAAAGCGTACCGAGTACGAGGTACATAGTACGTATGGAGCAAGGGGAAAAGTAGCACGACCCCGGACGACGTTGCTACCGGCATATCCTGGCATGATTGACGTTTTGAAGGCAAATATGAAACACGATGGACGTTTCTTCGGCGAGTCTTAAACGTGCTGGTGGAGGACAAAAAGCCCTGCCGCTTTTTGGAGATGCAGGGGGCGACTGCGGTGAGAGGAGTGGTTGTACATAGTGCCGTTTTAAGACATATTGGTCTAGCCTCTTATAGATATGCGAGTACGAGGAACACGCAATGACCAGGATTTGATCCAAACCATCGTGTCAATCATGTTCGTCTCGAGTGACTTCTTCGAGATAGGCGAGATTCCCAATTAGGACGGAACCTACATGATCGTCCAATATGCTTTTTGAACCTTGCACATGCTAAATGTCATGTGGGACGAACATGAACCGCGGTTGTGTCGAGGATTGAAACCCCAGATATGGAGTGGCTACCTAGATGCCTCCATGGCTGGCTTTAACTACTCTGTTGGTGACAAATCTTGTGGTACGTTGTGTCCTTGGTACCTCCAAATGGCACAGATCTCTGACTTGCAGAGGTGGCCATGTCCAGGGCCGCGGCCAACCTCACTGCCCCTGTCTCCAGGAGATTCCACCATCTCAGCCAGCCACCAGCACTCGGCACAATGCAAACGACCACGAGCATTGGAGGGTTTCAACTTGGACGACATTTTCGAGCGCTGGGATTCTCAAAGATCCTCACAATTGGCAGGGACTCCTTCTAGCGACCGACCCAACGACAACCCCGTCCGTCCATCTCTTGCTCCTAACTCCGTACGCTTCCTGGGAAGAAGGGGCCCATAAAGAGAGATCATCAATCCTCCAGAACGTTCAAGAGTGCCAAGTTGCCAGGAAAACACCATATCAGCTTGCAGTGTGTTAGGCGAAATCGACTTTTCTCGATGGATCGCGCAATGATGGAGACATAGCTTCAAGAATGACGTCTGGACAGACAAGAATCACACCGCCTGATGCCATCTCCCATGAAGGAATACACCGAGTTTCCACAATCTTGACACGTGCCATAGTCCATGTACGATGTGTGCATGGAATATTCCCCAGTCGTTTCTTCAATTCTTTGACGCAGAGTTTCAATGGTTGCTTGCGAGGTTCTCAGAGTTTCTTCGAGCACCCGATGCTTTTCAGCGGCTTCTTCCATCTGGCAAGCGTGTGCTTGAGCCTGTCGGGACAACATCTTCCAGGCAATGGGTTCGTGCTGTAGGAGCAGTTGGGACAACTCCCCATCCTCTGGCAGCCGGGCAAAGTTCTCCAAGCAGAGCTCAAAGATTTGGGCTCTCAGTCCACTGTCGCCATCAGCACCATTGTTGAGCACTCGAGAAAACGGTTCGAGAAGTGCGTCGGCTCGAAAGTTTTCCTTGGCCGCGGCTGTGAATGCGCTCGTCGCATGTCGCATGAGCTCACTGACATTCAGGTACTTGGCCAGCAGGTAGACCTCAACATGAACCATGAGCTCCTCCGACTGCTGATGCAGGGAATCCGTCTTGTTTTTCGGGGGTTTCCCTACTTCGGACCCCTTTGTTGAAGGGTTGTATTCTCCCGTGTACAAGAATTCCAGTACTTTCTCGACGACATCGGCCTTTTCTTCGGCGAGTGTTCCACGACCTTCAAGTCCTTCCTATAATGTGTGCGTTAGATATACCCTGTGCTGCTGCGTGGCGGTGCATGAAATTACTGACCTGGAAACTGCCAGCACATAGACTGCGCAACGTGGTCGACTGGGGACAGACGACACTGCGATGGATTCTGAAATCTCTGCCACCAACAGTCAGGGTAAAGTCAGAAAACTCCCCGCTCTGTAGAAGGTGCTTTTGTCGTTCTACGAATGACATTGCAAGGGCAAAATGACGTCGACGGTCAAGCCGCCAATGTCAGTTTCATCACCTCTCACACGCGGGAGTAATTCCAAAGAGTGAGGACTTCAGTCAGTCAATGCCTGGCATGCATCAGAGGAGGTCTTGAGATACTGGACTCAGTACGGGGTACTAAAGAGGCTGCTTGCATTAGATCAGTCGGAGGAATGTTATCCTTGCCGGCTCCGCCACATCGCCTGGGTGGGTGGCTGATGGCTGACGCCTCACGCTGACGTTACTGCCAACTCGTGGACAAGCCGTTGGCCACAAGGTCTAACGTCACCGACTGTGCACACCATCGACTGCACGACCATCACGACCTCCGCGGGGCCTAAATCGAGCCATAGCTCCGTGGGTAGAGGTTTTACCAGCACCCGCCCTCTCTTCCCCTAGACGACGTGGAAAATTCCTCCTCTACCAACCTACTGCTACCCCTCCCACTTGCCTCCCCCTTCCCGCTGTGCTCCAGGACTGGGCTGGCTACGCCATGCACGTGGCAGAGCCTCGACGCGATCGCGCGTACGCCAAATTCACTGACTGTACCGCATCACTTTGATAGGTTTGACGTGTCCGTAGTTTTCATCTAATTCCCTGATAACGTGATATATTTCATAGAAGTACCCAAATGTTCTAGAGGTCCAGGCAACCGTGCAGCTTGTCTCACAAACCTTCTGAAGCCAGTGTCTAGTCGTCCACATTCGTTCCAAATTGGTCCTTGTGGGCGTCGTCACGTAATTCCAATCCCGAGATCCTTTCTTCGATTCCCAAGAGCGAGGCCGTTAGATCTTTGTCCATGTGAACGCAAACGTGGTCCTCATCCCGACCCCGGGTGCGTTTGTCTTTCTTGCTGAACACCGCGCAGAATGGCGAAAGGTCTATCGAGCGAATAGCGGAGAAAAGATCTTGAATCGACGTCTTTATTTCGGAGGGCTCCCGGATTGGGTAGAGCTCAAACGTCCGTAAGCCCCTTATGAGCTTTCCGAGTGCCAGAGGGTCACAGTTATCATCTTGATAGCATTGTCGCTGTGAACTGCAGAAACGATCAAGTAGTTTCGAAAGTGTATCGAGGACCTCGCTTAATATAGCTTGCCGACGAGATTGTATCTCGCCTTAGCACGTTAGGAGTATAATCAGATCGTTCTGCGGAATTCTTACTAATGATCCAATAAGGAACGCAACCGTCCTCGTCTTCAAGCCCGCAACTAGTCTCCCAGATGGCTTTCTTGGTCAAGATGTTGTACTCGGAAGGCTTTTTCAGCACCCAGCAAATAAAGATGTTGGCTGCCAAAGTTTGATGATCTTGAAGGATCGTGGGTTGAAGGGATTCAAGCCAAATGTCCGTTAAGACTTCAGCAGTTTCGTGGAACTCGTATTTATCTATCAAGACGACGACTCGAGACAGCACCGACACGTCCACCCGCCTTGGAACTCTTCTTGTTAAGCCGTGAATGATATTCAGCAGAATTTGCATAGCGCCCAAATCATCATGCGGGAGAGGAATTGTCCTGACGTCTTTGTCACCTATTGGAAGGCCCTCCAGGCAATGACAAAGCACCTTGGATGCGAGTGAAAGGTGTTTCGAAGACACTTGTAGTTCAACTTCGCGTCTGGCTAGTTTTGCGGATGGATCTCCATCTGCGTCATTTAGTTGCTTTGATATTTCAATGACACTTTGGTCAATGGAGATTCCATCGGTAGGAGCATCGTCGGCAGGAACATCATGGGCAGGAGCATCGCCGGTTGGTTGATGAGGTGTAACGTCATCGGTAGGGGTGATATCCGTTCTCTCAAGGAGTAAGAAAACGTCTCCAGAAGGATCGAAAACCACCTTTTCACGGATTAGCGACATTGTAGAGTTTCAAACCCACTTTTAGGACGGATAATCATAAGACGGAACTTAGAGGGACGAGTGGAGTTAGGTTTCCAGCCAGCACACTTGTCCCATATTAGATGGTGGCTTACATGCCTGCTGCAATTGATCGAGAGAGAGGAAGGTGGCCCGAAAAATTTGGCCTGCGCTGGCGGGGCCGTGTGCAATCCTCATAGTTGACTGACGTGGTCCACCAAACAGCTTCTAAGATATATTCCACACCACCCCCTACTTCCTTACATCCCGTCACTCGCGCCTGGGTGACGAACACCACAATCTTTCTGCGTACTAATTTCTACAGTTAGGCTTGTGGTTCCTCCAATCTATCCGTTGACATTCCTTCGAGCAATACTTCGCGTTGTGGCATCGCATACACGTTAACAAGCCCACTCCAGGCCTAGATTCAGTTTTTCCACAGACTCTGCATCCGCCACCGTTGTGAGGGAAAGGATTGGCCTTGTTTATCTTGCTGAAATCAAAAAGTTTCTCACAAAAGGGAGCTGGGAAGCACGGGGACAGCGCTGCCCGAACAAAGTATTTCGACACCGAACCCCAATGTGGCACGCCCGTGAGGAATGTTTTCGGCAGCTGGCCGCTTCCACAGGAGCACAGGAGCGGCTGGCCGTTCTCCAAAGACAAGGGAATGCGCGATTCTGCCAGATATTCACAGTCAGGACGATGCTCCCATGTCCGGCATCGTTCGACCATCGCCGGCAGCACCTGCCTCCACAGTTTCAATTCGACGGCATCCACCTTGATACTGCATAACCGTATAGCCGAAAGCGCTTCTAAGAATGACCTGAGTCTCGGCATCAGGCTTTTGGTCAGCGGTAATATTGCCGAGTCCAGAACGACCGTTTGATTGGCAACGTCCAGTTTGAGGCTGGCGACGAAAATCAGAACGTGTATCCCTCCACCCGTGGGGTCGTTAAGGCCAAATAGTCGGCCTTGTTCACCCTGCAAGCCGGAAAAGTGCATAAGAAGTGAAAATAGAGAGTCTTTATATCGAAGTCGAACGTCTTTGTCCTGATCTGCGAGCATCGGAGTGTCTCTCAACTCGCGCTCTGTGCTGCTGAACATACAGGAGGAATGCGTCACGAGCCATTGGATTCCTTGTTTCCTTGACGTATTGATGGTGGGCAGGCATTCCAAATTCGTATAAGGCGTATTCCATACCACGGGGGGCCCAGGTGTTGGGTAAATGGGATGGATGAATGACGGGAAGCATTTCCAGTCCGCTGCGTTGGCCAATGGTGCTTCTATTTCGATGTATGAAGACTTTCTTGCAATCCTTATTTTGCTCCTCGCAAGGACGGGAGAGGGAAATTCAAGAACGATCGGCGAGGCCATCAGCCCCACTGTCGCGATGACGGTGCATGGAGACACCTGGACACTTTCGACCTTGCTTCCACTTTTCATCGCCGCCTTGACGTCCTCGGTGAGGAGTTCAAGACGCCCCGTTAGGCCTGCGATCCTCGGAGCATTAGAGTCGACATTTGCACGGATCACGGTCCGCGCAACCTGGCCTTGGGGAGGCGAGTCTTCTGAATCATCGTTCGGGAGGGTGCAAAGGGAAGCAGACTCTGGCTGATTTGGTGCATCTTTGGTCATGAAGACGTTTTCTTCATCTCCTAAGTTGGTTTCGTAAATATTCATTTCAATACCCAGACGCTCTGCGAACGTTCTTGAACTTTGTGGCGTGCTCTGGATTCCAAAGGCGATTGATGCAGTTCGGGGTTCGATCAATAACGTCCATGTCGGCGCCCGGAACGAGACGAAGAGGGCGGAACTGCCATTCCATTTCAGCCCGTCGTCCACGATATGGAGGCTGAAGGCGTCACTGTGCCTCTCACCAGTCGTGGAGATGTCTCCAAAAGAAAGCTGCACGGCAGAAAAGATATTTTGCCAACGCCCAGACCTCGACGCCGGGGAGGACTGAATGACACAGTGAACGATTGGCGTGCCAATTTCCGCGGGCTCGAGACTTGTTATCGCTCTGAGTCTTTCCCTGGGTACCTTTAATGTGACGTAAATGACCGGGGGGATGCCATTCCAGCTCTCCAATCCTTTCGTAACGGCAGTGGAGGGTTGCTTGATCGGGCCCGAGAAAGTGTCCACAGAATACACTTCAAAGATATGAAGGAACAGATATAGCTCCTGAATGTAATTCATTCCCATTAAGAGACTAGAGTCGGTCTCGATAAGCCTCAGGAGATGGTCCATGACTTTGTCCCAGTCGGCGGCGATCCTGCTGCGCACAAACCGTAGAAACAGAGCATAACTTCCGCGGTGGTAGCGTACGAGCGAACTTTTCGATATGGTGTGCACGTTGAGATCCGAGAACAGTCGCTGCATGTTCTCGTGCTGAAACATGTGGAGATACACATCATGGAGGATCCGGGCGCACCCACTCTCATCGATTCGGAGGCGACGGCCTTTTCCTGCGGCCGATGGCGATGGCGAAGTCCGTTCGGGAATGATCTGCTTCCATGTCAGTCTGACATGCATCTGTCCGCTTCTGATATCACCGGCAGCCCCGATAAAGCTCGAGTCCATCATCAGGTCGTCCATCGCCGAAGAAGCCGACGCATTGGTCCAGTACTCGACTGGGAAGAGACCTAACAAAGTCGAGATGGTTGGGAAGTGGCCCTTGAGAAGGCTGTCAATGTACGCCGTATGGGTTTCCTCTTGCTTTACCAGCGATTCGGTGTATAGGCTAGCTGAGCGTCCCTCGTCCAACATCGGCGCGGCGGCCACAAGGAGGTTCAAAGCGCCTACGTGGTCAAGGAGGTTCGACGTATCAATCACGTCGAATGTGAGCGGTGCTCGAGCAGAGTCCGTGTATTCCTCGCCGTCCAGGACCAGCGGCTCCGCGTGATAGGGATCGCGGTACATGCCCGCGGCCCTCTCACTTCGGGTGATTTTCTTTTGCTGCAGCGCGTATAGAAAGGAGATGGCGTCGCCTGCGAAAAAGCGTATTGTAAGACAAGAGGGAGGGTACTGTCTGAGCGACCTTGCCCAGGACCGAAACTGAAGCCGTGCCGCCTCGACAACCCTGAAGCAGGAAGAATCATGCGTCATTGCCTCAGAATGAAACGGTGACTGTTCCGTGAGTGGGGTATAGGCCGTCGCAAGGTGAAAGCCCAGTAATGGGTCGGTACCGTAGTGGAGCGTGGACCTGTCAGTCACAAACATCGGGTTGGGCGTGTCGGTTCGGCGCGGGTCTTTTCCCTCCCTGTCGGTGTTGCCGTGGTCCCAATAGTGTTGATGAAGCTTGGGGGCGTCATGAATGGCACCGATGCCGGCGGGGGCTGCAGATCGAAGGCCCGATATGACAAAACTGGTGCCACCGAGGTGATACGCTCGGCTTTCCATGGCCCTCTGCATTGCTGCTTTTGAGCGTTCGAGAAAACGTTCTCGGTCGTCCCGATTCAAGCGTGTGAAGCGGTAAGTGTCCCAGATATCCCTTACCTTCGCTAGGGTTCCCTCGTCGCAAAATCTGAATTGTCGGCCATATTGCCCGCGATGCCAGCCCTGCATTGAAGCCGCCAGTTCGTGTAGTTTTGTGGCTTGGGTCCCCAGCAACTCCAAGGCCTTGGTATCCAGACACAGGTGATAGTATATGTCCCATATAGAAGCGTCATTGGACCCGTCGACATCGTCTAAAAGGAGAGTAAGCACCAAGATGTTGCGCGCTGGGTTTGACCTCGTTAGCAAAGCACGCCAGCGAGGAAGAAGCGAGGCACACCAATGACGGCGGGCTCAATGTCACAGCACGTCACGTCTAGTTTCCGGCCTGGCAGTATATCAGTGGATGGCGACGAACCCGCGGGATGGACTCTGCGCACCAGAACGCTGGTCGGAATAGACCGTAAACAAGATGTTGCGCACATCGCCACACCCTAAAAGCAGAATATTGGCAGACTGCTTGTATGGAAGACCTCGAGTCAAGTGGACGGCAGGTGTGTTCCCAATCGGATAGAAATATGTCACAATGTCAACCACCACTGGAGTTGACATGATTGCGATACGCCAGACAGATATTCTATCTGGGCAGCCCGACTATGGAAGAGAAAAAGTTTACGGATGGGGACCGACGGTTGAGAAAAGGACGACGTATGCAACCAAATGTTGGTCATGTGAAGCAGGTAGTGACTTTTCCTTTATTCGTAGCTATAGTTCTCTAAAAATTGCCGTTAGATGAAGTATTCGGTGATGTCGAAGTACAGACAAGAGTTTGATGGGGTGTCATCCGCCACTGTAGTCCGGATCCACCTGTCTCCAATGACTGTATTAGTGTTGTGTCTAGACGCACGATAGATTGGCGGCAAGATACTACTAGCCACGTGGCGTGGCGGTAGCTCTAAGCCATAGCAGTGGCTTGCCACTTTACGGGGTTATTTACGCCCCGTCGTCCTCGGGTCGGTCCTCGGTTGTTTATCAGTCACTGTGGAAGTACCTGACTAGGGTGCTCCCGTGGCGGGATATGGCACCACATATCGTGCAGCTAGGAGTAGCTACGAGTATGACAATTTACAGTACTATTCATAGACGTGAACGCTCAATTCCTCTCCCAGCCTCTCGTCCTACACCCTTCGACGTAGGCGGCTCCTGGGTATCAGGTTCTGGAATTCCCGAATGTCCTTTGGCGATCAATGTCATCAAGACACTCCCTTGGTTCTGCTGCCTCATGATTTTCCAGGCCCACACATCTCTCGATGCCTCAGACATGCAATGTCTCTCACCATTGAACGTGGGCCTATCTCATTCGTGGACGCACCTGTGAAGAACCATGCAAGCGACCTTGATAGTATCCCGCATGAGCCGACCAACTCGTATTCCCCCTCATTGTCAGAGAACAACGACCAACATTAACTCGCTTGATCCCTGCCCTCCATTGGAAGAGCACACCACTCTCTATGCATGCTGCCTGTGAGTTGGTACTGATAGCAATGATACTCGTCGCCTCATCTCCCACA